GAGTTATCCAATATTCTCAACTTTCTTTTTGGTACCGTCTCCTTTCTTTTGGTACCTCTTGTAGTAACATGTAGGGATTCATGATAACTAGTATCAATGTCTAACATATATAGATTATCACATTCATTCAAGCAACCAGTACTCAAAACTTTTGAATTCATAGATAAAGTGAATACACTGTCTCCAAAAGAACAATGAAAACCAGATTTGTCCAAACAGGAAACAGAAATCAAATTCCTTCTAAAAGAGGGAATAACAAAAGTATCTATAAGATCCAAAAAATAGCCAGTACTTCCTCTACTTCAACCGGATCGCCATTTCCCACATAGACGTATCTTTCACCGTCAGTTGGCTTTCTATAGTTGAGGCAGCCCTGCAATGAAACACTTATATGAGCGGTAGCACCAAAATCCATCCAATAAGTGTTTTTAGGCTTTGCAAGCCAATTAGCAAATTTAGGACAGTCCTTTCTCAAGTGATCCGTCTTTCCACAAAAGAAGCATTTTGGCACATAAGGCTTCTTTTGTACTGGATCTACAGCAGTAGCAACAGCAGGTTTCTCAATAGCCTTTTCAACAGTCTTTGCAGAAGGCCTCTTTCTTTTCTTGTTCTTGCCCTTCTCAGCTGAAGAAACAAAATGAGCACTCTCTCTTTTGTTAGAATTCATCTTTTCCTCCTCATCAACACAATGAGAAATGAGCTCGTTAAGAGTCCATTATCAACACAATGAGAAATGAGCTCGTTAAGAGTCCATTTATTCGGCTGACAATTATAGGAAGTCCTAATTTGTCCATACTGAGAAGGAAGAGAATTCATAACCAAATGGACTAAAAGGTCATCTGGTAAAGCCATACCCAGCACCTTCAGTCTCTTTGCAATCTGAGACATGCTAAGAATATGCTCCCGAGCACCACCATTGCCAGCAAACTTCATGGAGGTTAATTTTCCTAAAAGTGTTCTCACTTCGGCTTTGTCATTCTTGACATAAGCCCTCTCCAGCTCGGCAAGATAGTTTTGAGCATTGTTCTTTTCAGCTGAGACAGAGTCTCGAACACTTTTCAGCTGAGACAGAGTCTCGAACATGTTCTGGTACTCCTTTCTGCATGATCATCAGACCTAAGCGATTAGAACGCTCCCGCTTCTCATACTGAACCCTTTGAACATCAGTGCTCGTAGCAGTAAGAGGAGCAGGTTCGTCCATCCTCAATGCAAGATCCAAATCCATACAGCCCACAAAAATCATAATGTCTGATTTCCAAGACTCAAAATTTGATCCCTCAAGTTTAGGGACACAATCAGGATTAAATGACATGTTAGCTGACAGCAGAGAAAATAAACGAATAGATAAGTATAAGCTCACAATTCACAAATGAAACAATTCACATAAGTAGAGATCAAAAATGGAAATAAGATACAGACACAACATTAATATTCTCAATAAAAATGGAAATAAGATACAGACTCAACATTAATATTCTCATCTTTGGATGTAAAATATTCACTTGTAATTAGTATCTCAACGCAGCAATCAAATATTGATAACATAGTCCTGACAAATAATAAATCTTCCTTTGGACCGATATATCATTGTCATGGAAAATAATCAAACAATTATCACATACTTATTGCATCTTAATTGCAAAACAAATGTATTTCAAAATCCAGCCAGACCTAGCCAACCTTCCTTTGGGTCCGATTAACTATCCGCAACTCAAATTCAATACACCTGTCTTAATACTTCTAAACATACCAATTTCAATCTTCAAGCCAATAGAGGTCAACTTTGGTGACTTATTGATCAAATCAATTTATTCTTAACAAATATCAAACACACTAAGCGGACTTAAGTCACTCCAAAAATCTCTAATCTCAAAGTCGACAAATTAATCATTTTAATTGTAATTAAAACAAACATTGCAATTAAAATGAATTGATTTGTCTAAATATTTTAATAATCTCAAATTACTTAGTAGTCAAAAAAAAATTATAATCTAGTTTTTTAAGTCACTAAAATTTGAGACTCAAACTTAATAAAATAGGCACTAAAATATATTTGAACTAAATAAAGTTCCAGGGTCTAATCGAAATGAAAACAGACAAATTAAAAGCCTAATCCTGGAGTTACACGAAACACTTTAGGGCCTAATCTGATAATTTCAAAGACAATTTAGGGCCTAAATCCTGAAATTACCGAAATTTAAGGGACCTAAATCTAGTTACAGAAAATTTACAGCGACCTAATCTGAAGTTACAGAAATTAAGGGACCAATAATTGAAATTAACAGAAAATTCAAGGGACTAATACGCAAAAAAACATAAATTAGGAATCTAACATATGAAAATTTTTCCAGGGACCTCTAACCTGTTATTTTCCCATCCCTAACCTAACAAAAAACAAAACGATAAGGGAACCGGAAAAATAACAGGTTCCCAGCCCTTTCCCGCGCCAACCAATGGCAGGTTCTTTTTTTTTTCTTTTTTTTTTTTTTTTAAAAGATCCAGCCAGCAAAAGAAAAAAAACAAAATAACCAAACGAACACATTAATTCGTTCAAAATGGCGTTAGTTTCAAAACCTCCTTACCCTGTTCATTTGGAAATCCGAAGAACAGTGAGAACAAACAAATCATCATATAATACATTTTTTTTTTTTTTTATTAACACAAAACCCTCAATCCTATACACACAGTAAGGGTAAACCAAATAAATAAAAAAAAAACATGACGAAAAACCAATCTAAAATCTAGGCAATTTTCCATGCCACAGGCCTCTGATAACCCACTTGTAAGAATTAATCACTCAAAATAATTTCCCATAATAACCTCAGACTCCGTGCAAATCACTAAGGCATTCAACAAAATACAGATTCGAACATAAGACAAAGGTTCGTACCTCGACATCGTTGTTCGTTCGATCCATTCGATGTGTTAGAATTAAGGTTTGGCACGCCTTCCAGAGAACTTGAAGAATCGATTATTGCGGAAAGACAGTAAACGCAAAGGAACGTAAAAACTGAATCGTATTCAAACCCTCTGGGGACCAACGACCTTTACTCCAATACCCTGTAGGGTTAGTAACAATCTCCTATTTCGGTCCTTTAACGGAAATAGGAATTATAATAAATGGTCTCCTACACCTTAACTATCTCATACATTTAGTTGAATACCCTGTCAATAGTCAATTATTCACAAATCAAGACCACATAGACCACATTTGAAATTGACTTTACAATTGGACTGCTGTACATATTTAATTTTACATATTAAGCCCACAATAGAAAATTAAATCCAACAAGATGATCCCAGTTTTCCACTTCCTGTGATTTCATTTATTTTTTTATTTCAGATATGCATTATCTGTAATGGCAATCTGGTCCAAGTTGCCCATTAGCATGTCTAAGGCACTCTCTCTCTCTCTCTCTGTTTTTTTTTTTAATATTTTTAACAAAGTTCTTATTTGATCTTTCGAAATCTCATAACTCTAGCGGATTGTATATATACATGTTTTGTTAAAATTATCATAATTTTGAAAAGAAAAAGTGAGTTTAATTAAGAGATTGGATTATTTTCTAATTTATTTGTAGTAAGCTGACTTTGACGAATATCAGTCACTAATCAATTAATCATTTAAATTACTCTGTATTAGTTTTGTTTACTGACTACAATTCTTGTTTTATCGAGGACAATTTTAATTTATGAAATCACACTAAATTTCACTGTTACACCAGGGCTAACCTGTAATTTCGTAATTCATTTAAAATAATAAAAAAATTTTAACAGATATGGGGATGTAGCTCAGATGGTAGAGCGCTCGCTTAGCATGCGAGAGGTACGGGGATCGATACCCCGCATCTCCATTTAATTTTTCATAAATATTAGATTTTTGCCTTTGCATAATATATTTGAGACTTCTTTTTATATATAATTAAGGGCAAATTTTCTTTTGGAAAAACAAAAGTTGGCTTTATTGATTGGACTTAAAGCTTAAAATTTCCATCAGTTTTTTGCCTTTTGCATAGATATATTTTTGATGACTTCTTTTTTATATATACTCGTTATTAAAGGGCTAAATTTTCCTTTTGGAAAAACAAAAGTTGGCTTATATTTTGATTGGACTTAAAGCTTAAAATTTTCCATTCACTATCCAATTTCTTTCATTGGGCACATGCTTTTCTTTTTGAAAAACCAACAGGTTGGCTTCTGATTGAATTGGTCACTTACTAGCTTTAACTTTCTCATTTTCACAAAATTCTTCTTTTCATTTTCATCATTAGATGTTAATATGAAACTTCGTAAATTGTAAACTTTTACATCACGTTTCCTCATTCTTTTGACAAGAATCTCACAATATCAAAGTTTCCCTCCCCAACAGCAAAAAGGAAAAAAAAAAAAAAAGAGAAAGAATGATTGAACGAAAAACATGTTGGAATAGTATATATAAGTTCTTCCTTTAAAATCTAATCCTCGACTCTCGGCTGTTTCAGGCTCCTTAACCAGAGGAAGTTTGGGTGTGTCTAGAGCATGTAGTGATATCTTTTTACTTCTATGTGGATGTCATTTTCCAAGACTCTAATCAGTGTTCATTTTTCTCTTGTCCTATTTCCCTTTTTTTAGCTTTGGGTAAGTTGACTGGGACTATCACCTTATGAATGTGTAATTTGCTGTATTTATGGAAAGTATAAAGTTCTCCTTTAAATCAATCCTCGACTCTTGCTGTTCAGGCTCCATTAACAGAGGAATTGGTGTTTAGAGCATGTATGATATCTTTACTTCTATGTGGAGCATTCAAGATCTACAGTGTCATTTTTCTCTGTCCTATTCTTTTTAGCTTGGGTAAGTTGATGGATATAGGCTTATGAATGTGTATTTGCTGTATATGTTCTTTCTCATCTATGTTTACATTTCTGCCTGAAAACTTGCATAACATGTTTCTAAAACTAAACTCTCATTAATGCTCATGCTGGGATGAAACCCTAACATTTCACATTCTGTGTCAAAAACAATTTTGGCCGTTCACAGCTGAAATGCATATAATAAAAAAATCCAATATTTCTTCCTGGCATACATGAAGTTCAACCCCTTCCTCTTGAAAGTAAATACATTATTTGAACTACATAAATATTTTGTTCCATAACTCTGTTACTTCAAAAACCAACAGGAACTACATTTAGAAACAAAAAACAGGAGATATTCAGCCATCTGACTAATCTCAGTGTCATGAATTGAAGGCGTTTGCTCTGCGAATCAAAATTTCAGATACAAATTCTAAATTTCAGCGCTCAACAGACCATGTGTATGATTCTGTCCATCCAAGTTTTCCACCAAAAGATTATTTCTTCGAGAAAGAATTAGAAACAAAAACTAACCTCTCACTAGACAGTGAAGCATCAAGCGAAAACCCCATTTTAGGGTGAATAAAATCGTGGTATTAATAAATTTTGGGTCGGCAAATTTTCATGGCCAGCTCATTACCACAAGCCAATGAACTTCCACCAAGCCCCTCCGACTCCGAGCCAGATAAGAATGTTGACAATTGATATGAGGAACCCATAACCCCACCATTTTGAAAGAGGTACATAGTTGGCACCATAGAAAACAGGTGCAGAACCAATACCATAGTGTGTAAGGCCACCCATGAGGTTGGAAAGGAACGCCAGTACCATGGCTCCGAAGTATGGTGGAGTACCAAGAGCACTGGCAACAGACAAGAAGGCCGTAAACATAGCACCAATATGAGCTGCTCCACTGGCAAAGAAGTAGTGGGAGTAGAAGTAGAGAAGAACCAAAATGCCAAAAGATAGCTGCCATGAAAGACCCAAGCCTCCAACAAACTGTGAAAAGTAGGATACCAAGTCAGTGAATACTACAGTCATCCATAAGTCAAGTCTTTATTGAAATTCAGAGATCAACATAGACATTCACGTTGCATTATGCATGTTAATTTAAAATATAGTCAGTAATAACATGATTGAGAAAAGCAATGTAGAAACCTGTAAAGGGGAACACAAACCTTAACTACAGTTTGGCTGAACCACGAGATTAGGCCATACTTGTTGAGATAGCCAGCCATGGCAATAAGGGCAGCAAACCAGGTGAGGGTATCCCAGGCAACTGCTTCAGCTAAGCACTCCTTCCATGTCACCACACCAGTGACAAGGAGGATTGATAATCCAAGAATAGCAGCAGTGACAGCATCAACATTCAGCATCCCTCCAAAAACCCAGAGTCCCACCTAGTGATGGAGGAGAATTGAAAAATATATTTTCGTTATGAAGCATAATGTAAGGCTCAAGAACATTTGTAGGAAGATATAAAACTATTCCAGCACAAACACATAAACTGCCAAATAATAAGAATTAGCTCTGTAGTATAGCTTTAGCAAGAGTGATTGAAATAGATATAAATGATAAAAGTTAACAAGCAACAAAACATTCCCAACTGTTGATTTTTCTTTAGCAATGAGATATAGGCATAAAGAATCCAAATTTATTCATATTTAACAATTGATCATAATTTGAATAAGATACTAGTTTTGGATATATAAAAAGTCCCATGTATAATAAGTGCAAAATATTGACATGAAAACTACTGAAATACCAAGCCCTGGTTCAACCTCAACTTGATTAATCTAACTGCAACCTTGTCTTGACGAGCTACTGATTGCCAATTCAATTGTTATATGTTGGATCTTTCTTCAAAGATATTGCAAAGCAGAAACTAGCTATATTAACACTATTCATATGATCTCACATCCTACCAATTGTCTGACAAAAAGCCAAGTATATGACCTCCCAACCACAGACATCCTTCCTTCAAATTGAAATTGAGAAAACACATTTAAAATTCACATCTATCTTCGTTGTTGACAAGATTAGAATCAAGAAAATGGTTCTTCTGGGAAAACAATGTTAAATTGGTTGCTATGCTATCAATGGTCGGAACAGAGATCCCAAGCATCAATGCAAAAATGCACATTAGCAGGTCATTGTGGCAACGTAGTTAGAAGTTGAAAAACAGAGTTGTCATCGAGGAAATACCAAAATTCTGCAATGAACATTGAATTTTATATTGAGTTCAAACCACGTGAAAACAGAAATCAGATGACATTCAGTCAGAATAAAGGACCTACTCAGAATACAAACTAAGACAGATAGCCAAATAAAGTTCAATCTACCAGTTATATCTCTAAACCAAGCAACAATTCAAACTAATGATTAGCATCTAAAAATGTTAGATTCAAACGACGCACAAGCAAAATAAGCTACCGTTAAATTTCAAAATAACATTAAAACATATTAGGACCACGAAAAAGTAAGTGAAATATACCGTCAAAAGCAGAGTGCCAGCCATAATAATCTCATTCTTGGTCATTGGCCCCATGTTCTCCAGCTTCTCCCTAGCCAACTTAGGTGCATCCGGGCTGCTCTTCACTGTGGGCGGATAAATTATATACAGAAGCAAAGGCACAACAATTAAAGATACCAATCCAGGCACAAAAGCTGCCTTAGCCCAATCAGTCCACCCAATCGTTTGCTTAATCGTATTCAACGTCAAATTGGCACTCAAAGGATTCGCAGCCATGGCAGTCAAGAACATGGAAGAAGAAATCACTGATGTCTGGAAACAAGTTAACATTAACCACGACCCAAGCTTATTCTCAGTACCATCACCAGCATTGCTACCACATGCAACACATAAAGATTTCACCAACGGCAAAAAGATCCCTCCAGCTCTAGCAGAAACTGAAGGAATTGCAGGCGCTAATAGAGCTTCACTAAACACGAGACTGTAACCTAAACCTAAAGAAGAAGATCCAAACAGCGATACGAACTGATAAGCTATTCTGTTTCCTAGTCCAGTCTTAATAAACCCTCGCGCGAAAAAGAAAGCGAGAGCAATCAACCACGGGATGGGATCCCCGAATGCAGAAAATGCGGCAGAGAATGTGAGGGTTTTAGTGAGTACGGAAGCTCCCAAGCCCATCAAGGCGACGGCACCGAGAGGTAACGGTTGCGTGATGATGCCGACAATTGTGGCCAAAAAAATGGCGAGTAGTTGCCAAGCAGGTCGAGAGACTCCAGATGGGACCGGAACGAACCAGAGAATAACACCTGTAGCAATCGAGGCTAGCAATGGCTTCATAGCCGCGCCTTGCCATGGCTGAGCGGTAGGTGTTGAAGAGGCAGGAGAAGCTGCTGCTGCGGACGCTTTGACCGTTAAATTTAAGCTCCTCTGTTTCTGAAAGGTCGAAGTTGTGGTGGCGGTGGTATCCAATCGGGAGAATTTTGGAACGAATGGGTTGGTGGGAGGAAATCTGGCATTCGCGGTGAGTTTAGGGAGGGAAGGAAGGCAATTTGGAGCGGATCTGAGGTGTGAGAGAGAGCGTGATTTGAGAGAAGGAAGAGAATTGAAGGCGAGAGAACATGAGCTAGCAGAAGTGAGAGCTAGGGACGCCATTTTGGTGGTGGCGTTTCAGGGGGAAGAGAAGGGAAAGGAAGTCTCCGCTTTCAGTGCTTTTACAGAGAATGCACGAGTCAGAAACGGAAGGAAAGGAAAAAGGACATGAATGGAAAGTAGAATGGAGGATGTGGGGTTCGTTGGGTTGGGATTTATATGGGGGTTAATTTGAGCCGTTAGATTTTAATCCAAGGGTGAATTTGGAGACAAGAATATACGGCTCCATTTTGAGATTGGAGTTTTGTGTGTGAGCTTCGTTAATGCCGCCATGAGGTCGCAACTCGTAATGTCCGTCTAAGATCTTCTGTACATCGGCCCACTTGGACCCATTCAATTATAAGGGATCTTGCTAAAGTGCGCCGGGACAAACAAAAAGACATCCGAAGGCAAACTTTAAGTGGGCATATGTAGCCAACGCTAGCTTTTTTTTTTGTTGACGTGGATTGAAGTGGAATAGTTCTGAACCTATGAAGATCCGACGTGGCGAATAATAATTGGGTGAGTAATGCTTCATCAGCAAATCCGTATGCAGGGGTAGGCGACCAACAGTGCAGTTTGAAAGTGAGTTGGAGAATTTGAGCCAGTGAGTTAGGGGAAGTGCAATGACGATAGTAACCTTGGGGACAGATGCTACAGGCACCATAGAAATGCACGTGGAGGCAAAGTTGAGTTGAGCGCAGGAGCAGATCAAGAGGCAGTAGAAGACTAGAAGTGAGGCTGAGAGTAGAGAGATCACGTCACGAGTGTGGGTGGGACCACAGACAATCCCATTGGATCTGACTCTATTTTCAGACCAAGAGGCAAATTTTAAGTCACGTTACAGAGGAGGAGAGCTAATGAAAACAACATGATGCGGAGATGTTTAATAATTTAATGCAATTGTTTTCCACTTGATTAATTAAGGGCTAACAATTAATGTCCATGAGAGCAACATTCGTGTTAATATTTTTATTGTTCATACTTTTTTTTTTTGAAAAAGTATTCACACTTTATTATAATTATAATTTTGAAGAATGCAATGTTATAATAGAAGCAGAAATTGAATTCGAAATTTCTCTCATGTAAAAAAAAAAAGACATTGAATTTTATATAATATTGCTTGATATATTATAATTTATATAATAATTATAAAATTATTTTGAAATTTTTGTTTAATTATTATAATCATCACTTTTCTTTGGATAATATTATCATTTCATTAAAGAAAAAAGAAAGAGTATATTTGGACTGGGAGCAACCATGAGAATTAATAAATTAAATATATTTAATATTAATACTCCGTCCGTTTTAAAAAAATAATCTATTTTATATTTTTATACATATTAAGAAAATAATAATTATTATAGTTAAAGGATAATTTTATTCATATAGCTTTCATATTGTTTCTATTTTAAATAACACATGAACAATTATTGTATTGAAAAAATAGGTGAAAATTAATGAGAATTATTGAAATAAGATAAAATAGACAATTTAAGAATTAATTAAAATATAAAAAAATTAAATTATATTTTGGGACAAACCAGAAAGAAAATATCAACTATCTTTTTTAAATAGAATGAGCAGTAAATTTGCAATGATATCTGTCCAATGATAGAAATAAAACAAACTTTCACTAATGCTCATTGAAGTCGCTTTGGCCGAGTGGTTAAGGAGTGTGCCTGCTAAGTACATGGGGTTTTCCCGCGAGAGTTCGAATCTCCAGGCGACGAAATTTATTTTAAATTTATTCATTCTCGAACATCCACGCCAGATCATCAGCAGAATATGGACACGTTCAGAATTACGAAAGCAAATGTTAGGCACGTGATATCCTTCTTGCCGGGTGTCCTCGTGTTAATACGTGCCCTGGTATATGTCAGCAACATATGTCAACCTGGGACATTTGCCAACACTTGTTCGTGACACAGCTGAGCATAGTGTCTACGAGTTATTATCCATGTCATAAACCTCTGGTACACTTAGATAACTGGAGCCACGTATTCACAACGTATATGACACATCATCTTCTATCAGACACGTGTTCAGTACCATGTAAGCACCTTTGGCCCACGTCATATCACACATCATCTTCTATCAGCCACGTGTTCAATACCATGTAAGCACCTTTGGCTACGTCATATCACTATAGCTCTCTCACGTCACAGAATATAATGACACGTGTTTTGTACATGTAAGCAAACTGATGCCCTGTCATTTTCTTTCAGCCACGTGTTTGTTTGCCATGTCATCCCATAGTGTTCGTGTCTTCAGCCTTTAAGACACGTCAGATTACTGAAGCCACGTTACCCCATTTGCCACGTGTTTTTCTCCACGTAATCATTTTATGCCACGTCACTGTGTGCTAGATAGATGTTTACCGCTGAAGGCACATGTCATCGGTTCTTTCCACGCGAGCATGTTGCTCTCAAATTTCTTCATAAAAAAACAAAAAAACCTAATTCATTCCCTCTCATATAGAATCGATTTAATAAATCCAAATCCAACATAAAATTGATATAAGAGTTGCTTTTCCTTTTCGATTTCAAAGGATTTAAAATTCATTTGAATAAAGATGCAAGACGATGAAATTAAGTTCATTGCTGGAATCTGGAAGCGAAGTAACTAGAGAAGAATGGAGCATCTTCACTGCTTGAAGGCAATCGACTTGTAATCTTCAGAAAGAACGAAAGAGTAAAAAAAAAAAAAAATGATGATATGGATACATCTGATCATCTTCTTCTTTTAAAATAAGATATTTAGATTGGAAACTAATTAGATAAAAGGTGCAGCTATCTAGGTTTTATCATCTTAGTTGCTTCCACTCAATTCAAATTTTGCTCTTGGAATGACCTTTTCTATTGTTTTTGACTGTTTTAAGAGGCATGACAATACAGATTCCAAAGTTGATTTTCAGAAATTGAGAATTATTCCTAATTATCTAGGGTTATGTATTAAAAAGGATTTTATTGTATGATGATTATTGTGCTCTCATAAAAATTTGGATGGAAAAAAAAAAAAAAACCCTCACTTTATTCCCATTTACATATGGACAAAAAAAAAAAAAGGCTTTCAATTGTAAACTTACATGATGAAAGCTTCCTCAAGTTAGTTATGGAATGTTAGAAATCTAAAGAGAAATGATTTAAGAAAGCACTCTCTAATTCAAAATGGTCACCTTTCTTTCTCTTACACAGTTAAACCAAATCATGTAAAGTCTCCTTAGTTATAAAGCTTGCTTTATGTTCACTTCATACATAAATACTATTATAAAGCTTCATTTATTTATTTATTTATTTATTTTTGAACACCTTGGTGATACCTTTCTTTTCATTGTTGGACTTTAAATAATAACCATACATGACTATTTTTAGGCATGCAGTAACGGAAGGTAAGAGTTATAATTAAACTGAGAATTAAACAATTTTGGCTAATTAACTAATAAAATATGTGGGGAAAACCAATATAAATGTCATGTGTATAATCAAAGCAAGCTGACTAAATATACACAAATGGTACCTATAATTGCTGTTTCAAGTGGACATCTCATCTAAACAATAAACCTCATTAGAAGTAACAATGATCTTCACACACACAATTAGTAAAATAGAATAATTCAAAGTTTCCTTTTGAACAAGGTTTTGATTGAGACAGGGAGAATTAGTTTCTATATATATGTTTATCAATATGTAATTTCAAGGCCTATCAGTTATCTCCCACTAATAACAAACTTCCACCTATATATATATATATATATATATAACAAGTCATATATTCATACAAGGAGTCACCAACATATATATATATATATGAATTTTATTCCATGAGTATTTTGTTCTTACATATATACCTTATCTAAGCTATACATGAACATGCTTTGTTGAAGAACCTTTGAGGGACCCAAAAGGCTACACAATATATATATATAGTCTTCTTTCTTTTGAACTGAACTACAGAATACAGATTTGTATATAGTAGATTTCTACAAAAGGGAAAAGGATATCAATTTCAAAAATTTGAAAAGAGAAAAATTATTTGGAAAAGCAATTTTATCTTAACTTGAAAAATCAAGAAAAGGGAAGCTGGAAACATCTTTCATCAACTCTTCCAAGTCCCACTCTCCCACTTTTAGATCTCCTTGCCATAAGTTGCCAATCCCAGCTCCAAAATTTTCTGCATTATTACCGTTATTATTACTGTTATTGCAGTTACTACCAATCCTATTCACATTACCATGTTGGTATTTATTACCATACATATTATCAATTTTAGTGTTTTCTTCAATGCTTGTACTCTCTAGAGGAGGAACATGGAGATCCCCTTCTATCCCAATATTAACGCTTCCAAAGATTCCTTGATTCCCATATAAATCTTCTCCATTAACTCCTATCTGTGTCGTGCATGCGGGCGCATTATTGAAAAATACACTTGCACCGTAGATGCTCAGGCCATTATCAATGTTAGGTAATGAGTCCATCATGGGATGATGATTCATAAACATGGCTTGCATGGACGTTGATGTCGATGATAGTGATGATGATGATGATGATAATGATGGGTCTAAGTACATGGGATTCATGCCTTGTTCTTGCATGGAGATCATCATGAACCCTCCTACTCCTACTCCTCCTCCCATTGTGGCAGCTTCTTTGCTTGGCTCAGAGGAAGAATCACTCGTGTTTGGTGAGGCTGTGGAAGACAAATTCTTTAGTCTTTTTTTAATTGTTGAATTCCAAAAGTTCTTGATTTCATTATCAGTACGGCCTGGCAAGCGAGCCGCAATTTGAGACCACCTTTAAATAATACACGAAGAATCAAATTAATAACTCAGTTTTCAGCTATATTTCAAAGAAGGAATCTTATGTCTCTTCTACATTAATGCATGATTTGCGTGGAAGCTTAAATCTTTAAATTCAAGGGGTACATGATAAAAAATGAAGACTCTAAGAACAGTAAATTGTCCAAAACTTCAACTCCAAGAACACCACCAGAGCTGACCAAACCAGTAAATGTCACTCTCTTTCAAATATGACAGCTAACTTAATGTATTTTGCTCATATATATATATACCAGTTGCGTGTGAAAGGGAAAAGATACCAATTATTCTGAACAAATTATTCTGTTTTGGTCTATAAAATAGACGCACGTGCTCAGTGACTGCGAGTGAGAGAAGAGACTATATTTCCCTATTTTCCCCTCTTTTTTACAAATAAAGAAATTACAGACTGAATCCATCAAGTCTCCTCAAATTATTTGCATTAGATGGCAATGTTCTACCCTTTTTTTGAAACAACTTGCCCTCAGTTCAAGTTAATTAATCTGCATTCTGCTATTTTGCGGCAGATGAAATTTGTTCTAGTAATAACTGTCTGAAAATAATGTAGAGCACATGTACACTGTTGAAACATTTAATTTAAAAAATCCCAAGCAGAAATACTTTTAATATTTATTATTATTAGGAGGTCTAATTAAGTAATTTATGGGTCTACACAGCAAGAGCTGGAACTACTTTAACTATTATAATAAAAAATTTTAATTTTGTTAATAATTTATACATTTTTGTGGGGTACACATTTTGCATTTATCTAAAAGAAAATGAATCAGAAAAGGAAAACAAGCAAAGTTTGTAATTCTCCCTCTGCTTAAATGCATGAAGAAAATATCCCATTAACGGAGAAACACAGATCAACAGCAATAAATGCTCACGTATTAAATATGCTAAGACAAAAAAGCGAATAAACAGGGTATTGAAGGTACCTGTTGCCAAGAAGAGAATGCAAATGGATTATCAGCTCTTCTTCCTGAGGTGAAAATGCACCTCTCTTGAGGTCAGGCCTTAAGTAATTAATCCAGCGAAGCCGGCAACTCTTGCCACACCTCTGCAAGCCAGCATTTCTTGCTACATCACTCCAACAGCCCTGTCCATTGTTTATCATGTAGTTCATGAGCTTGTCATCTTCCTCTGGTGACCACAAGCCCTTTCTAAGCTTGTTATTATTGTTGTTCTTCCCAGAGGCCTCTGGCTTCCTCATTTTGAGAGCCTTGGATCCTATCCTCTGAAAGTATCTTCCCCAACTAGTTTGATGTAGATTAGTTAAGACTTCATAGAATTGTAATATATGAGAGAAAGAGAGAGAGAGAGAGAGAGAGAGAGAGAGAGAGAGGAGGCTTCATAGAGTGGGAATGATGATCATGACGGTTGTGGGGTTTGCTTAGAATATAGGGAAGAAAGAGAGAGAGAGAGAGAGAGGGGGAGGTTGGTTGATGGGTCTGAGTAGAAAACGGTTTGGAGAGGGACCTGAGAAAAATGAGAGAGATAGGTGGTCGTCTTGTCTTTGACTCCATGATCTTTTCTTTTTTTATAATATTTTTCTTCACTCACAAGGTAATCATCATATATACATATCTTCTTGTATCATATATGGAGAGACTGAAACAACTAAACAATAACACATAAAACACACAAAGGTAAAATAAAAAATAAAAATGAAAAGGTTTGTTTCATAACCAAGCCAAGATATTTGCTTCCACTTCACATAATCTCACACGTGTATTTGAAGATAGTGAATAAGATAATAATAAAGAAATAATATTGCAAAAACTCATGGAAAATGTTTAATGCTGGTCCACATTATCAGGGATCTTCATTGGTGATTTTGGCTTTAGATGCACACGTTTAGGTCTTACAGACCCTCAAAAGAGTAGAAAACACTCCACCATGCGGAAATATAAACCTTAAATTGTTGTCTTATATCAGAATCAGAAAATAAAAATCTCTGTACCTTTCTGATCAACATCTCATAAAGTGCTAAAACAGTACATTAATTATCAAATGAAAGTTACATAACATTCCTGCATTATGTATCACCTGGTCAAGTCCTTGTTCTGTGTTGGCTCTAGGAGACTAGGATCTCCCTAGCTCACTGTTTAGAGATATTGGAAAAAACACATCAGAATTTTCTCAGGCTCCCAACGGAGCTAGTGATCAATTATCAGGTTATTATTTCTACTTCCTTTTTCAAGATTAAACAAGAGAGCTCATGTAAAAAAGATTGGATAATCTTGGAAGGAATCAATTGGTTTTTCACGTTTGGGTTTTATTTTAGATGTGTTCTACAAATCATATGTACTTTACTGTGAATTTACTACAGTGGAAAGAATTGTGTTTCAAGCAAATGAAGTTTTTCTTTTCCCTTAAATTTTCAGCTTTCCACAGCATGATTTGTCTAGGGATTACAAAAGATAGTAAATTAGAAAAAATAGAAAGATGAAATAGACAATTGACATCAAAATACGTCTATTTCTGATTGATATCTAGAAAACTAGTATGCAGGGTTATACTGCCCTCTGACGGCAGTTATATGTTGGAGGCAAAAATTTAGTAGGGTGTATTTGGAAAATTATCTTCTAGAATGCCGGAAAGTGAAATGCTTCAATTATTTCTTACCTGCCAAACAATACCCTAAATGATGATGGACCAATCTGATGTCTCCTGAACTAATAAAAACCTGACAAATTCTCAATTCCAAAAGGAAAATACAGAATTGATTTTTCTGGAATGCAATAACTCAATCAATTACAGCAAATAATTTCTCAAAGACTGTATTGGCAAGATGTAATTGAAAGCCACATCAGATTATGCATTAGTGGTAGCCACCACAAGAGATTGTCTGAATTGAGACATGTTCACATCAAATATCCCTAACCAACCAATTAAAAAGAAAAGCTGTTTTAAAGATGCAAGTAGACCCAAAGCGTGTTAGGATTGGAGGAAAGAACCAGGATATTGCTGTGACAGATGTTATATATATGATCCTGTACCATGTTCATGCTAAAGATTGCATCATTGTTCTTCTTTATCATTTTACAAGCTCCTCCCCACACACCAAAAAGGTTAAAGAAAGGTCAAAAAGTTTTTAAGACAGTACTCAAAAGGCAAAAGAGTTATCAATATATGATATATTGGAAGTCCCCAAGGGGGCCAAAAATCTAGTATTCCATCAAGTGAGTGGAGAAAATGGAAGAGATTCTATCATCAAATTAAGTACTCATTGAACATATATATGTATGTGCCAATTTTGGATTTGTGTGGGTGTAGGATGGAGATCCAAAAAATATACGGTCATATTAGCATTTTATATTATATGGTTAGACAACATCATATAATAAATTGACTTCAAATAAACTCATGATTACAGTAATTTTAGTGCTCTAAATGAGAAATTAGATTTGCTTACAATGTGATGACTTAAGCCCAAAATCCAATAAAACATTTCATTGGAACTTAAAACCAGGATATTTGAAAATATTTCCATCATGAATTTGCTCATAAATAGCACAGCTTTCTTTTTTTTTTTTTTTTTTTTTATCCATAAAACATTTCATTGGAACTTAAAACCAGGATATTTTGAAAATATTCCATCATGAATTTTGCTCATAAATAGCAACAGCTTTCTTTTTTTTCTTTTTTTTTTTCTTATTTTTGTGCGAACTAGAGTAAAGCAAATACATAAATAAATAAAGGGGACAATGTGTGGGGAAATATTCTGAGGGTACTCTAGAGATTTCAACTTTTTTAATGCTTTCAACCTTAAACTGTTCCTCTTGCTAAAGCTTTGTTGTCTCTACCTGTTTAAGGTTTTTTTTTTTTTTTTTTTTCTTTTTTTGTGCGAACTAGAGTAAAGCCAAATACATAAATAATAAGGGAAAATGTGTGGGGAAATATTTGAGGGTACTCTAGAGTTTCAACTTTTTAATGCTTTCACCTTACTGTTCCTCTTGCTAAAGCTTTGTTGTCTCTACCTGTTAAGGTTTCTCCAGTAATAAGTAAACATGGCTTTAGGTTGATGAGACTGGGCCAATAAGGAAGGCCTTTTAGGTCACTACAGGCAAACCTGGTGATGGATTGTGAAACATCCTATTTTCAAATGTAGGGCTAATAAAGGGGATATATCAATGAATTTAACTCCTAAAAAAGAGCCATGGAAAACCTAGAGATGTTTCTAGCGAACATCCAGTAAATGTGGAATCCATATCAATAGATAATTTACTTTCAATGAATAAGGACCAGCGACAAACATGTCTTTCACAGCATTGACAAGTCATTAAAGGCAAAATTAAAAGAAAGAGGCTTACAGGCTACAGCTTCTTTTAGAGTTATTCCACATTTTAACTCTTATCAAATGTCAAACAACATGTGGTTAAAGGCTATAAGCAGCCACCAATAAATGTAGGATCTACCTGTAAAGCAAGAAGTTAAAGTGATGACAGACGAATCATAAATATATTGCACACCAAAAATTCAAAAAGAAAATAACAATATGTGATTATGCAAATTAATACCAGGACCTCTTTTTTTTATTAATTTTTTAAAAATGATTTATTGATCACAATAAACAGGGAAACGATAAAAAAGATATAAAAATAATTAGAATATCGTGGCTCCATCATTCATTGGAGATGACTCTAGAGAGGTTGATATGGAGCTGACACCAAGGAATAAGTGCCTTCTGTAATTCCTCTATCAAGCATGTAATTATGAGCTGTTCATTATTCTCGTACTTAAATTATTAAGCTGTTGTCAAATAGAAATATATACAAATACCTGATTGTTTTGCAATCTACAGGATATATTTAACACAAGAAAAGTTGATAGAAAAAAACAGTTAAAGAATAAAAGGATTGTAAAAGGGAAAATAGAGAATGTGTGGAATTAGAACATGTTTCAAATTGTAGAGGACAAGTCAAAACCAATATAAATTTACAGAAATGGATCTACTCTTTTTAACTCCAATAATAACATATTACTCATACACATAATGATAAGTCCAGCTTTACATTTGCCGGCAGGTCCACTTAAGTACATTAATGAGCAAAAGAGTGATGAAGCAACTTCAAGAGAGAAGTAATGTTTTATTGCTTGAAAATCTATCTTTAGAACTAAGGGTAAGCTACCACCAACAATTAGAGATAAGTTTGGTGCTTGTTGAAGGTCTAACTAGGAAATCAAGATTAAAAAGGCATAATTAGCATGGTTCGAAAATCTCAACAACATTAAATTTGACAATCAAAGCAACGCCAAGTATAGGCCTTCTTCCATCACATAATAGCTGCTTTTGATCAATTTCACCTCAATAGTAGTGATCAAAGTAACAATAACACTTCAACAGTTTCAATGAAACGTTTTCAGAATCATGACATGTATTCTGCTTCTATCAAATATGTAGGAAAGAAAAAAGCACATAAACAGAAACAAAAGGTAACTAATCCTTCCACCAATAAGTAGGTTTTTACATAGATTGACAGAATTTTCTCTTGTAGTTGTTGACACAATTTGTTTCAGCAAGTTATTTCATATATAAGCACCTAAACCTTTATATTGTGTTTGGATAGGATGGAAAATTTAGGAGAAAAGAAAATTGGTAAGGAAAATAATAAGATAATCAACTTTTCCTTGTTTGGAAACAAAGAAAAAAAAAATTTGAAGGTAAATATGCCTTAAAATCTTCCCGGCCCCACAAATGCACAATATCTCCAAAATGGAGAGAAAATCAGGCTTGTGTGATGGAAATCACACTATTCACTGTTAAATTATTTAATTACCCTCACAGTTTGTAAATTAATCATGTTAGAACAAGGTTAAAATTATAATTTGCAATACTGATATTTTCTTTCCTCTACAATTTGAGCCTTTTCAAACAATAGAAAATATATTATTTAGTGAACTTCATAAATGATTGATTGGCTTAAATGAAAATATGACCCAAGTTCAACTGAAAACGGGTATAATAAACTCACAAGTAAAATCTGTTTGTTCATCATTTTGGAGGTGAATTTTTTGGAGTGGATTATGGATTTCCCTTGATGGCTTTAGTTTATGGAGTTAAATATAGCTATGCTTCGTTTTCAAACAAACGTAAGAGACACTTGAACATTTTGTTAAAAACAGAGACATAATAACAATTTGATCCCAAAGACTACAATTCCAATCCACAGTTCACTTCAAGATGTATAGGCTACTAGATAAGAAATGTATATAGTTGAATAGAAAGATTAAGATGGAAGAGATGTAGGCAGTTTGAATTCCTCCAGGGATGAGAGAGTTACCTCGTGTAGCTTTGCTTTCTATACCATAGATCTCAAATTTCAAAGAAAATATGATTGGTTCAAGTGATACCTATGACAAGTAACCGTAGCTTAAAGATCATAACAAAAAAACGAAAAACTACAGCCACTTTTTTTTTCCGCTGAATCTTAAATACTAAAACTGAATCCCAATACAATATGAAATTCAAATTTTCACCTGAAATGCTGTCAATGAATAAGCGTTTATGTGTTACTGATTTTCTATGAAAATGTATTTTTTCTCTCTTTGGTGGCCCAATTGTCATCCTTCTTTGCGAAGCGCGCGAACGCGAAATGTCAGATTCCTCCGATCAAGAGGAAGATCATTGATTCAATGAGTTGGAAAGTTATCGCGAAGGGAAAGGAAAAGAACTGGAAAACCAAATCCAAAAACAAGGAAATTTGAAGTGTGTGCGAACAAAATACGAAGAGCGCCGAAAGCAATTTCAATCGAGCTCGCGCAGTTTGATAATGCACAGTGGACCTCCATTATAGGAACCGCGCGCATTCTCTCATTCAATTCAAGTTCGCAGAAACTTTATTTGAAACGAAAAATAAGGTGCGGTTTGTTTTTCGATTAGACTTTTTTTTCTTAAAAATAAAAAAATAAAAAATAAAACTTATTTGTTTTTAAACATGTTTTTTTTTTCTTTACTTTTCAGAAAACTACTTTGAAAATAAAAAAAAAAATTTACAACGCAATTCTATTTTCTGTTTTTAATTATATATTCCTCTTTTTCTCATTTTTAATAAAATTTATCCTGTTATTGTTATAGTTATTATTTTTTTTTATGTCTATATAAATCTAATTTATTTATCCAAAATATAGAAGCATTCATTAAAATTTTATATTTTTTATCTCTTTTCTATTTAATATAATTTTTATATTTATTATTATTTTCTCTATCTATATAAATTTAATGTTGTTTAGTGTTATTTATTTACTATAATAAATATATATTATATTTTTGTTCAAATAATCAACAGTAATTTTAAAATTTAAAAATTAAGTATGAAATATTTTTAATTATTATCTTAAATTTTAAAACTTTTATTATTAACTAAAATTTTTAATGGTTTAATAAATGATAGATGTCATAATTAAAATAATTTTTCATATTATGAACCAAAAGAAAAAAATAATTTAAGGGAAAAACAATCAATTTAAAAAAAATAACCAAATTTTTATATACGGGCGAAATGTTTTGGTGGGCTAAGTAAATCGTAGTTCATTACCCATATTCGGATTTTGAGCATGAGGAATATTGCTCGTAAATGAAAAGATTGATTTCAAATGAAAAAAAGTTCACTAAGACCAGCAGCTTGTCCCGCAGTTCAAACCACAAACAAATAAAAAAACAAGCATCTTTACTCATCAAGATATATCTCCCTGTTACATAATTAATTAAGAGAAACAACCAAATTTTTAAATACTATTAAATCAATTATTGTTTAGAACATAACAGCAAGTATATAAAATTGAAATATCTCATTCAAAATTGCCTGAACTGACAGAAAAAAACAGAACACCGCGTCCACTGCCACAGTAGGGGCAGTAAAGCCAAAATTGATGTAAACAACAAATCCAAATCCACATCCACGGTTCAGTGAATCTCTGCAAGACATATTCAAGCCTTCCCCTGCAAGATGGGAAAAGGCAAAGGTTAGTTACTTTTTGTACTGCACTCACTCTCTTCACAAACATTGAAACAAAAACTTAAACGCCTAAAATAAAATCAATTAAGCAGTAAGGTTGTGTATGAATTTTCATTTTGACAAAAGAAAATTGTCCATAAGAAATGAGAAGCAAACAACAAATAGTGCATATACAGGCAAGGAAAATCAAGTTCTGTCCAATCGCCTAAGGATGCATTTCTATATCTGAAATTTGTAAATGAATTCATAAAAACATAACCAAGTAAAGTGTAAGCAAATTTGCATCTTCTATTACTGAAATTTATAAATGAATTCACCCTTACTCAAACCAAACATAACCAAACCAAACATAACCAAGTAAAGCGCTACATATAAGACAAACCTTAAGTGATCAACGTCTTTGGGTTTTTCCAATGGAACGCTTCCCAGAAAACAAGTGCTTCGGTTTGGGATTAGGAATAACCCTATCTGCCTCTCCGCGACGAGCATCTTTATTCCGCTTTTTAGCAGATTTCTTATGAAGCTTAAGAGCTTTCAACTTTTGAGAAGAGTCCTTGAAGCCCTCTCCAGGGACAACCTCACCTGGAGGCCTTGACACTGACCTTGATCGAGAGCTAGATCTAATGCGCAGCTTCTTATTTGAATGGTCAACATCCATATCCATAGCATCACCATCATTGTTGTCTCCCCTAACAACTGACCTCTCCCTTTTGCGGCCTCTCCTAGAGAGAGACCTGCTGCGGGCACGATTAATTGCCAAAGAAGGATCAATCCCCAAAGCAGAGAGTTGTCTGCCCATTCTCTCTGTTGTGAACTTTTTGTCTTTGTCAAATTTTCTAGGTACCATAGGCCGACTCTCTGCAGTACTCTTCTTAATCCTATGCTCCTGAATGAGTAAGCTTTTCTTTTTCCTAATCTCAGCCAAAGCTTTTTTCTCTTCCTCAGTTAATTCCTCACCATCCATCTCAAAATCCCCATTTTCTTCCTCCGCTTGCCGAATACCTTCTTCTCGTTCTAATTCCTCAAGTCTCTGTAAGATATCAGGATCAATGAAGTCGTAAACATTGTGACCATCAAGAATTTCTGGCAATACATCTTCTTTCCATTCATCATTGGCTAAGATGTAATTCTTCCTCAAACTAGCAGCGTATACACCTGCACCACCATTTTCATCCTCCAAATCCTTTTCAGTTTTTCTCTTCTCTCTCTCTGCTGCCTCTGCAGCTTGCTTTGCCTTAGCTTCCAAAACTGCAGGTGGTATACAAGGTGGCCTTTCTTTCTGGTCACGTTGCTTTGGCATTGCAACATGAAACCGATTCAAGCAGTCATTTATCTTTTTAGATTTCATCTTCAATTCCACACGCTGATCTAGTAACCTTTCACAGGCTGCATTCTTGACAGCAATCACTCCATCCTCAGTCAAAGTGCTCATTTTCAAAAGCACACCTTCATCATTTGCAGGTTCACCTCCTTGACCAATCAGAGTCTTCATAGCTTCTGCTTTCATCTCCATCACCAATTTCATGTCTTCTTCAGACATCCCTTCAAATGGCTGCAAATCAGTCTTGTTGCAGACTATGATCAAAGGTTTGTTCATAAAGAGAGACTTGATGCTATGGAATAGGGCTGCTTGTTGGGCAATGCTGTAACCACATGACCCTGAGATGTCCAAGAAGAAAAGCACCGCAGCTCGTAAATGTGCCAGGGCAGTGATACTGCACATCTCAATGATATTACGATCTTCAAAAGGTCGGTCCAAAATCCCTGGTGTATCAATCACTTGGTACCTCAAGTACTTATAGTCAGTATGACCCACAAACAGAGACTTAGTGGTGAAAGCATAGGGCTGGACATCCACATCAGCCCTCGTGATCTTGTTAATGAAAGAGCTCTTGCCTACATTAGGATACCCACAAATCAAGATAGTTCGAGTATTGGGATCAATTGAAGGTAGCCTAGCCATATGTTGTCTGATTTGTTCCAGATAAGCTAAACTAGGGCCAATCCTCTTAATCACAGTACACATGCGACCAAGAGCAGCTACTTTCAGAGACTTGCACCGATAGAGCGAATCACCATACTTCAGCAATTTCACATAATCTTTTGCTATCTTGCTAATGAGATTCCTGGCAGTATTAACTTGGCCAAGGGCAAGTTTGTAGTGGTCCTTGTTGTAAAGAACATGAAGGAGGTCACCGTAGAATGGATGGATATCATCCAGCCGAGGAAACTCCTCAATAATTGTAGACAGTTTCTCATGAAAATTCTGTTGTGTGTACTTGACTTTACGCATGTAAAACTGACGCAGACGAGAAATTGCATATCCCTTGTGGACAACTGTTGGTGTTTGTCTTTGTGTTCGGGAAAGGATGATATCAATGAAATCCTTCCCACTAGGGACAACAGTGATCTTCTTAAAATTATACTGAACCATCTTTATATTTTATTCTGCAATGGATATAACAGGGTTCAGTTAACATGGTATTGCAGACTAAATCCAGCATACATATTAAAGTAAACCACGGTTTGAATATATCAGACGTACAACATAACATTGTGTCTCTAATAAGAAAGGACAAGTTCATTCTTATCACAACTGCAGAACATGTACTTTAAGAAATTGTAGATTATAAAGAAAACAATTTCATCCCCAAAGTGTTCAGAAAAATCCACTAACAAATAACAAACTGCAGAGTAATTGAAACCAAACCGATCACATATATTGCATCAAGAAATTACAAAATAGGCTGAATACAAATATCATAAAATTTCTTAATAAAATAAAATAACGCATATTCAAATAAAAATCTCAAACAATTCAACATTTAACCATGATCCTGCAAAAATATACTATGTAGCCGAATCCAAAAAAATCGTAAAAATGCAATATTTAACTATGAAACGCGCGCTGAGCTAAATTGAATTTGAAAATGAGATTATAACTAATCCCAAAAATGAAAAGGTTTAGGTCTGAACTGTATTATTAAGGGAAAATCAACTAACGTACTTGGAATAGAAATCAGCTGATAAGAAACACAAGATTTGAAATTAAGCTCTGAGATTTTGAAAGAGAAGTTCACCTTTCCTTGAGGTGTAGACGTTGGGCTCTGCAGCGGCCCTGTCTAGGGTTTAAGGGGAGGAGAGCAGAAAGAGGCAGTTTATGTAGGGTTTGCCATTTGCTTAGACACACAAGTACAAATATACCCTTATATTTAATTTTATTTCCCTTGGCATTAGTATTGAAAACCGGTAAAAAGCCAATAAATTAGTAATAGCATTTTTTTACCACTACCCTTGGTACTCACCCAGCTTATCCACGTCTCTGGACAGTTCAAGCTACGCTTCGTTCGCAGAGGCTGTGTTACAGCTATGTTGAGACTATTAACGGTGAAACCAGCGGTCTGTCTCAAGCCTGTCCTCTCCTTTCTCTTCCCTCCAAAGGCATTGAAATCGCCTCAAAGCTCTAAACTTTTCTTCCGCAAATCTCTCTCTCTGTTGTCTTCCTCCACGTCGCAAGCCCGATCTTTTACTTCGCGGGCTTCAAATTTTCTCAATAATGGCAGTATTGAGCCCTATTATCTCTCTTGTTGCATGCCCGATAAGCGTCTCAGAGTAGCTGTTCTTCTCAGCGGTGGTGTCGATAGCAGCGTTGCTCTCCGCCTCCTTCATGCTGCTGGCCACCAATGCACTGCTTTCTACCTCAAAATCTGGTTTCAAGTACTTTCTCTCTGTGTTTATGTTATGTTTGATTTATAATAGTTCATAAAGCTTCAAATATGATGCTGGACCTAAAAGATGAGTAAACGCCATTTATATAAGCCAAAGGGGATAAGGCATAACAAAATAACACAGTGAAAAAATCGAAAAGCCTAGCCTTGCGATCAAAAGTGTAAACTTTGACCCTGAATTTGGATTACCGCCCCAATTGGCTTGTGGGTAAATGAGGGAAAGAGGAAGACGGAACCTTTTGGCTTTTTATTTTATTTGTTATTTAATTTTAAATTCGTTTTGCACCACTTGAACAAATCTGGTACTGAAGTATTACTTGTATAGGAAGATTTCGAGAACTTTTGGTCTGAATGCCCGTGGGAAGAAGATTTAGAGTACGCTAAAGCTGTTTGTGATCAGGTTTCTTCTTTTCTCTATTGCTTATATATCTATGCAATTGTCATGAATTGCTCCCGCCCAGTTGTAAATGGATTCTCTTATTTAAGATGGGCAAGTCTTTTCTTGTTTTTCATCCGTAGCTATGCACAAAACATAACTTTCTGCTATTAAATGCAATTGGTTTCAGGTGGATGTACCATTAGAAGTTGTGCATTTGACTGATGAATATTGGAAGAATGTGGTACGTTAAGCTGCATCTCCCTTAGTTGTGTAATCTCTATATTGTGCTCTTTGTCACATCTCCCTATGTAGTCAGCCATGTGTCTATTTATATAATCCACCCATGATCCAATCTTTTGTTGTGATGTGGGTATAACTGTTGTTAAAGTTAGCTCTGCTATCAGTAAAATTGATTTTTTTTTTTTTTTTTTATAATGATCCATCGTGTATTTGACTTCATGCTATAATTGGATGAGTTCATTAAGGCATTCTCAGAGCTGTAAAAAAAGTCACAGTGAACATTTCAGGTCTCTTACATCATTGAGGAGTATCGATGTGGGCGTACTCCCAATCCAGATATTCTTTGCAATACACGAATTAAGTTTGGTATGTGTCGACTGAGCTTGATGGTGGAAATTATCTGTTGATTAACTGATTCAATTGTTTACCCTTTTCTCTTGTATTGTTTGTATTTGTTGGTTGCAGGTGCATTCATGGATGCCATTAACAGTATGGAATTTGATTATGTAGCCTCTGGGCACTATGCCAATGTCATCCATCCATCTACAGATAAAATAAACAAGTCTTCTGTCTTAGAACTCTCAAAAGACATGGTAATTATGTGAGAATTACATTTGCAAACATTTATTTTCTTCATGTCCCTTTTACTTTCTTTCATTTATATGTTAATCTAAATAGCTATTTATGTGTGGGTTTGAGACATGCATGCTTAGGTTCTCGGATCACGAGATTCACAGTGCCAAATGCACTTTGATGTGGGAAACTCTCTCTCTCTCTCTCTCTCTCTCTCTCTCTCTCTATCTATCTAAATTGTGTTGGAGTTATTGCTATATATCTTATTATCTTCTTGAAGACAAGTGTAAGATATGGTCTTCCAAGGAAAAATGTGCAGTTGCAGTATTTTTTTTTTAGTCTACAATCGTCGTGAAAAGCAAGACAGGATATTAGGTGCCCTTACTTTTTTGCTTTTACTATATAGACAGACATTATTAATCATTTTTCAGAGTTATTTAATTGTGTTATATTATCAAGGCAAAACTGGGCAATGGTACAATGTTATTTCGTAATTCATAGTATATATTGTGGTGAAATGTTCTTTCATTTTTACATACTTTTTTTCCCATGCAATCAATTCTAATCCGAAAATATTGTTAATGAAATTTGATCACACAACATATATATTATGTTTTTATTATTGTATTTGGATCTTTGATACTTGTCACTTAATTGTAAACTATTGAGAAGATTACTGCAAGAGGCCTGCTTGTTAATATCTTTGATTTTGACTTTGCAGGTCAAGGATCAAACTTATTTTCTTTCACATCTGTCACAGGCCCAGCTTAAGAGACTTATTTTCCCACTTGGTGGTATTCCAAAGGTGCATTGTATTACCTTTGCTAATAGAAGTATTTAGATTATTTTCTATATATTTTAATGATGTTAAATTCATTAACTGAGGTGATATCTTTATATTTTTTTTACTGTTTAAGCATTTATATGAATCTTGGATTGTGTCAAGTGTTGACTGAAAGGATGGAGGTGTATGCAGCAGTCAGTTCAATGCAATTATTACATTATAATTGGTGCTGTAAAAAAACCAATATAAGTAGTTCCATCTTGTTGCATTGGTAATATATCTTAAGTGCAAGTGTTCCTTATCATTTTTGGTCACACAAACTCAAGTTCTTGTAATTTGGTAGACTTGCTTGCGAAGTCTTTTTGTAACTGCAATGTATTGTTTGTTCATTTATGATGTGATTTTTCATTATTTCCCCTTCTCAATAGCATATGCACTAAATTATGTTATCAGTTTTAATCCATTGTATGGTCCGACTTCCTGTATATATTTTATCTATTTGCTTAATTGTCTGCAGGATGAAGTTCGCAAAATTGCTAAACAATTTGATTTGCCTAACAAAGACAGAAAGGATTCACAAGGAATATGCTTCCTTGGGAAGGTACATCCTTTGGGAAGCTGTTTCAACCACATTCCTTTAAAACAAACCTCTTTGATATTTTCAATGTCTTCTTTTTACCTGCTCAATATATAGTGGTCGGCATGCATGTATTGCCTTGAGTTTGACTTACAAACTTGCACTTTAGAGGATGCCAAAGCAAGGTTGTTAGTCACCAAGTCAGAATTACATAAGGTTAAGTTTACTTTGCGTGTAGTTTAAAAATCATCATTATGGATGCTGAAAAAGATTAATTTGACCATACTAGATAGTGAAGCCTACCCAATTGCTGGTCATTTTGAAGCATTTGTAGCCTCTTTTTCTTCTTCTTCTTTTAAACTTTTTACCCTGTTTTTTATTTTAAAAATTCAAGCATCCATTGTATTTAAAAGGTCTATTAGGACTATGTTCACATTGGAATTTGATCCTTTCTATTTTAGATCAAATTTAGTGAATTTGTTGCAAGACATATTGGGGAGAAGGAAGGTATAATATTGGAGGCAGAGACAGGAGATTTCCTTGGCACACATCGAGGGTTTTGGTTCTACACTATTGGTCAGCGGCAAGGTCTACGTCTTCCTGGGGGTCCCTGGTATACTCCTGGACTTTGCCTTTGGTGATGCTTTGAAAAACATTTGCTAATTGTCATTCAATATAGGGCTCTTCTTGATACCAAGTCGTGCCATTATAAAGAAGAGATGTAATTTATTGTCAGATGACCATGTTCTATTGTCTGCCAATGATTGTGACTATGTACCTTTTGATTGTACTTGCATTTTTTATTTTCATATGTATTTCAGTGTTGTATTGTTTTGATGTTGCAATATCATCATAAGCTAATTGCCATATCTGAAGTCAAATGTCCTACATTTTTTCATGCAATTTAGCTGCAGTATGTTTGATCTAGAGTATAGTAGTTTTCTCTCTAGCTTTAAACTTTGAAGTCCTTATTAAGAACAATGTATTATTTAGCACTTATTGGGCATTCCTTAGTCATGTTGCCTAGTAATTATGCAGGTACGTTGTTGCGAAGGATACTAAGAACAATGTAGTGTTTGTTTCAAGAAATTATTTCTCATTTGACAAAAGAAGGTGCTTATTCCGCGTTGGCTCCTTGAGATGGTTTAGTGGTTCGCCTCCCACAAAAACCAGTGTGCTGCAGTGTAAGGTAGAAAAATCCAGTTCCATATTCACATGAATATGCTGTGGATATTTCCTCTTTGAGCATTCTTAGTCTTTGTTGCTATGAAAAAAGTCCCATTGGTACTTTTTATAACTTTTTGGCAACGGGTTGTTAGCCTGTTTATCAGTTAGAATCTCTGGTAGGTGCATATGATGTTTCCTGTTATTTTATGTTGAGATGCTTTAGATCTTTACTTTAAATGCTGTACTTTCCAGGTGAGACATGGCCCTGGGTTTTATGATTGCAGTGTGGTGATTAATCCTGGTGAAGTTGAAAGTGAAGATGTTGCAGTTGTCCGCTTAACCGAAGATGATCAAGGTCTAGCGGCAGGGCAATTTGCAGCCTTTTACCAGGGAAGGACCTGCATAGGCTCTGGTGTGATCTTGGAGTCTTGGGATGATCAGGGATTTCCCATATGTGAAAGGGCCCTTGAATTGGCAAGAATGGAAGACAAATCAAAGCTTGGGAAACCAGTTAAAATAAAGGTTAAACCAGAGATTCCACACGAATCTGATAAAAGGGATGATATAGGACTTGATAGAGGATTGGCTGATCCCAAGGTTGCTATCATGAGTTGAAAAACGTTGTACGTATCAATGGGAAGAGAAATCCAGATCCAATGGGTTTAGATATGGTCTTCATAAAACTCGAGAGCATTAACGAAGACAATGGTGAGGATTCTTGCCACCGGAGGCTAATTTTGGTGCAGACAGGTGGTGACGGGTATATTTGTATGTATGAATGTGTACAAATGCTAGAAATATCAGGATAATACTAAAAATAAATATTTATTTGAAAACTTTTATTTTCTTGTAATGCATTAATATGTAATCTTTTTTTTAAATTCATTGAAGGCTTTTATGGGTTGAAATAACAATGCGCGCTAAACAATAAAGGGTAACTCTTTCCTTGGCATTCACTATACTGGTGAAAATAACTCTGGTCGAGAGAATTCGAATTCGAGATCTTTCACTTTTCATATAAATGAAAAGTTCAACTAAAAGGTCTCTTTTCACATAAATGAAAAGACCAACTAGATTATCACTTGATCGATTAATATGTATTTTTTTTATTTACTCAAATGAAATAGGTTAACTAGGTTAACGTAAAAAGAACTTTTTTTTTTTTTTTTTTTTCAATTCTTGCAAAATTATGTTTTTTTAATGTGATAAAATAATCACTGGAAAAGGAAAAAAAAAAACACCGCTGAATTGTCCATGTGATAACGTGTGGCCAAGCTACAAGTCGTTTCGTGTATAAAAACAAGCGACAAATTATTTCCTAAGCGATTGCTCTTTCTGCAACGACACTAATATTTCGTAAATTATAGCTTTTTTTGGGTAAACGACCGACATTACAATCAGTATTTCTTTTTCTCTTTTACATCCTAGAAAGAAAAATAGATTATTTGGCTAAAACGATTGTCGTTTTTAGTCTACCAAGTCAAAAGTCAGAACTCGGAACCAAGAAACTAAGCGAAAAAAGAAAACCCAAAACCCAAAGAAGGAGATAAACCTCCCGTTCCATTAACCGCCAAACCTTCCAATCTACAGAACAAACTGAAAACACAACCTCAGTATCAGCTCTCATGTCAACTAGCAGTAACTTCTTCTTCCTAAAATCCTATTCTCCTCCTTTTCTCTTCTCTCCCATCCCTAAAATTTGTCTTTCCTTTCTCTCCCCTCCACTTCTCACTCCGCTCGCATTTTCCCTACCAAATACCTCCATTTCTCTTCAAACTCCTCGCTCTTATCTCTCCCTTTCCAAGTTAACTGCTCACAAATACGAAGTTGAAGAATTCGAAGACGAGGAAGAAAATGAAGAAACAGAGATTGACAAATCTGACAGCGAGGATTACGCGATTGATGTGGATGCGCTCGAAGAGGAAGCTGAAGACGCTGTTAGAGAGTACTCTAGCTCCTTATCTCGCCAATTGAGAATCGGTTGTGTTTATCTTTTCCAATTTTAATCACATTTTACTTTTCTAGAACAAGCAATATTCTTTAGTTTTATGTGGCCATTTGTCGTTGATTGTTTGCAGATGATGAAATTGACGATAAAAAGGAAACCAGAAAGCATAAGAGGCAAAAAGCAACTTCTCCAGAAGTTAGTCAACTGATATTTTAACTATTTTCCTGTTCTTTAATGTTTTATGACTCTTTTATTACCGGAGAAAATGGAAAACTCCCAAGTTCCTAGCCAAAAAGAAATATAAAAATTTTGAAGTACAGAGTATTACAAATGCTGGAATTACCAACATCTAACTGGTTCTAAGTTTATAATGACTCAGTAGGTTTGATACTTTTCTGAATTATACAATTGGGGACTGTACTTATTCAAAATGTTAAAACTTCTACCTGCAGATCCCTGACCATCTCCTTCCTAGGGTTGCAATTGTGGGGAGGCCAAATGTTGGCAAATCAGCACTCTTTAACCGGCTTGTTGGAGTAATAATTATCATCTCTATTGGTCCTTTTATTTGTTTCTAGTTTAGCAATTTGATTAAAGATCAGTTTCGCATATTTAGAAAACAGATTCTGGAAGTCATACGTCTGATCCTTATCAATGGTACGTCCATGTTTTAAGAGTATAATTTTGAGCATTATGAATTGTAGGGGAACAGGGCAATTGTGGTCGATGAACCTGGTGTTACTCGTGATCGTTTATATGGTAGATCCTTTTGGGGAGAAAATGAATTTATGGTTGTGGATACTGGAGGTGTTCTCACCGTATCGAAATCACAGGCGACTGTCATGGAAGAATTGGCTATAAAAACTACCATTGGCATGGATGGGATTCCACTTGCCTCCAGGGAGGCAGCTGTCGCCAGGATGCCCTCAATGATTGAGAAACAAGCTACTGCAGCTGTGGAAGAATCATCTGTTATTATATTCCTTGTTGATGGTCAGGTACAACCATTATTCTTCTTTGGCTACTACTACTACCATTTCTGTTGAATTGGATATGCTGTCAGTTCGTATGTTCTTTTCTATTCATCCATGAGAACTTTTGAGTTATAACAGTGAATAGGTTTGAACAGGCAGGTCTAACAGCAGCTGATGTGGAGATAGCAGACTGGTTACGCAAACACTATTCGGATAAATATATCATTCTTGCAGTTAACAAATGTGAATCTCCCCGTAAAGGAATCATGCAAGCATCAGAATTCTGGTCATTGGGGTGAGTTGATCTTTATTTTATTTTATTTTTTATTTTCAATCTTTTTGTATCTCTTGCTTAAATTTGTGGACCTTTAATCATTGGTAATGCATACAGGTCTTATCTTTGATAGAATGAGTTATCTAGCAATATAACATATTTAATTGTTATTAACATTTTTTTTTTATGGCTTGTCTATGTCTCTCGTGGGATTGATATGTAGGGGGTTTCTGAGCTTCATAATGCTATGATTCTTAGAGCACCGTGTTTTCAATTGTGCTATCAATTTCAATCACAAAATTTGAGGATATTATTATTGTGATAAAATTCTTCATGTACATAGTTGAAATTGTTCCAAATATGAGAATGCCATCTTTATTTTGAATGGCATTATTATCTATTCTTTAATTTCTAATGCTTATGTGGCAAATATAAATGCAATCCTCATTGTTTATGGCAATTTTCTTGGAAATTCTAGAAATTTGACCAAAGCAGGGTGGAATAACTCATAGGGAACATAATTTCTGAGATTATGGAACCTTCTCTGTTTCTCTCTTTCTCTGGCTCTTTCCTTGTTATAATCATACATAACAATTGGTTCATACAGTTTTTATTCAAGTTCGTATGTGTTAAGCCTAGATAATCTGTTTTTCTGCATATTTGATTTTGATAAACAGACCATGCACTTTTTGGTTGGTCAACCAGGTTTTCACCACTTCCCATTTCTGCCTTATCTGGAACGGGGACTGGGGAGCTTTTAGATCTTGTATGTTCCCAGCTGGCAAAAATAGAGGTTAGTAATTATCAAATTTATTACTTAAGGTCTTCTATTGTTCATATCAAAGAGCCAGTCAACCTAATTATTTTCCATCTATAATAAGATTGAATATATTCAAATCAAGTATCATTCTATCACTTAGTCAATGCCTATCACGTGCTGAAATTCGCATATGCACAAACTTCAGTCTTTTTTTTGACATTGATGCATCAAATATATATTTTACATATGATCTCCCACAACCACAATTCTCTTGTTTGTTGAATATACTAAGTTCTATAATTCTTTTATGTAGGATCCACAAGATCTTGGTGAAGAGGAAAATTATATTCCTGCAATTGCAATTGTGGGCCGACCTAATGTTGGTAAAAGCAGCATTTTGAATGCATTATTGAGAGAAGATAGAACAATTGTCAGCCCTATCAGTGGTACTACTCGTGATGCTATTGATACTGAATTTTCAGGACCAGATGGCCAGGTTTGTGCAGTTCAAAATTAGGATTCTTTATGTTGCTAGGCACTGTGAATTTAACAGCCTAGTCTTCCATCCTTGAGCATGATTTATCTGATAACTGAAGTTTTAACTTCATTTTGTGAAAGTAAGGAATTTTAGTGAAGGATTAGGAGTCTGACCGAGCAAATTCCACTTCCCCTCTTGCAAGAAGTAATGGAAAGACTATCAATTGTTCTTAAGATAATTAGGGATCAGAACAAAAACAGCTTTCCGTCAAAAGTTAGGGACTTGTGGTTCACAGGCTAACTGTTAGATGCTCCCAAATTATGGTGCAAATTCAATTGAATAGTATCTGTTTGTCTGCAGAAGTTCCGGCTTATTGATACTGCTGGTATCAGAAGAAGGGCAGCTGTGGCTTCATCTGGTAGTGTGACAGAGGCTCTATCAGTGAACCGAGCATTTCGTGCTATCCGCCGTTCTGATGTTGTTGCTCTTGTCATAGAGGCCATGGCTTGTATCACAGAGCAGGTACTTCATCTGTACCCTTTTTATGGAATGTGCTGTTATGTATTTTTCAATCTTCAATGGCATGCTGAGGCATTTCGCTGCCTCGTTGCAAATATTCTGTTTCTTTTCTCACCACTTTAATTGCTTCCATGTAAATTTTTGGTTCTCCTGGTATGCCTGAATGCTCTAGGATTATAGGATTGCTGAGAGGATTGAAAAAGAAGGGAAGGGCTGCCTGATTGTTGTAAACAAATGGGATACAATACCCAATAAAAACCAGCAAACTGCAATGTATTATGAACAAGATGTTCGAGAGAAGCTTCGTACTCTTCATTGGGCACCTGTTGTCTATTCAACTGCAATTGCTGGTCGTAGTGTTGAAAAGTACGCTCTCACCTGCAGTTTCCTTATGTCATATTGTTTATTTGATGTTTGGACAGATGTTTTCCTTCAACTTTGAGAATTAGTTAGTCTTGATCTTGAATAAATTTAATTTTCTGTTAAAAAATCTTATTTCTCTTGTTCTCTCTGTGTGCATGAGAGAGTGTCTGTGCAAGGAGCTTTAATCTTGGCTAAAAGAATCGCTTATCCCGGTTTCAGGATCATTGATGCTGCTAGTGCTGTTGAAAAGGAAAGATCTAGAAGGCTAAGTACTGCCATACTGAATCAAGTGGTGGGAGAAGCATTGGCTTTCAAATCACCTCCAAGAACCCGAGGTGGAAAGAGAGGACGTATTTACTATTGTACTCAGGTACTTTTGAGTTGTAGCACTATAGTGACTTGTTTCTGGCAAGTGCTTCTGTGTAGGGACTTGTTTCTTTCTTTTACCTGACTACTCCAATTAGTTCTGCTCATCTAAAGCTTGGGTGTAGAAATGATTTGGCTTTTACTTGATGCATTTCCTATAGTGCTACTGCAGGAACTTTATTTCCAGTTTAAACATAAAATTACCAAAAGTCTGAATTCTTTTTCTATGTTTTCTTCAGCAGATGACTTTTAGCAATTATTTGCAGTGCATTGAATGTCCTTTTTTTTTTTTTTTTTTTGTCTGATCTTTTTCTATGTTTTCTCAGCAGCATGACTTTTAGCAATTATTTGCAGTGCATTGGAATGTCCTTTTTTTTTTTTTTTTTTGGGCAGGCAGCCATAGACCCAACCTACATTGTTTTCTTTGTGAATGAGCAAGCCTTTCCTTTTTTTTTTTTTTTTTGGGCAGGCAGCCATCAGACCACCTACATTTGTTTTCTTTGTGAATGATGCAAGCCTTTTCCCTGAGACATACCGGCGCTATATGGAGAAGCAACTGCGATCAGATATAGGATTTTCTGGTACACCCATTCGGCTACTTTGGCGCAGCAGAAGGAAAATGGAAAAAAGCGAAGGTCAGTACACAACTTGGATTCTTGATAAAGAATTTGCAATGTTCTTTTCATGATAATGTGGGGCAATTTCATTAACATGAGAAGCCAAACCCATTCCATTTGTTCAAAATAGATGCAACTTAGATGATTCCAAAATATTAATGATTTGAGTTCAGGCATAAGCCTATAACACAAGTTTTTACTTCAGTCTTCATCTACCCCTTCATTTCTTGGAAAGGATGAAGCCGATCAACATATTTTTAGTGCTTTAGATTTTCTACGTATGATAAGATTGTCTGTATAATGTATTTGAAAACAATTAAACAAACAACTGATCTACATAGTTTTGTTTGATTCATTTTCAGTTAAGGGTACAACACGTCCACAGCTTAATATTGTACAGCGTGGCTGAAAGTCAGCTCTAATGCATGATATATACAAGACAGTTGGGATTTCATTTTCCGTCCCAAAACAAGCTCTTCGTAAGTTTGTGCAGACCGGTCCATATCGAGCCCAAATTGAAGAATGGTGGTGGAGAGGTAGTACTCGTGTAATCTTATCATTTGCCCTCTCATGGAGAGGCCTATGCCATGCCATGTATATTTAAGATTGATAATAACTGATAACTGCGATGATTAAACACTTACGTATCTGTTTGGACAAAATAATTAACTTAAAGGTCCGTGTCGTACGGCTTCTCACTGAACATTGAACAATTGAACACGTGGCACTACATGTTGATAATATACTATTAAATTAATTAAATGGGGTCAGCTTACTTGATTAAGTTATGGAATCGATGTTATTGACAGGTAGTAATATTTATTGTAATTTTTTATAGTTTATAGTATTTTTTTTGTATGATTCAGACGCAAGTTTGTCGTTCACTTCTCGTTGTCCGCCAATACAATAAGGGGAGCTTAAAGTCATTGACGGAGAAAAGACGGTGCACCGCCAATAATAGTCCAACTAACACTCGGCCTATGTAGGGGGTCCATATTCTTTCCATTAAAATGGCAATTTTACTAACGTGTCTACCAGCAGTGCTGCATCAAACATCATCCATCCTATATCAGATGAACAAGATTAGAGGATTTTGAATTTTAAATACTTAATCTAGTAAGTAGTTTTAAAAAACAAGCAATTATTCAGTAATGAAATTGGGTTGGGTTGGGTGGTTGAAGATTTTATTGCGAGGGGAGGGTTCCAGATTCCAAATTCATTTAGCAAAAACTATCATTTATATCTCTTATTTCGTCCTCTTCTTTGTCAACAGTATCAGATTACTGCTATGTGGTGTTGCTAGCGTCTCGAATTCATTTGCCTTATTCATACACACACCAAACCTCAACTACTTTTCGTATGTTATAAATGGCATCAAAATGTCAATCAGCCTTATGTTTCACACACACACCAAACCTCAACTGCTTTTCGTATGTTATAAATGGCATCAAAATCTAGTCTAGTTGGTTTTATCCGTTGTAAAAGTAACGAGAGAAATTTGCGCGTTGTTCTAACAAAGAAAGGCCCCTCCAGAAAGAGTTCCAAATTTGAAGCCCAAGAAAGGAACAATGCTTCTTCTATTTATGATTGACAAGCACAGAACAGGTACACTTGTAGCCCACATCATTAATTATCTTGCAAATCTCTCTTATTAAATAAATAAATAAGTAGGAGCTAAAAATAAAATAAAAAAGGAAAGAAAAAGAAATGTCTATTATCTGAGACCAATTAATGCATGTGATGTGAAGAAGCTTTACATCAAATTGTGAATGAGGAAGTTGAGCAAAAAAACAGTATAATTGGGTAATAGCTCAGCTCAGTTCAGTTCAATAGTCCATAACATTGCTTCGTAGTTTCTTTGTTGTGAGAGCTAAATGGAGAGTGAGTTAGAAGGAATGAGAAAATATTTCAAAAGTGGAAAGACTAAAGATGCTTCTTGGAGGCTCTCTCAGCTCAAAGGTTTGCTTTCTTTTATCAAAGAAAAAGAAAAAGAAATATTTAAGGCTCTGAAGGAGGATTTAGGGAAACATCATGTTGAGGCTTTTAGAGATGAGGTACATATATTTATATTTATATATATATTTTTTAATTTAATTCACTAACTTAAAATTTTCATGATGGATTTCTTGTATTTCAGGTAGGAACCGTAATAAAATCCATTAATTATGCTTTGAAAAATCTGGAAAAATGGATGTCAAGTGAAAAGGTAAATTAACTAATTAAAATTATTATCATTATTTTACTTCACAAGACGTCTGTAGTTCGAGTTCAAAATGGCCCAACTATGTCAGGAAAAAAAAAAAAAAGAAAAAGAAAATTTCTGGCCTCGCCTTAACTGATAATTGATGTAGGCTCCGCTGCCGAAAATTGCACTCCTCTCGTCGGCAGAGTTGGTTCCTGAGCCTCTCGGTCTTGTCCTCATCATATCATCCTGGAATTTTCCTTTAGGTATCTGGATTTGGAAGATTTATACATGATAATTATTCCTTTCAAACACAGGAAATAAAAAGCTGTAACCAAAATGGTACTGATTTTTAATTGCAGGACTGTCCTTGGAACCACTTATAGGAGCAATAGCTGCAGGAAATACAGCGGTTTTGAAGCCATCGGAATTGGCTCCTGCTACTTCTTCTCTTCTGGCAAATACTCTGATCAACTACCTTGACAATAACGCTATCAAAATCATCCAAGGAGGATCATCTGTCGGTGAACAACTCCTCCATCACAAATGGGACAAGATTTTCTTTACAGGTATCTATACTCGCCATGCTAATTATAAATTCATGTAGATGACAATATGAATTAATTATAGATAATACTGTTTTACTGATTTTTTTTTTTTTCTGGCTTTAAGGCAGCGCCCGCGTCGGTCGTATAGTGATGTCAGCAGCTGCGAAGCATCTAACACCAGTTGTTCTTGAATTAGGTGGGAAATGCCCTGCTGTTATTGATTCCTTATCGTCTTCTTGGGACAAACAGGTAATCTTGCTTCAATCCTGTAAAGGTAAGAACACAGGTTCGATATCCGGAAAGTCCGATATCCGGAAGCTACTGCGTCGAGACACTTGAATATTGAATTATTAGTTGTATGATAGTGTCTAATTTTAAATTTGCTGTTTTTTTTAATCAAAAGGTGGCTGTGAATCGAGTTATTGTATCAAAATTTGGGAACTGTGCTGGTCAAGCTTGCATAGCAATTGATTATATTCTTGTGGAGAAGAGATTTGCTTCCACTTTGGTATGGAATATGGATTTTGAATATATATATGGATATACAGACGCATAATATTGAAATGGTGTTTGGTCTATGTTCAGGTGGAATTAATGAAGGTTGCCATCAAGAATGTGTTGGGGGATAATCCAAGAGAATCAAATACCATTGCAAGAATCATTAACAAACAGCAATTTTTGAGATTGAAAAATCTTTTAAGCAATTTGAACGTTCAAAAGTCTGTTGTCTATGGTGGTTCAATGGATGAAGAGAATCTGTAAATGATCCACTCCTTTTCTTCTTCTTCTTCTTCCCCATTTCCCTTTTCTTGCCAATATATTTAAAAATAAAAAATTAAATTCTTAAAGTTTTCTAATGAATGTGTAATTAATTACCTAAACTCTTTTTGCAGGTTTATTGAACCGATAATCTTAGTAGATCCTCCCATTCAATCAGAAATAATGACAGAAGAAATATTTGGTCCACTGCTTCCTATAATTACAGTGAGTATCACACTGATCACCATTTAATATGTTATAATAATTATATTAATTGTTGCTGTTATTTTTTGCTTTTACAGTTAGACAAGATTGAAGACAGTATTGAATTTATAAATTCAAGGCCTAAACCACTTGCAATTTATGCCTTCACCAAAAGTGAACCGTTTAAGAAGAGAATGATAGCAGAAACATCATCAGGAAGCTTAGTATTCAATGATGCAGTTCTTCAGGTACCTAATCAAAAACTTTTCTAATTATTGTTTTCCATTTCAATTTTATTTTTGTTTTTGTTCAAATGGGCAAGTTTTGATGAGACTGATTAACTAAATTGCAGTATGCAGCTGATAGCTTACCATTTGGTGGGGTTGGTGAAAGTGGAATTGGAAAATACCATGGAAAATTCTCCTTTGATGTGTTTACACATTACAAGGGAGTTCTTAGGAGAAGCTTTTTAACTGATTTCTGGTATAGATTTCCTCCATGGAATGACCATAAATTGTTGCTGTTTCATTATTCTTACAATTTTGATTATTTTGGGTTGCTTCTTGTCATTCTTGGCTTGAAGAAGTCCAAAGCTGGGACTTAGAAGTTAGCAAGGCAACTCGCAGATTCTGAAATAAATTGTTTTTCTGTATTGATATTGTCGTTAAATAAATTGATTAGGGTAATTTCATGTTGAAGCTTCAGTTAAGTTTGAACGAGTTCACTGAATTTGTGAAATTTTTACTGTATAAAGTTTTTGAATTTAAGGCATTTCATTTCTTATGTACTTGAAATTATGTGAGAAAATCAATCAGATTATATTTGATTGGTTATTTCAAATAAATTTGTTATTGAAAGAACATTATATCAACAAATTTAAGATCATGTAAATTTTATTATAGGTAAATTGAATAATATATGTAGGATAGCAATAGGTAGGATAGATGGATCCAAACCCATACTCTACCGTTACTCTATCAAGTAAATAATATTATATCCATTTCAAATTCAATGCGATTGAGTATATTCATATATACCTATCTATTCGCATACTCATGTTATTATATTACATTAAGTTTTAAAAAATATTTATCTAAATAATTTATATAGTGCTTAGAGGAAATAGGAGGATCCAAAACCACCATACTACACCGGTACTGCGGCTATAAGTAAATAATATTATAAATTCGCTAGTTTCAAATGCCAATGCGTAATGAGAACTTCATAAATACAGTATGGATATCGCATACATCATGTTATCAATATGACATTAAGTGTTAAAAAATATATCTAAATAATTTAATATATTATATAGACAAGTATGAGGAAATAGGAATCGATATCGAAGATAAGATGATAAAATGTTTTATTCTAGAATAAAAATGCTGTGAAATGAATAACTAAATCAAAATGATTAGATGTACGAGTATGATTCTTATCATTAATATGAAAGGAACTAAAAGTGCATTCACACTAAAAAATAAAATTTAGATTTATAGTAGCAATTAACAAGTATCTCAATGGTATTAAAACGGTTAATAGTTGATATTTGTATTGTGAAGAGAAAAGTAAAACTGGTTGTATAGAGGGTTAGGAGCTTTCGGAGTGGATCAAGCTAATAATGAAAAATAAGTCTAGTGTGTCTCAGAGGTCCATATCTAAAATAAAACTTTGTGAAATTTGTGTCCAAATTAGGCAAAACTTAAAATGGTAAGATTGACTAAGATTCGGGGTGGTTGGGGACGCGGATATATATTAACCGCTATCAGTTATATAAAAATATGAAAATAAATCGATACAAAATAAAAATTTTTATCTAAATAAAAATGCTTGAATAATAATAAATCAAAATTTTAATTACGAAGTTATTTTTCTTATCATATATGAAAACTAAAGTGCATTACAATAAAAATAAAATTTTAATTTATATACATATACAAGTATCTCAATTTATTAAAATTTTTATATTTTATTTAAAAAAATTAAACTTTATAAGGTTTAGACTTTCGGATTGGATTCAAGCTTATAATAATAATATCTGTGTCCTATCCATATCTAAAATAAAACTTTGAAATTTTGTCCAAATTAGGTCAAAACTTAAAATTTAGATTTGACTAGATTCGGGTTGGATGAATTACCTATCAGTCGGATTGATTTCGCTATCAATAAAAGAAATTACCTATTACTTCTTTTATAAATTCTTTATATATATTCAAAAATCTACATATTAAATTTTCCAAAAAATAAAAATTAACTGTATTTTCGCCTATACGTTATCTAAAATTTAATTAATTCCATAACTAGGACCGACATTATTTTTCCTATGTTTTAATTTTTTTCCCACACTATATGCAAATTTCAGTAGTATAATCTATTGATGAAATCTAGGTAAATATATGGATGATCTAATGTCTCTCTAAGACACGTTATGGACACGCACACATAAGAAAAAACTTACAATTTGTAGATTTTTTTTTTCTCGAGAAAAATTACTAAAGAAAATTTATTTGCTAAGGATTAGATTGGTTTTATAATTTTCATTAAATTACCAATCAGATTCACAATTTAATAAACATACAAAATATAAAGTTTTAGTGATAGTGTTAGAATATAATATTGTGCACAGTAAGCGTTCATAGTCCACTGCTCAAATGATTAGTTTTAGTTATTTGATAATGATAAATTTTCATTACAAGCATTCAGTTCTTAATCCCTAATTTATGTATTACTCATGGTATAAATTCAAAATAAAATTTAATAAATAGGAAATAATTGGTATTTTTTTTTTTCTAATTATAGTAGTGGGAATTTTGAAAAGGAAATAATTGAATCCTTTTGAATTATAATACAAAATCAGTTGAAAAAAAATATTTATTAAGGAGATGATTAGTTTTGATTAGTTAAATTCTAATATTTTTTTCTAAAAGAAAATATTATCGTTGTCGTAAAAAAAAAAAAATCTACCTTAAAAAAAAAAAAATCTAGGTATACGGTTAGAAGTTGCTACAGTAATGGCACTTAACGATTCATGTCTTTGCAAAGGAACAACGTGTCTAGAGTCAAACGGTTCGGCGTTGAACACAAAAAGGGTGGGAACGTTTCCCGCCAGTTCTTCCCAGCCTCCACACACTCTAAAGCTTCTCTCTTTGTCCTACCGCCCTCTTTTCCTCTCTTCTCTCTGCAAAACCCTCACGAACACACAATGGCAGATTCTCCGAGGATAACCCTTCGATCCCCATCGAAGAAGCCCAAACAAACGCCTCCTCTTTCCTCAATCTGTCTCACCCCTCGAACCCCACAAGTGGTTGACCCTCCTCGCCGATCCTCTCGTCGTTTGTCTCTTAAGCTCGACCAAATCACAACCCCACAAAAATGCGCTTCACAACTCAAAAAACCTATCGAGGTTTCACTACTTAACGAAACTCCAGAAAAATTAGTACAGGATTCATTGAAAATCCGAAGAAATTCGAGGAAAAATGGATCTATTAAGACCCCAGAAAGCAAAAGAGACACTGAATCCACAAAACCCCCGAAATCGAAGTCCAAAGTGGTCAACATCGAGGTTTCATTCTCTCCTGTATCACCAGATCAACTGGATACCAGGAAGAGGAAATGGCGTGAAGAGAAAGAGAGGAAGATGATGACTAGAGCAATGGCATCGAAGAATGCGAAGAGTGAACAAAAAGGTAATAGGAAGAGAGTTTATTACAAGAAAGTGGTGTATGATGGTGGTGAATTTGAGGTAGGAGATGATGTGTATGTGAAGAGGAGAGAGGACGCCAGCTCCGATGATGAGGACCCAGAAGTGGAGGAATGTAGAGTATGCTTCAAAGCAGGGAAAGCGGTAATGCTTGAATGCGATGATTGTTTAGGTGGTTTTCACTTGAAGTGCTTGAAGCCTCCTCTGAAGGAGGTCCCTGAAGGGGATTGGATTTGTGGGTTCTGCGAGGCCAGGAAATTAGGTAAGGAGGTTGAGTTGCCAAAGTCGCCTGAAGGGAAAAAACGTTCTAGAACCTTGAGGGAGAAACTTCTTTCCAGTGACTTGTGGGCTGTCCGAATTGAGAGGTTCGATATTTAATTTTGTTTTTGATGTATAGTGTTTTATTGGCTTTTTATTTCTGTACATCTTTTTTTCTCTTCGTTGAGTGCAGTTTGTGGAAGGAGGTTGATGGTAGCTATTGGTTTAAGGGGCGATGGTATATTATTCCAGAAGAGACTGCTGCAGGAAGACAGCCTCATAATTTGAGGAGGGAGCTTTATAGAACTACTGATTTTGCTGACATTGAGGTAATGGTCGTTATCTTGTTTTATTATTGATTGCTGAATTTGATAAGTGCTACTATAAGTGGCATTCTTGATAAATATATGATCTCGCCGTAAGAATTTTTTCCGATTCACTTAGCTTATCAATAGTGACACTTAAGACGATCAGTTTCTGTTCTAGAAGGGATTGCTTGCTGAATTGCTTATTTTTACAGTTGCATTAATGCCAGCATGTATGCATTTGCTATGTTGATGTTTTATTTATTTATTTTATATCCAACCATGATTAATTCTTGAAATGCCTAGATATTTAATGAAAGTGGACCCATGCCTCACAGTGCCGTCTGTTAACTTTTTGACCTTCTTAATGTTCTCTAAATTCAACTTTGCCATGTTGGAGGTTAAATTCTTGCATTGAAGTTCTTAATCACGTGAGTGTTTTTGATGATGCCAGATGGAATCTATTATTCGGCGTTGTTCTGTTATGAACCCCAAGGAATATGCAAAGGCAAGTAATGAAGGAGATGATGTTTTCTTATGTGAATATGAATATGACATCCATTGGCACACTTTTAAGCGTCTAGCTGAGGTTGATAATTGTGAAGAGGTAAGCAAATAAAAGCAACATTTTTGGTTTACTGTCACATTAAAATGGAATTAATCCTAGATATAAGTTTGAGGAAGATGTTCAAACACTATTTATTTGGTAGGATGGTGAAGATGCTGACAGTGATGAAGATTGGAATTCTTCCAAGGACGCAGAATCTGATACAGATGAAGACATTGAGTATGAAGAGGAAAGTGTGAAGAACTTACAAGCCAAAGCATCCTCAACTCATGTCTTGGCTGCTGTAAGGATGTTCTTGTGTTTGTGTATTTGTAGCTTTCGCTTGGTGGGGGTTCACTACTTTTAGGTAACCAATTATTTTATGATGTTAGAACTTACGAAAAGGTCAGTTCTTCGGGCTTCAAAGGATAGGGGTAAAACGAATCCCGGAACATGTGAGGTGTCACAAGAAGACTGAACTGGAGAAAGCAAAGGCAACGCTTCTGCTGGCAACATTGCCCAAGTCTCAACCTTGCAGGAACAAGCATGTGAACATGATACCTTTTTTGTTTTTTCCCTGTTTTCATTTATTATAGTTTCTAATGGAGGACACATCTGATATAGGGAAATGGAAGAGATAACTGCATTTATAAAAGGTGCCATCTATGATGATCAATGTCTGGGTCGTTGCCTTTACATTCATGGTGTTCCTGGAACTGGCAAGGTAACATCTGTTGGCTTTAGTCAATCAAATTTGCATCATGTCAACTATGCCTATACAATGAAAACTCATCAAATCTTTTTTTGGGAATAAAATTGCAGACGATGAGCGTACTTGCAGTAATGAGGAACCTAAAATCTGAAGTTGATGCAGGGAATATGCGACCATACTGTTTTGTGGAGGTCAATGGTCTAAAGTTAGCATCACCAGAAAATATTTATAGGGTAAAGTGTTTGTAAAGTTTTCAAATCCACTGCAATGACTTAACCTCTGGTTGGCATGCAATGTTCATTCTCTTTGTTCTCTCAGGTTATCTATGAAGCATTAAGTGGACATAGGGTTAGCTGGAAGAAGGCTCTTCATTTGCTGAATGAGCGATTTTCAGATGGCAAGAAGGGAAAAGGGGATGACCGGCCTTGTATTCTACTTATTGATGAACTTGATCTGCTTGTAACCCGAAATCAGTCGGTAACTTCTCCATTTCATGACATGACAACTTGTTGCAGTTGTTTTATATTAACGCAATTGTAAATGTTAAGGACTGGTGATATTTTTTATTTTTTCCAGGTTCTATACAATATTCTTGATTGGCCTACTAAGCCACATTCAAAATTGATTGTGATAGGTATCTCTTTCTCCTTCTCTATCACATAAGGCACTTCCAGATAATCTTTAGTTATGATTAGATGGCGATGATGGTGTTCTCGTTTCTCTTACATAATATAATTTGCTTTTCAGGAATTGCCAATACTATGGATCTTCCAGAAAAGTTGCTTCCTCGTATTTCAAGCCGTATGGGTATCCAAAGGCTTTGCTTTGGACCCTATAATTATCAGCAGCTTCAAGAAATCATTTCCAGTCGCCTCAAAGGAATTGATGTATTTGAAAAGCAAGCTATAGAATTTGCTTCAAGAAAGGTTTGTCCCTGTAATATTTCTTTTGCCAAAGATATTTCAATATGCTATTCATTTTTATTTGCCAGTCTTTCTGCACTAATGCATAATATCCCAAGTTGAAAAGTTTCACCTGCATCAACTTGTCAAAAGGTTGAGCTAGCAGCTATATCAATTTTTTTTTTTTTAAATTTGGTTCCCAGGTAGCAGCTATATCTGGAGATGCACGTCGTGCTCTAGAGATCTGCAGGCGTGCAGCAGAGATTGCAGATTATCACCTTAAGAAATTTAGTCCATATTCTGATTCAGGGACTGCAGGTACATAAACTCTTTGATAAAATAGAGCTCGAGTATGATTAGGCAAATAATGAATTTGATCATATCCAATGGTTAGGAGTGGCAAGGCCATGAAATTCCAAGCAGCATCATATAGTTGTGCCACTTTAATAGTTTTGAAGATATTTCATTTGCCTTGGGGGGGGGGGGGGTTGGCACTTTAAAGTGTGACAATTTCAATTGCCATTGGAGGGGGGGAGGAGTGTCATCAGTCTCCTGATGCCTATTAGCAACAATTAGTATGGGTCAGATAACTAACTAGTTAAAACGCTACAATTGTTGATAAGGCAGCAAAGGCTATCCAAAACAATATATTAGTCCCTCTGAATGCACTCAAAATACATCTACAGTTCAACCCTTACAGAAAGAGGCTTGTAAAGGTTAGATGTCCGGAGGTATAGGACAAGCTATTCAAGAAATGTTCCAAGGCACTACATAATTCAAGGTGAGTTGACTTCAAGTAAGATGACAAGAGGAAAAACTGTGTGTAAATTGATTCCTTGTGATGAGCGCGCGAGCGCGCATCTGGCCTCGACAACCATCTCCGGGGGGGGGGGGGTGTCATTCAGCTCTTGATCCTATATATTGCACAATTTAGTATGGTTCAGATACTATTCTATTAAACTGCTACATATCTTGTTTGGTAAGCAGCAAAGCTTCCAAACAATATATTCAGTCCCTTCTGAATGCACTAAAATACATCTACATTTCACCACTTAACAGGAAAAGGCCTTGTTGGTATGTCCGAGGTTGAGGCAGCTATTCAAGAAATGTTCCAGGCACCTCATATTCAAGTGAGTTGACTTTCAATTATAATCATAGAAACTGTGTGTAATTGATTTCTTGTGATACTTCCACTCCATTGTCTCACAACATCTTGGTAGTTGCATCAAAAGATAAATATATCTCTGCTAATACAACTGATGCTTAGAGATTGATATAAGTAGTTGAAGAAATTGTCTACTTTATTTAATCATTAGCTCTATAAATTAAGCTTGGAGGGACTTATTTATCTCAGTTACATTATGGAAATTGATGGCAATCTAGCGTTTCTAGGGCAAAATTAGGTCTAGCCGAATCTGCTGTTCCACAAGTGCCATTCATAATGTATTGCTTTCTGGATTTTGCTCTGACATTTGTCCTTGGGAAATATTTCAGTTTCAACTTTGATTTACATATCCTAGTGAATAACTGAGCTTTTCTTGTTTTGCTTATCTTTTTTTCCCTTTTTTTTTCTCCTTTTACAGGTAATGAAAAATTGTTCTAAGCTCAGCAAAATTTTCTTGGCGGCTATGGTGTATGAACTCTATAAAACGGGGATGGGGGAGACAACCTTTGAAAAGGTCAAAATCTCAAGCACCTACTTGAACATATATTATTGTTCTTTCTGGACTGGCAGCATTTTGAATTCTGTGCCTCTCTTTTCTTTTTGAAATTATATATTGACCCCAATCCGCACTGACCTGAAGTGAACCAGCTGGATCCTGTATCTACTTGTATCTCTAGTACAAAACCATCTCAATTTTAGAATTGTAAGGTCAAAGACTTGCTGATTTTTGAAATGTTGTTTCGTATACAGTTGGCAATGACCGTTTCATGTCTCTGTACAAGCAATGGAGAAGCATTTCCTGGTTGGGACACTCTCTTGAGAGTTGGGTAAGTTATCTTCCTTTATTGCCTCATTAGTTGAATAAAAGTACTGATTAAATTTCTCCTTAAGGTGTATGAACAATCAGCTTTTCTGATCAAGTGCTTTGCTTTTGTAGATGCATGCTAGGTGAAAGCAGAATAATTCTATGCGAACCTGGAGCTAGGCATAGGTTGCAGAAATTGCAGCTCAACTTTCCAAGGTAAGTCCCTCCATGGTTCTGCCTCAAATAAGCCCCCATTACTGCTGCCTCAAATAAGCCACATAACCTGACCAACTGCTTTACTCCGTGCAGTGATGATGTGGCTTTTGCACTGAAAGGGAGCCAAGAGTTACCGTGGCTGGCCAAGTATTTGTGATTTAAGACCAAAGAAAATTGCATTCTTCTTCATTTATTTAAACAATTTTGACTCAGTTTCTCATTTTTCGCAATTTTTCATTCCTGTCTGCTTCGACTCTTGGCTGTCAAAGTAGAACTTTAAGTTATAACTCATTTTTTTGATTTCAACTCCGGCAACATACTGTACTCTATGAGACATTGCGTATGGAAATAATAATAATGAGAGAGGATCTCAGGAACATCATATATAATTGTTTCTTATTTTAATCCTTTATTTTTTGGTGAAATTAATTAATAGTATCCTTGTGGTTGACCAAGACGGAATCTTTTCTTTTCCCTTGTTTGTTCTGCAGAGGATGGTAGTCACATGATGGAAAATTTTCCTTGTTTAAAACGTTTTCTAGGTTAAGTGCAGGGCTTTTTGGCTCAGTTGACAACCAAATAAGTCCTTTGAAAGACAACGCCGTCTATGGAAAGAAACTCTAGCTTGCTGCTCTCTCTGTTTTTGCCCAGTGAATTAAAATTCACAACATTGTCTTTTTCTTTGAGAAGGAAAGGAAGATAAAAAGGGAAATATTAGAAAAAGAAAAACGCCATTAATACACCAGTCTTAAACAAGAATTAGTTAAACAAGAATTAGTTAATTACATTAAGGAAAATGTGTTGAGGCTCTACTTTTCATTTACAAAAGAAAAAGGAGCCAACAAAACTCAAATCGGAAATGAAATTATTAACTAAAAAAGCAATAGAGCAAATTGAATGTTCTCCCTCTCCAGATTGCACTTCTCTGTCCTGTGCAGTGAGTGAGCTAAAAATGACAGATCTTGAGCTATTCTGATTGTTTTCCTTCCAGGCACTTCATTTCCCATATTTAAGGATACTCTTCAGAAAATATTAACAAGTTTCATAACATGTATAGATGCCTAAGCTTGTTGGGAAAGTGATGATGTTTTCATCCAAAAGGGCCGGCCTAATATGGCGTTTCCATGAATAGAAACATAAGCAGCATTTAACCTGACAACAAGAAACAAAATAATTAACCAACAAACAGAAAATATGGATCCTAATCACAAATCATAAAGCTGGTAGAGACTTCACTTGTCAACATCAGGAGCAGCCAAGGGATCATAAAGTTCCTCCCTTTGTTCTACAACCGGAACAGCACCAGTCATATCCTGGACACCATCAACCTAGAATCGGGCAACCCAGATACAAAATGAGTTCAAAACTATCAATCATCAATTCATTTGACAAAGCATTTATCTTCCTCAACTGTATTCAAAACAGTTACGAGTTCATGTTATGAATTAGGATAATTAAATTTTAGCTGTATGTGATTATCAAACAGCTGTATATAGCTAAACAACCAAAAATTATCCTTCAAAGTGATTATAGCTTTCCTTCCAGTAAAATACTGGGACAGGCATGTGCTGCCAGTATTAAGATACTCACAGGTTGAGGATACTGTGGGTAACCAGCATATGCACCATATGCATATAATGATGGATCTTGTGCAGCCCCATAAGCATATGGGTCATAACTTTGTCCATAAACATAATAGGCACTCCATTGATCTACTTGCTGACCCCAACCACCAGGTGTGTCCTACAACAAGTCAAATTCCAAATATAACCATGGCTACTGCAAATAGAGGATAATAGGACTTCAAAATTATTCCATAATGTCAATTGTACACGTATGATTCTATGCATATTGACAATACCCTCAGTCACACCCTATCCAGATAAACACTGGTGGTAGACAATAGCATTTCACCTCCATAAGAGACAACAATGATAAAAACAATAACAAAACAAAATACTCAGAAATACACACAACATTCCACTGTATCCTTCACCTTCCCAGGGCACTAAATACTTGGAAATTTTAAAATGCTGTTTCTGGCTTTGAAGTCAAGCACAAGATCTTGTGGGATGCAGATGAAAAGAATATTTGCACAATGCATATCAAAATGAAACATGCCTGTTTCCTGCCCCAATGAATTCGCACAGGCTGTTGACCAATCACATGCCCCTGCATCCTTTGTATGGCTTCTTCAGCAGATTTCCTGTAAAAACAAAACTGGTAGAGGTCAGACGCATCACATAACAGAAACAAAGTATATGAAAACAAGGACTATAACATATTATTAATAGGGGCCAGCTCCTGTTTGACTTTCTCCACAAGAATATAATTATCTGTCTCCTTCCGTTCTTGGTTTCTATGCTTTTCTCTCCACCTATTCCTTATGACAACGAGCAATACAAATAAGTTAACATAAGCCAACCTTCTAACTCTACCGAACCCTTAATCATTAGTAAATGAACAAATAAAAATAATAACACAGATATTACTCCCTGCATGATGAAACATTATAAAAGGAATGGGAATGTGGGAAGAATAACATTTGTTTATTTTCTAGAGCATAAGCAAACCTAGTTCCGAATTGTACAAAACCACATCCTCGACCCACAGGAATCTTGACATAGACAATCTCCCCAAACTGCAAAAAAGTCTGCCTCAGCTCCTCTTCTGTGACATTGGGATCCAAGTTACCAACAAAGATCTGCAATAAGAAAAAATATTAAGAGAAATTTCCAAGATAAAGAGAATCACCAAAATACCAACATCTGGATGACTTACAGTGGTATTGGTGATGTCATTATCAACTGGAACCACCTGGACTGGAGTAGTGTATGCTGGAACTGGATACACGGCTGCAAAAGAATTGATTGATCAGCAAAATTCAGTCAAAGAAGCATCTGAAGCATAAATTTATGCCGTTGAATGCCAGATAATCCCCCTTGTAAGACAGGATATAAATATTTAGAATTCAAACATTGGTTCATTCGCAATTAAAGGTCCTAGAATATATTTTGTTAATAGTACAATCAGTCCTGCCTTTCTTCTCAATTTGTTACATAAAATATTAGTTCCTGGATTTCCGACACATCCACACCCTCCAAAATAATCACAACAGACAGACTATCTTGCACCATTGCAGATAGTGAAAGCAATAACAGTTCAACCATCAATATGTTTTCCAAAACTCAAATTCCAAAATAAAGAGTTAAATCAGATAACCAAGAAAATTATATTATGGACTTGGGAGCAATTTTCAGAATGCTTATTTTCTATTTTTCACAGCCTTGTGAGTGATTGTACCATCATAATTGCATCTCTTCGTCTTTCACTTGTGTATGAGAATGCATGCAATGCACTTCAATAGGGTGGAAATGTTCACATGTTAAACCCATTGTTTCGTATTTTGTGTCAGGTAAATTCTGTCTCTTATATTAACCACAAATGTAATGTAAGAACAGAAAGATCAAGGATGGAGAACTGTTAACTGTGCCAAATGAGGCCTCTAGGAACAAAAATAAACCATGATAGCTTGTTCAAGAAAAATGGAGAAAGAAGAAATGGAATATACAAAAGAATTGGCAGAACTTGAAAAAAAAAAAAAAAGAATATTACCTTTGGTTGCAGCATATTGCAGTTGGTAACTAGTGGTCTTCTTTGGTGTTGCTGCACTAATACGCATTGGTCTAGTTGAGCAATACATACCATTCATTTCACTCATAGCACGGTTTCTTTCATTCTCATCACCAAATTTAACAAAGCCATATCCCTTAGAACGTCCAGTGTTTGGGTCAGTCACAACCTTGGCACCTCTAACTGATGGATAATGAGCCCGAAATGTCTCTTGCAAGAGATAATCTGTAACATCAGGTGCCAAGTCCCCAACAAAAATAGAATGCTCAGGCCCAGCATCAGGACGTCTTTCCCCAATGCCAAAAGAAGCCCAATTCAGCCTAAAAGTTTGTTCAGTTCCAGGCATTTGTGTCCCATTGTATGTCTGTAAAATCCTTTCAGCTGCTGCATGGGAAACAAACTCCACAAATCCATAACCTTCAGGCTGGCCAGTGATCTTGTTGCGAATTATTTTAATTGTAACTACCTGTATTAAGCAGAATGGATTTTAGAATTGCAATGCACAAAGCATTAGAACTACAAGTTTGCATGAAAACATTACAGTCATCAATGTTGTATAACCATTATCATCTAATAATAATTGAAGTCTTAAAACCAGCTAATAACTATCAATCAATAAATCTAAAAATTAGAATTGCAAGGAGAAAAACCATGTACGTTTGAATAAGTCCGTTATTTTGGTTCTAGTTTAATGCCCATTAACAAAGTGAATTGTTCACAAACTGAAAAGAGTAAGAACTAAAGGCTTTTTGTTCAGGAGTAATAAATCAAACAACACTTTTAACTGGTCTCTCATTTTTAGATTTTGTGGATTTCATACAGAGGCCTAAAAAACTTAATTGCAATCCTAGGTCAGCCAAAACTGAAATACAGTTCGAGAAAAAGTTCTCTCCGGTGTTTCCTTTTACCTAAAAAATCAGAATTCCATTTCTAATCGACGAAATCAAAACTGAATTGCAGTCCCGTAAAGTTTTTCTTTTTCTTTTTTTTCTTTTAATATCAAGAAAATCAATTGCTATGCTCTACATAGATAACATCCAATCCCAAGTCATTTATTATGTTCCCTCTCAAAAACGGAAATCAAAAACAAACCCGTAACATTCGCTTACAAACAACAAGTAACATCTAGAAAATCAAACCCCAAAACAAAACAGCTGCAATTCAAAACGCCCACCAAAATTTATACATATATATTGAGAAAAAGATAGAGGGGGAAAGAGAAGACCTCGCCGGTGTGAGCGAAGCAAGAACTGAGGTAGTTTTCATCTACCCAATACTGTAAATCACCAATCCAAAGGGTTCTAACTTCTTCTAGTGTGGCGGGTTGATGGTACCCTCCTTGGCTCATTGCTGTTGGCGCTGCCATTAACGGTTAGCTCCTTAATCCACTGCTGCCTCTCTCTCTCTCTCTCTCTCTCTCTCTATGCTTTCTGATTCTTTCTCCGTATTCAAAGGTTATATCAGCGTGCAGCTGGGCCTGCAACATTTTTTTTGTTGAAACGATGTCGTACCATCAAAATGAGAATTAATAGTTTTTTTATTAATATATTTTTATTTTACAAAATAAAATAAGATTTGAATTTAGGTTTTCAAATTACATCAACCGTCATTGATTTCCTAGAATTATCCTCAGTGGAAATGGTTGGTCGTTCGAGGACCGCATATGCCGTTTCTAAGCGTTATGGCATTGGCATCGAAAAATACCAGACGCGAGTGCTGTGCCGTCTCCTACAGGGGCTGACGCAATTATCTAGAGGAAACGGTTGGTCGTTCAATGACCACCTATGTTTTCGAAACTCGCGTAGAGCAACGAGCAGTCGTACATCTAATTTTACGGTTAATTTCTCGTTCTCTCAAGTTCCTTTTCCTTATTAATGAAAAAAAAAAAAAAAAAAAAAAAAAAAAAAAAATGCTGTCCGCTCCCTACAGGGGAGGCTGACGCAAGTGCTCGATAGCAGATAACGGTGGTCACGTTCAATGACCACTGCTAATGGTAGTCGAACTGCGCGGTAGAGCAAAAAGAGAGTCGTACAATCGAATGACGGTAATTTCTGCGCTCAGTCCAGTCCTTTTCCTATAATGAGAGAAAATAAAAAAAAAAAAAAAAAAAGAATGAAGAAAGAAGGCACCGTGCGTCCAAAAAAAAAAAAAAAAAAAAAAAAAAAAGAATGGAAGGAAAGAGAGGCACCTGTGCGGTCCATGCATGCAATGCAACGGCGGAAGCCAAGGCCCGTTCGTTTTTATCAGAATCCCAGACGCTCGCTTTCTTCGTTGACTGATACTCATGAAATCGCCAAATCCAAAACTTTAGCTTTTTCTTTCTCGATAATTTTGATTTTCTCTCTACAGTTTTGCAGAGTGATAATGGCGGTCCCAGCTGCACTGGCTATCGTCTCTATTGGAGTTCTCTTCTTTGTCTCTGGCCTTATTGTCAATCTTGTCCAGGTGTCATTAAAACCCATTCCCTTTCGTTTTCTATTTTGTCAATCTCTGGAATGGATGACATAAAAGGGTTCAAAACGTGTAATTTAGAATGTTACAATTCGCTTGCTAATTGTCCATCTGAATTTGGAAAATAAGGGCTCGTTTAGGTCATTTCGAATAATTTAATCCATTTCATATTTACATCATCAAGTTTTGAATCATAGCTACCTTTATTTATTTAAACCAGCTTATGATTATGAAGTTCATAGCCCTTTTCTTACAGATAAATTTGCAAATTAAGCGACATTCAATGCAGGAACTTCCATAAACTGCTGAAGCCATTGCACAATTGTGCAAAGATATATTTAGGGCCAAAGTATGAAGACTATTTTTTTTATTTCCTGATTTTATTTAGTGTAGGAAGAGGTTGTATGCTGAAGAGTCTGATACTGTTTTTATGAGCAGTTTAGGAATTATTTAGTTGAGTCTGATACTGTTTTTATGCTACAGGAACCATTAAAGTTATTTTTTTTAAAGAAGGCCTCCAATTAACAGCAGAGCTGATAGAGAAAAAAAAGGGAAAAAAAAAAAAACGAGAGACAGAGAGATGATAGAAAGCTTAAATATGCGTATTAAAAAATGATTTTAAATTAAATTACAGTTTGTCATCTTTGTCTTCTTCTTTTTTTTTTTTTCTTCACTCTGTTCTCTCTCTCTCTCTCTCTCTTTAAAAAAAAAGTAACAGGTTGTGATGTCCTGATCGAGTCTTCTTATCTGTGGCATTGTCAAGTCAATCCAATGGTCAACATTCCTAGACTCATGGGAAGTGATTTCATGTTCTCTGATTTTTTTACTCCTCGTTACAATTGTTATGCAAATTCTGATCCATTCATCTAAATCAGAGCGTTCTACTCCTCCACCCAAACAAACATGTCTGATCAAATGACAGAGAGGTTTCTTCAGAAATGAGCCGAGAAAATATACAAATTTTGGTCATAATATTGAAGCCCGGAAATTTTTGTTCATGACGATTGATTGGTTCATTTCATTGGCTCTCTGTATATTATCCTCAACGCAACTGAACTATTACGGTTAAATTACAAACTACCGGGAACTCCTCATTGGCATATTGCCTCGGCTACTACTGGGTTAATGCTGCTAATTAGTCCACTTCAAAGATAGCATCAGGCATTCATTACAGTCACCTAACTTTAACCTAACCTTAACTAATTTCGTTGTGGAAAATCAAAATGCTTGGAGTGTCTTGTGTTTGTGTAATTAATAAACTAGTTAGCTTAAGGCCCCAAGCTAGCTTAGAGGATCCAAACTAGTTGAACAGTGCCAAACTTCACTTCTAAATTTAAATATAATGATATCCTTCACTTTATCAACCGATCACTAATTCAGTTCTCCCATAAAAATTGAGCAAGCCATGGAAATTAAAACTATACTTTGCAATATGCCTTTTGCCTTTATTTTTTTGTCCTCTGGCTTCATCGTCAATATAATCCAAGTAATTAATTGATTAGTAGCAAGCTTAATCATGTTTTTTTTTTTTTTTACTTTATAATTTAATATATTTATTTAATTTGAACTTGTAGGGATCTTGTTTCCTCCTCATACGGCCTTTCTCAAAAAGTGCATATAGAAAGATCGTCGGAGTGGTGACAGAAATTTTATGGCTTACATTAATATGGCTCATGGATTGGCGGGCAGGCCTTGAGGTGTTACCATATAAGCATTCTTGGTTATTTATATATATATATATATATATATTCACTTGATTATGTAAATTTTAATTAATTTTTCATTTTGATTAAATTGTTCCGTTTGCAGATTCATCTCTTTACAGATTCAGAAACTTATAAATTAATGGGTAAGGCACACCACCAACTTTGTAGTTCATGTTTTATCTTGTTATTGGTATTTGCACGCAACCTCCTAGTCAGTAGCGTTTCCGCATTTTGGAATCCATATCCATTTTCCATATAAAATACAGTTTGTCCGTGTAAAATTACATTTTAAATATTATTCCCGTTTTGTTTCCGCATTTTCATGTTTTGTCAGTTCCATTTCCGTTTCCATACAACATAGTTGGTACTTATATATTGTAGCAAGAAACAATATCTGTTGAATAATATTTCAGGTAAAGAACATGCACTTGTAATGCCTAATCACATCTCCGATGCTGATATATTCATTTTGTGGCTTTTGGCTCAGGTGCTTAACCACCTTCGTTATTCAACTCTATTTTCTTTTTTTAAACGAAAGGTATTTCCATGAACATCTGATGTTGTTTCTTGCAGCGTTTCAATTGTCTTCGCAGTGCACTAATGGTGGTCAAGAAATCTTCAATGTATATTCCAGTGAGTTTTAGATCTAAACTCCATTTAGTTTCATTGTCATGTCGATTACTTGAGGTTTGGTTAACTTATCTCTGAGATTAAACATTTGCTAGATTTTTGGGTGGGCAGCTTGGTTCATGGAGTACGTATTTATGAGTAGAAGTTGGGCCAAAGATGAAAAGAACCTAAAGGTACGTACACATGAACTTTGAAAGCTTACCAGCTGCCTGCATGGATTTGAATAGATATATATACTGAAAATCGAAGGTTGGTTGGTTGTTTTCAGTCACGTTTGATAGGGCTCCAGGATTTTCCATGGCCTTTTTGGTTGACTATTTTTACAGAAGGAACTCGACTCACCCCTGATAAACTTGTAGCTTCTCAAAAGTTTGCAATTTCTAAAGGACTGCCTGTTCCTAGTAACGTTCTAATCCCTCGTACTAAGGTAACATTTTTTTTTTTTTCATTTTATTCTAAGAAATGAATAATATTTTGTACAATTCAATTTAGCTTTTCATCTTCATTGTACCATTCAGGGTTTTGTTGCAGCAGTGCAATATGTGCGTTGGTTCGTTCCGGCCATTTATGATATGACATTGGCTGTGCCAAGAGGTCATCGAACCCCTTCATTTCTGGAAATTTTGAAGGGTCGACCAACTGTTGTAAGTGTGCTAGTTTTAGTTTTCTGTTATTTATGACATTAAAACATTTCAAAACTAACTCTTATACACACACACATATATATTGCTTATATTTGATGAAATTCTAGGTTCAAATTCATTTAAAACGATATCCAGTAAATGAATTACCAGAATCAGAGGAAGGCATAGCACAATGGTGTAAAGATAGATTTGTGGCTAAGGTACTTCATGACTTTAAGTTGTGTCATCGAACTGTAATAGAACGAAATGTAATGTGCGTTTACGCCATAAATGTTTTTTTGATTATATTGCTTTACGTTTTATTGCGACCGAACAAATGTTATATAATGATTTATCCAGTGTTAAATTGTTTTAAGAATTTTTCCTTGCAGGATTCTTTATTGGATGAGTTTCAAGCCAAAGGCAGATTTGAAAGTAATGAAATTAAAAACATTGTTGGTCGGTCAATAAAGACATTAGTGGTAAGTTAATTATAATCAACCTAGCTAAAATAAAATACTACTTTAATATGAATGAATAGTTTTAATTATTTGTTAAACACTTGGAATAGGTATTGGTCTCTCTGGCTTGCATAGATTTTATTGGTGCGATGGCGGTGATTCAACGATTTTCTCTTCTATCGACATGGAAAGGCATCACCTCCATAGTAGCTGGATTGGGCCTTGAAGCACTTTTCCTGCACGCCGTGATTGAGTATACAAAATTGCCACCACAAGCTTCAAAAGCTTCCATGCCAAATGGCTTATCTAAACACTAGTTTTGTCTGCAATTTCAAACTTATCGGAACCTGCTACGCAACGGAGGTTTCTGCATAATATTTTTTTTTTTCGTGCTGTAGGTACATAATAATTAATAAATAAGTTATAGTTAACTTTTTATTCGGATGTGTGGGGCAAGTTAATTTATTATTGGGTTTGTTCGAGGCCCATTGGCCACCTCTGATTAAATAAAAATAATATTCCGGTTATATATCTAATTATGAAAAAAAAAAAAAAAGTAGCTATGAGGATTTGGATTGTTGTTGCCACAATATAAACAAACCAAAAGAAAAAAAAAAAAAGCATTAAGATGAAAGTCCACTGCTTTTCTTTCGATCTAATAACTATTTTAAGCTGTAATTAGGAGTTGCTTAATTCCGATTTTGATATCTATATCCTTGAAAGTGAGGTTTTTAGAATCCGACATTCGGTTAGTATTTATATCTATATTTAATCAAATGTTTGTAAATTGAAATATTTACTAATTACAATTTTATAAATTTAAATAAAAATTAAGGGCGGGTAAGTTTTTGCGGCAAAGTCAATTTACGAATTTAGCCAAAATAGAAATTATCATAGTCGGTCCATGTACCTTGTTTATAAAATTCAGTTACTTTCAGCAAATATTGCCATTTGCCAGTAAAATATTCATTGAATTAAAAAGAAAAAAAAAATTACTAAAAGGATCTCCAAGTGAGCTTCTTACCTTTCCAGCGTATTTCCTAATTAATGGAACCGGTCTGAATTGGATTGGATATAAATATATGATCAATTCGATGTTATTTCCTGCCGGTCCGGAGAAAGGAAGCTGTAATGGGGTCGTTGAAAAACGAGGGAGAAGTGGAGCAGATTGGAGAGGAATCAGCCAAGGAGGCAATCTTGTACGTTAATGGAGTTCGAAGGGTGTTGCCTAATGGATTGGCCCACTTAACTCTACTCGAGTATCTCAGAGGTAACGATTATGTTAAAGTAGCTTGTTACGTTTGGTTGCAAACAAACTGCAAGAAAATGAAAGGTGCGCAGAATAGGACAGGGAGTTTTTGAGTGTTAACTCATCTGAACTAAGTGAAACATGGTCTGGGTTTGGCTTAGTACGGGATTACGATAAAGAAGACCATCTTTCAATGTTAATGCCTTGGTGACTTTTCTAGTATATCAATAAATCGATTGAATCTGCTTGTGAATTTAATTTGGTTTATATGTAATTAATATGAGTACGTGAAAAATGCTCAAAAAAAGTATAATACGTGAAAAAGGAGAAGATGCGAATACAGAGTTTTGATGTCCAAATCTCTGTTCAGTTTGCGATGGTTCTGGGAAGCATAATTATGAAATTGGATCTGCTTGAGGAAGTGTATGACTGAGAACAGCGTATTAATTTATTAGGTTAGAGAAAAGAAGAGAGACTTTTGAATATCTTCCACGTTCTAACTACACTCAGTTGATTTTAGGCAGAACCAGCAAATCAGTTCTTCCTTTGAGTTTGAGAAAATGCTTGATTTTCAAATTCACAGGGAAGATTTCTTGGGTGGTTTTAGATTTGACTAATCAAGCAAACAGTTATCCGCGTTTGCCAGTTGAATCTAAGATTCATCTTAACCAGCTTGCACGTATTCAGAATTACCTATTTCTGGGTTCTTAGTCTTCTCTTTCCTTTTCTGGGCTGCTAAGCTTGGGCTCGTGGTTCTTTTAATTTTGATTTTGGGCGTGTGGTTCTTTTCTTTGGCAGCTAAGTTTGTTTATTGTGATTTGGCTAATGCTTTGTCTCTACTATTTTATTCAGATTGAATGTTTGAATAATGGTAATATGTTGAATTTCTTATTTTCTATATTAGTTAATCTTACATTGTTCAGCATCCTATTTCCTTAAAGTGGCAGAATCTAACTTTATTGCTTATTTTTGCTGTGTGGAGCATGAATATAGACATTGGTTTGTCGGGGACAAAGCTAGGCTGTGGTGAAGGTGGTTGTGGGGCTTGCACAGTTATGGTTTCTCATTACAACAAGAGGCTGAAGAAATGTGTGTGAGTCTTTGTTCATCTCCAGCCCAATTTACACAATTTTCAGCATGTATATGAACTAGATATATTACCCTAATTCTTTTTCTAGGCATTATGCTCTCAATGCATGTTTGGCTCCTTTATACTCCGTAGAAGGGATGCATGTAATTACAGTGGAGGGAGTTGGGAACTGCAGAAGTGGCTTGCATCCAATTCAAGTAATAATTTATATTTTATCATGCTGATTGTTACTACAGCCTTGGGCTTTTTTTTTTTTTTTTAAATAATTCAAAAGCATTACTTTTTATTGCTTGGCACTAGCTACTATATTACACGTTTTTGTATCTATTATTGGGCCCATATTTTTTAAGCTTACTGTTCATTGTTTTCACCAGCTACTGCAGGCATATATAGCTGGACTGAATTTGCTCACTTGCTTATTAGGATTCTACAAGAGAATTTTCCTTCTTTTTTTGTTGTCAAAAGATGAAGAAATTTAATTCTAAATATTTAAGAGCTGAAATAGAGTTGAAATATTATTGCTTAAACTAGTAATCGTTAAAATTTTATGAAATCTGGTTGTATATTATCTAAATATGATGACTGAAGTAGTGTAGTGCCATTGAAAAAATTATAAAGCAGTTAATATCTTAATTGTTGGAAATTTCGGGTATGTGTTGCTGGTTGTGATGGTGATAGTAGTGGTAGATGACAACCATTAGTGGAGGTGATAATAGATGTGGTTGTGGTGGCAACAATAATGCTATAGATAACAGTAGTAGTGATGATACAAAACAACAATGGCGATAGTTGCCAGTGAATTATTATTAGTTTTAAACATTAAGTTTTCACTTTTTATACCAAGTGATGTTTGAAATTAAGAGATAAAAAAAATGTATACAAACCAGTAAGTTCTTCAAATAAATGATATCAAGAACACTTCAAAAACAGGTCACAATTTTATTAGGGAATTAATCAAGTATGGGACAGCACCTAAGTTTATCCATCTTTTGCCATATTCCAAGGCGCAAAATGCATTGATGAGGTTGTTAAGTAAATATGTGTTTCCTTGATTTTCTGCAGGAGTCGTTGGCATGCTCTCATGGCTCCCAGTGTGGATTTTGTACTCCTGGGTTTATCATGTCAATGTATGCACTATTAAGGTCAAGCCAAAAACCACCCACAGAAGAGGAAATTGAAGAGTGCCTTGCAGGAAATTTATGTCGCTGCACTGGTTACAGGCCAATTCTTGATGCATTTCGAGTTTTTGCCAAAAGTGATGATGCATTATATGTTGATAATTCTACAGTAAACCTTCAAGGAGGTGAATTTGTGTGTCCCTCAACTGGTAAACCCTGCTCATGTACATCTCAAGCTGTAACTCATCCTGGAAACTGCATACAAAATACAGCTTGTGGTGAGAGGTATGGACCCGTCTCATATAGTGAGGTAAATGGTAGCACATATACAGACAAAGAGTTTATTTTTCCTCCTGAGTTGTTATTGAGGAAATTAACTCCCTTGAATTTAAGTGGGTTTGGTGGACTCAAGTGGTACCGACCCTTGCAACTCCAGCAGTTGCTGGAGTTAAAATCAAAATACCCTGATGCAAAATTATTGATAGGTAATACTGAGGTTGGAATAGAGATGAGATTGAAGAGAATCCAATATAAGGTTTTGATTTCTGTTGCACATGTACCTGAACTCAATGTTTTGAATGTCAAGGATGATGGCTTGGAGATTGGTGCTGCAGTAAGACTTACTGAAATTATGCAAATGCTCAGAAAGGTTGTAAATGAACGTGTTGCTCAGGAAACATCTTCATGTAAGGCCCTTATTGAACAATTGAAATGGTTTGCAGGGACACAAATAAAAAATGTTGCATCTATTGGAGGTAATATATGTACTGCCAGTCCAATATCAGACTTGAACCCACTGTGGATGGCTGCAAGAGCCAAGTTTCGAATTGTTAATTGCAAAGGTCACATTAGAACAGTCCTGGCAGAAAATTTCTTCCTAGATTATCGGAAGGTGGATCTTGCAAGTGATGAAGTTTTACTCTCTGTATTCTTACCCTGGACTAGGCCTTTTGAGTATGTGAAAGAATTTAAGCAGGCTCATAGGAGGGATGATGATATTGCAATTGTCAATGCTGGAATGCGTGTCTTTCTTGAGGAAAAAGGAAAAGAACTAGTAGTTTCAGATGCTTCAATTGTTTATGGTGGTGTAGCTCCTCTTTCTTTGTCTGCAATAAAAGCAAAAGAATTTCTCATTGGGAAAAATTGGAATCAGGAACTTTTACAGGGTTGTTTGAAAGTCCTAGAAACAGATATCTTACTTAAGGACGACGCTCCTGGTGGGATGGTGGAGTTCCGTAAATCTTTGACCCTTAGTTTTTTCTTCAAATTTTTCCTCTGGGTTTCACATCAGATGGACAGCAAGAAATCAATTGGGAATATTATACCATTATCCCATTTATCCGCTGTACAACCATTCTGCCGGCCCTCAGTTGTGGGAAGTCAGGATTATGAAATTAGAAAACATGGGACAGCTGTGGGTTCTCCTGAGGTTCATCTCTCATCAAAACTTCAGGTATTCAAGTTAGAATAAAAAGACATGCATTAAGTAATTAATTGTAATTTGCTGATATTGTCGATATTATGTGCTTTCTTTTGGGTGAAACCTTATATGAGGATTGGTTTGAAATATTTTTAAAGAAGTTCTAATTTCAAACACTTTCTAATATTTGGTTGAACTGTTATTCTTCTTCTCCTCCTTTACTGGTCTAGTCTCCTTGCATTTCAATTTTCCTATACTAATGTAACCTTAGTCTCCTTATACATTGAAATGAGTATCTCCATGATCTTCTCCAAATATAACATTCTTTAGGTTACCGGAGAGGCAGAATATGCTGATGATACTCCAATGCCTTCTAATGGTCTTTATGCTGCATTAATATTGAGCAAAAAGCCACATGCTCGGATTGTTTCGATAGATGATTCAGAAGCGAAGTCTTCACCTGGATTTGCAGGCATATTTTTAGCCAAAGATGTTCCAGGTGATAATCACATTGGCGCAGTGATTGATGATGAGGAGCTATTTGCTTCAGAGTTTGTCACTTGTGTAGGTCAGGTAAGAAACTTAGTTTTACAATTTTTATTTCAGTTGTGGCAGCAATTTGGTTTCAGAATCATTATTGATGGTAACAATTTGAAATTGCAATGGACATAGCCTAGTTATGGATTGCAGCAGGGTCCTGAAGGGGAAACTTTTTGGTGACAAGCCCTTGATTATTTTCTCATGAAGGGCTTATTCTTAGTCTTCTTATCATTGCACATTTGGTTCTTTACAATAAAGTTTGACAATTCTGAAGATTCTGTGTGACAACTTTGTCTTCCTTCCTTTCTGGTCCATACAATCACATGTATGATTTCTGCAGGTCATAGGAGTGGTTGTTGCAGATACACATGAAAATGCAAAACTGGCAGCAAGAAAAGTTTCTGTGGAGTATGAAGAGCTTCCAGCTATATTATCTATACAGGAAGCCATTAATGCTGAGAGTTTTCATCCTAACTCGGAGAAGTGTTTGAAAAAGGGTGATGTTGAACTCTGTTTTCAATCCGGTAAATGTGACAAAATCCTAGAGGGGGAAGTTCAAGTGGGTGGTCAGGAACACTTTTACTTGGAGCCACAGAGCAGTTTGGTTTGGACAATGGATGGTGGTAATGAAGTCCATATGATTTCATCAACCCAAGTAAGTTGTTCGCTTTCATATTTGTTAATTTATTATTATTACTATTATTTTTTCTTTTACATTTCTATTACATAAGCCATGTGCCACCTTAAATATTTCCCAGAACAAGTCCAGGGTTATAAATGACTTTTAAATGGGGTTCATTTTGGACGGTGATTTGGTGTGAGATTGATATGGACTCAAGTGAGTGAATAGTAACAATGAATATTTATAAAAGCACTTGTGGCTGACAGGTTTGAATTTGAATATGTCGTCTAGTATTGGCAGTTTAGTCTCAGCTACTGTTGAATACTTCAATCTGTATAGCTTACTGAAAGCAATACATAGCTAGTTATTCTTCCTGTTCTAATATTTTCTTTTCCCATAGCCTTAGTACTTTTTCAGTAGGACTATAGGGCTCTAATGATCTTTTAAAATTAATCTCTTAAACATTTTGGGCCTTGTTTCAGAACCACATCAGTGGGACTTCTTTTAAGGTCTTATTTTGACACATGTATATAATGTAATTATTCTAAAAATTAACTTTTTAAAATTATGATAATGCTCATTAATTTTCAAAAACATTACTATCAATTATATATATATTTTTAAAAATTTTTATGTATAGGCTTAATAGCAATTTAAAATGTCATTGCTGCTACTATGACAATTTTGCTAGAAAAGTATACATTTTCTGTGTGCAGGCTCCTCAGAAGCACCAGAAGCATGTGGCCCATGTTCTTGGCCTTTCAATGTCAAAAGTAGTTTGTAAAACCAAGAGAATTGGTGGAGGCTTTGGTGGAAAGGAGACAAGGTCAGCTTTCATTGCTGCTGCAGCTTCTGTCCCATCATATCTGTTGAATCGCCCAGTGAAAATCACTTTAGACAGAGACGTAGACATGATGATTACTGGGCAGCGCCACAGCTTTCTTGGGAAGTACAAGGTAAAAATTTATGGTACTCAACCTGTATTATGATGTTACCTGTATATTCTATTGTAATTTTCATTTTAAGTTGTGCTGTACAAGACTGCTTAGTAACCTGCAAAATGGTTTGACTTTCCGCAATATGATATAAAATGCAGGGAAGGAAATATAACCCCCAGGACCGACAACGGTCAGCTTTCTATTGCCTGCTGGCAGCTGCGTGTCCCCAATCATATCTGTAAGAATCGCCCAGTGAAAATCACTTTAGACAGAGACGTAGACATGATGATTTACTAGGGCAGGCGACCACACCGCTCTCTTGGGAAGTAACATGTTAAGGAGAGTTATGTACTCCAACCTGTTATTATGATGTTACCTGTACCTACTCTATTGAGAGTTTGTCATTTTAAGTTTGCTGCTACATATGAAACTGCTTAGTAACCTGCAAAATGGTTTGACTTTCCGCAATAGATAAAAAATGCAGGGAAGGAAATATAAACCCCCCCCCCCCACCCCCTAATGACAATTTTTATAGGGTCTTCTGGGCAAATGTGGTTGGTTGCCGAAGCAAGTCTGCGTTTCCGAGTAGCACTTCAACCCCCCCCCCCCCACCCCCCCTAATGACATTTTCTAGGTCTTCTGGCAATGTGGTTTTGGGAGCAGTGGTTTACCAGTTGTAGCACTTCTATTTAATAATGTCCATCAAACTAATAGAGATAAGCATATTTGCATTTGGAATGAGCGTAGGGTGCCATTTCTTTCTTCTTCTTTTTTTGGCACAAAACTGAGGTTACTTTAAAAGCTACATGGCAGCAATACGAGTCCAGACAATATTAAAGAGGTGTTCTGTTAATTTTTCGAATTTTTTGAAAATTTTATTCCGTGCTCTAAAGGCACTAGCTAGAAGGCAAGTCTTTGAGGTTTTAGTACCTAGTCAACTAATGATACATTTATAAGGTAGGTTACTTATCATCATGAAATCAATCTTGATTTAAAAAGCACATTAAGTTGGAAAGACCGAAAGAGGGTTGGAGGCAATAAGCATGGAAGGAGGTTACTTAATTCCCCATACATCTTGAACTGAAATAACTAATGCTGCTCCTGTTAATTCAGTGGATTTATGTTCTTTCTGCTTCTTTGTATTTAAAAATAATGGAATGAAATTGATAACTGATGGCAGGTTGGCTTTACAAATGATGGAAAAGTCCTTGCATTAGACCTTAAAATCTACAATGGTGCTGGAAATTCTCTGGACCTGTCTCTTGCTATTCTTGAACGTGCCATGTTTCATTCTGAAAATGTCTATGAGATACCAAATATCAGAATACTGGGGAGGGTTTGCTTCACTAATTTTCCTAGTCACACTGCCTTCAGAGGATTTGGGGGCCCTCAAGGAATGCTTATAGCTGAGAATTGGATTCAAAGAGTTGCTGTAGAACTCAACAAAAGCCCAGAAGAGATAAGGGTAAGTTAAATGAGTTGGTTAATTTGCTGTTAATTTTACCTGTGATTTATAACCTGTCATCATCATTATTATTATTTTTTTTGCATATTCAATATCCAATCAGGAAACCAATTTCCAAGGTGATGGATCAATAACGCATTATGGCCAACAACTTCAATACTGTACACTAACCCAGCTCTGGAATGAACTGAAGTTATCGTGTAACCTTATGAAGGCTCGTGAAGACACTAAACAATATAATCTTCATAATCGATGGAAAAAGCGGGGTGTTGCTTTGGTACCAACAAAATTTGGCATATCCTTTACAACAAAGTTCATGAACCAGGTAATCTGTCAAACAATGTTGGAGCGGGTCCTATAGTAGGTTCATTGTGTCTTTAGTCAACTAGTCTAGCATTATATCTTCTTAGCTGACATCATTTTGCAGGTTACGAAGCAGTCTCTGCTGTATCTGCAGTAGAGTGTCGAATGTATATGATGTTTTTCCCCATAACTAAGGACAAAAGATCAAAATATAAATTGTGTTATATTGAAATATAATTGCCAGGAAAAAGTTCCATACTGACTCGGCCATCATCTAAACATTTAAAAAAGCACCACTCATGGATCCTCAATAAGCCCACAAATCATATTTTCGTTAAAAGTCATCCTTTTGCATTTGTTGCTATATAAGAGACTGTCTCCTTCTCGAAAGCGAGCTATATCTCTTGTTGCCATCTGGCAAGGAATGACCTAAAATTATGTCTGTATATTATTTTCGGTAGGAATATTACTAACTTTTCTGAGCAGAATTTTTCAGCTTCTGATGGACTGCATCTCTTCTTAATGACTGTAGGCGGGTGCTCTGGTTCATGTCTACACAGATGGAACTGTTTTAGTTACGCATGGAGGGGTTGAGATGGGGCAGGGTTTACATACAAAAGTAGCTCAAATAGCTGCTTCTGTCTTTAACATCCCTCTCAGTTCTGTGTTCATATCTGAAACAAGTACTGACAAGGTATTAAAGCATTATTGCAAAGCACTTGATATTGTTTCATTTTTTGGAAACTAGTTCCATACAGGATCCACTATATGATGCCACAGTTCACCAAAACCGATGGGGCTTTTGCATTGACTGTAATATGCCATTTCCAAATGGGTGTTGGGTTTAGGTTTTGCAAAGAACTTGATCTGATAGTGAGAGATCATGAATAATGAACCTGGATTCTCATCATGGCTGTATCTAGATCAGTAACATTGTTAGCATATTTTGTAAGCGCATTTTTTAGAAAAACATTCATGTTTTATCTAGATATTCATAAAAACTTCATTCTCAAAAAAAAAAAAAAAAAAAAAACGTTAACATTGTTAAGCATATTTTGTAAGCGCATTTTTTAGAAAAACATTCATGTTTTATCTAGATATTTCATAAAACTTCAATTCGCTCAAAAAAAAAAAAAAAAAAAAAGCGTAATCTGTTTTCTGACATGGTATCTTCTTGGTGTGGTAATGGTATGACTGGGGACAAAAATATAAGACTTAAATATTTGTAAATTCATCTTTCAACATTATGTTGTGCAATCATGAAAAATAATTAATAATTTTATGGAAACTAGTAAAATCAAACTTTAACAAAATGTTATCATTTGAATCACATTATCAAAAAAAAAAAAAAAAAAAAAAAGGTAATCTGTTTTCTTTGACATGGTATCTTCTTGTGTGGTAATTGGTATACAAAAATATATCTAGACTTATATTTAAATTTCATCTTTCAACATTATTTGTGCAATCATGAAAAATAAATTAATAATTTATGGAAACTAGTAAAATCAACTTTAACAAATTTTATCATTTGATCACATTATCGTTTAAGGATACTTAACAGTCAGCTATTTACCGCTTGATCACATTGTCATTACTATCTTTCATGAGCCAGGAAATATCTGGAATGAATTTCCCAATTAAATATGTTTGTTTTTTTCTTTTTTTTTTTTTTTTCCGATGATATATCATTGAAATTTCCAGGATTTTGAACTTTCAGGACATTTGTTTATATCAATATTCAAATCCTTACAGGTACCTAATGCATCACCAACAGCAGCTTCTGCAAGCTCTGATATGTATGGAGCTGCAGTATTGGATGCATGTGAGCAGATAAAGGCACGGATGGAGCCTGTTGCTTCAAAACATAATTTCAGCTCATTCGCTGAGGTAACTTTATTCTCGTAGTTTCTGCACAACAATTTTAAATGGTCAATAAGGATGATGTGGAATTACGGTCATACCACAAAAAGTAATCTAGTTAATGTATTCAAGTAAATTTTAGAAGCAATGATAAAATCTTCTTTTGTAGCATTGCAGTTAATTATTTCTTCATTTAAAGGTTGCTTCTGCCCTTTATTCCTTGTAAGGTTCTTGGCTATCATGAACAATCTATAATTGTAAATTGAATTTGTTTTTTATATTATTTCAGCTCGCAAGTGCATGCTATATTCAGCGAATAGATCTTTCTGCTCATGGATTTTACATTACACCTGAGATTGGCTTTGATTGGAGCACTGGTAAAGGAAATCCATTTAGGTACTACACCTATGGGGCTGCATTTGCTGAGGTTGAAATTGATACATTGACTGGAGATTTCCACACAAGGGCAGCAGATGTTATCTTGGATCTTGGGTATTCACTCAATCCAGCCATTGACGTTGGACAGGTGCCTTTCTTTCTGGGACTTCCATTTTGAGCCATGCACGATTTAGAAGTTCATCGAACTTACAAACTATATTGTCTACTAACCTAATGCCTTAAATCCAAAACGATGCAAGCTTTATGCATTACCTAAAATGTTTATTTTTTTAACTTAAAAGAGATCATGAAGTTTGTGCATATGATGCTTTGCTCTATGCTTCAATTGCTATTCAGATTGAAGGAGCATTTATACAAGGCCTGGGATGGGTAGCCTTGGAAGAGCTAAAGTGGGGAGATTCAGCCCATAAGTGGATACGACCAGGCTGGTTGTATACATCTGGACCTGGAGCTTATAAGATTCCTTCCATAAATGATGTGCCGTTCAAATTCAAAGTTTCACTTCTAAAGGTATGCTTCAACCAACTCCTTTAAAGATGCATGGAATACTCGTATGCCTAGGATGGTAGAATGTTTGGATTCTCTCTTCGAACTCACCCCAAAATTTCTTCTTTAAATGTGGAGATTGCTATAATCTACAAAAAAAATTATTGTGTCCACTTGGATCTGTGGGTGAATTTAGAATTCAAGTAAATTTGGATCCAGATTGCTAAAATCGTAAAACACCAAATTTAATGTCGAATGCAAGAACTTCTTTCTGCTTTCTTAAAGTCATTGTTCGTATGTTAAAAATTGTGTTTTCTTTTTACAGTTGGGATATAACTTATCTGCTTGGTTTCTTTGTAATCATATAGGGTCATCCAAATGTAAAAGCTATCCATTCATCTAAAGCTGTTGGTGAGCCTCCATTTTTTCTTGCTTCGGCCGTCTTTTTTGCCATCAAAGATGCTATTAAGGCTGCAAGAGCAGAAGTTGGGCATCACGAGTGGTTTCCTCTTGATAATCCGGCGACACCTGAACGTATCCGGATGGCTTGTTTAGATGAATTCACAGCTCCGTTTATAAACTCCGACTACCGCCCCAAGCTTAGTGTTTGATAAGCTAGTGTAGTGGCCATTATTGCTTGGTTGTTGCATCATTGGCATGTATCTTGATCATGCAGCTTTGTAAATACAGTGACATTTTCCGGAACAGTGTATAAAAATAAAATAATCACAAATCCAGGTCAAATGAGAAAATGGGATGATTCAATTGTTACTAGTCCGTTTTAACTTTACATAAACCTGACTAATCCCTGCTCCACTTCGGAGGTTCGCAAGTGCTTTTTACCACTGGACTGCCTCGTTCGGATTCTTCTTTTCTTTATTTTTTTTTAAACATATAATAGATTACAGCGTTTATTATTATTAAATATTATTGACAAGCAAACTGTAATAAGCAAGAATTAATTCAAACAAGTTAAATAAGTTAATTTAGAAACGGTTTGAAAAAAAAAAAAAGTGTAGATTTGGTGTAATTAATAACGGTAAGTAAAAGAATTAAATATAGTTCTTTCAAAATCACAAGAAATAATTAATTTGTATAAATTTGACGATATCTCAAAGGTATTTGCTAGAAAAATTGAAAATTACTTATGGAATAATATTAGTGTGGAGATAAAGATTTGAAGATTTCAAGTGGGAAAGGAATAAAAGGTTGCTTAAAAAGAAAAAGAAAGAAATTTCTCAAGAAATTACTATTAATTATAGCTATAAAAAAATGGAAATCTTATATCAAATCTAGAAACCTTGCCATCCTAAGAGGACCTATTCAAAGTTAATCTAACTGATCTCTTATGAATTAGATTTTCTTTCATTTTTATAATAATTGCAACTACTTCAGAATAAAAAAAAAAAAAATACAACCTTTAATAAACCGAATTAATACTTAAGTTACGTAACATGAATAACTCTTAATTTACCAAATTGGTAAAACTCATTATTGAAAGAAAATCTCCAAAATTTCAATATTTTTCTACCCTAAATAACTAGAATCCATGAGATGGGTAATTATTTTTTAATCTCATCAAGTGTCGTTTAGGAAAATTCAGTCGCAATGAAATCTATCTGAAAGACAACAAATGATTTTACCAGCTAAATCAGACCAGGTCTCTTCCTCGTAAAAGCTGGCTTAGACGGCAATGAAAGGGAAATAATCTTTAACTTTTGCTTTGTCAAATTAGGTTTTTAATTGAGAAGAAAAGTATTTAGGTTTCTTCTCATCTGCTCTCCACTAAACAATCAGATTAGTTATCAACTAATTGACTGCAACTAAAATAACTGGTAATAAAACAATAAACGGAAATGGTGAGGTATGTTTTATGTATAAATTAATTTTCTTTGACTTATTCACACCTAATATCACAGTTGTTTTATTATTTAATTACGTGATTATGTATTATTTTCAATATATAAAAATTAAATAATTAAATTTATACATGTATTATTTTATTTCTAATTTAAAAAAAATTATACGGATCCCACTTCACAAAATTTCTAGATTTTTAGTATTTTTTTTTCTTTTTTCTTTTTGATGTGTAAGCTAAAATCTTAATCTATATTTTTGCAAATCATTTTTCCACTATTCTAAGATTAATTATATCTATTTTATTAGTCCCCATCATTAAAAGAATACACGAAACCAAAAGAAAATAGGTAGAAAATGTATTTGGTTTCTAAGTTGTATTATCGATTTAATACAATAAAATAAAAAAGTATTTTAATTAAAAATATTAGCTAGTATATTTTTCACCCACTTTCCCTCGCATTTTCCGTCTTGGCAAACATACCCTAGCTAACTGTTAAGCCATGAAGGTTCGATGCATTTTCTATGACATCAAGCCTTCCATTGCAGGCTTTATGAACTTCACATATAATATTGTTGATTCAGTGCTAATAAAATTATCCGAAAGGTTTATTCGGCAAAGTTAATTGTTGCAGCAGCTGTTGTTTATTTTAGTAGCTTTTAGTTTAGGGTTAACTTTTTATAAAACGCTACTTTAACCTCTAAAAGCTAATTCAAACGCTATATTACTGAACACTATTAAAAAAAATAGCATTTAATGTTTTGACTAAAAGCTACGTCTTAACCAATTAAGAAGTACGGAAAAAGAGAAGTTGACTTAGAAAAATCTAAATGTGTATTATATATGATGCATTATTTACCTGCCTACTGCTAAATACATAGTAATTTGACGATAGTGACACTCCAACAAGCCAAATTAGTTAAATGACCAATATGTAAGTTTACCACAAAACCAATCGGGGTTAATAATTTAAAATGACTATAGTCGACCTCAAATTAGCTGAGGTAGGTTGACTATACGAATCTTTTATTTCAAATATAAACTTTGCATATATTAAAATAATTCAAGGAAAAGTATAAGTCGACGGAAAAAAAAAATATGAATAAAAGAAGTATATATTTGGAATCATAAAGTTTTTAACATCTAAAATAAAGTTAAAGTGATTGTGAAATTACAAGGTTTTGAAATGTAAATTAATAGTTTAATATCCATTATCTTTACCTACTTATCTCCATCACTTCAAGATGTTATTTTATCATAAAATTAATTAAACTATATAATTCTAATTTCCAATTGTAAATTAATAGTTTATTTTCAAGTGTTAGTTTATTAATTTTATAAATTAGTATTGGATTTGGCCTAAAAATTTTGACTATTTCAAGTTAAATGAACATTTCATATAACATGAGTCAAGTAGATCATGGATTCCACTCATTAAGAAAGTTGCAGGATGTAATAATTTATTTATTTATTTATTTATTTATTTATTAGGTTTGTTGCAAGTTGGAAGCATTGAGCACCAAAATCAGATTATTATTTATCACTATATAAACTGGGGAGAAGCTCAGTTTTAATCCCAACACCCCAAAGCGAGACATACAAATCCTAAGATTGTGCAACTTTAGAGATTAACAATGTTGCCCCAGAAAGTGGCCAATGCATGGCCACACCTACTGTTTGCTTTTGCATTGTGCTTCATGGCCAATATGGTAGCTGCAGAAGTTGAGCCTTATAATTATTCATCACCACCAATGCCATCCTATGAGTACAAGTCACCTCCTCCTCCTCCTTCATCCCCACCCCCACCTTATGAGTATAAGTCCCCACCTCCACCATCCCCTTCACCTCCTCCTCCTTACTACTACAAGTCTCCCCCACCACCATCACCTTCACCTCCTCCTCCTTACTACTATAAATCCCCACCTCCACCATCACCATCCCCTCCTCCTCCGTATTACTACAAGTCTCCCCCACCACCATCTCCTTCACCTCCTCCTCCTTACTACTATAAGTCACCACCTCCACCATCTCCATCCCCTCCGCCTCCGTACTACTACAAGTCTCCCCCACCACCATCTCCTTCACCTCCTCCTCTACTACAAGTCTCCCCCACCACCATCTCCTTCACCTCCTCCTCCTTACTACTATAAGTCACCACCTCCACCATCTCCATCCCCTCCGCCTCCGTACTACTACAAGTCTCCCCCACCACCATCTCCTTCACCTCCTCCTCCTTACTACTATAAGTCACCACCTCCACCATCTCCATCCCCTCCGCCTCCGTACTACTACAAGTCTCCCCCACCACCATCTCCTTCACCTCCTCCTCCTTACTACTATAAGTCACCACCTCCACCATCTCCATCCCCTCCGCCTCCGTACTACTACAAGTCTCCCCCACCACCATCTCCTTCACCTCCTCCTCCTTACTACTATAAGTCACCACCTCCACCATCCCCATCCCCTCCCCCTCCGTACTACTATAAGTCTCCGCCACCACCATCTCCTTCCCCTCCTCCTCCTTACTACTACAAGTCTCCACCTCCACCATCACCGTCCCCTCCCCCTCCATACTATTACAAGTCTCCACCTCCACCATCACCATCACCTCCACCTCCTTATTACTATAAGTCCCCACCTCCACCCTCTCCATCGCCTCCACCACCTTATTATTACAAATCTCCACCACCACCATCACCATCCCCTCCACCTCCTATTTACTAAACAAAAGCACAGCCTTTTAAATTCATGTAAGCACAGTTATGTATTTGCTTTCATCTTGATACAACATCTCTTCATGGTTCCACCTGATTCTAGAGATCATTACTTTGCACTGTAGGTTATAAAATTAAAGAAGAATAATTGATCCAAGACGTTCTCCTTGGTGTCACTCTTGTTCATTTTTCTCATACAATATACAAAAGAAGCAGCACCGACTTAGGGTTGCTATATCTGCAGACATGATTATTCTGCTCGTGATTTGATGCATTCCATACATTAATACACGTTCTTTGCGTTCCTTAGACTGTAATAAATTTTTCCATAAAAAAAATTGAAATAAAAAAGGCTACATTAATTGTGGTCACTATATATATTTTGATTATCTTCTAATGCTATTTGTAATATTGATTTCTGAAAGTTGTTTTATCATATAATAAACATGTGATCAATCATGGTGATTTGAGTTAGAAAACTTAATTAGTGAGCTCAAATATATACTATATAATATTTTGGCATTATACTCTAATCGGCTATTTGTATAATATTGGATTTCTGGAAGAAGTTGTTTGTAAGTCATCATAAATAACATGTGATCCTGCGATCGGTGGAGTTTGAGTTAGTAAACTTGTTAGCTGAGCTCAAATATATATATTCATACAGTAGATATAGGTATATTTGTACTATATATATAATCAATTTCAACGTATGGTCATTAATTTTTATGTTTGGAATATAATATTCAATATGGTCATAATTTTTATTTTGGACAAAATGATTAAGTAAGTATTTATAACCTTGGAATTAACAAAATATAATGACAAGTTACCATTGATAACCTTCCAAAAACTAAAACAAATGGTTAAACCACCATCTAGAACAAATTGTAATGTATGTTTGAACATTTCTCCCAATTTTAATTAGTTGGTGCATGAAATGAGCATGCTAATATTTATGACAGATTAAGTTTACGGTGAATCATACATTATCAATGTATTAATAATCAAATAAATAAAGCACAAAAAACTAAGGTAAAAAGGAAAAAGAACAAAGGATTTCTATGTTTCTGGAAATCAGCTGAATTTGATTTGGGAGTTAGGCTATGAATCTATTATTGGAAAAACATTGAGAACACTAGACACAAAAATTTAACTTAGTTATTTTTTGAGATCCACCATCTCATAAATTTTTTCCTCATCCATAAATTTGAAATCCATATCTATGAAAGGTCTGAGCGATCCATTTTTCAAATCGCTCATTTGAAAAAAAAAATTAAAATCCTCATATATGATCATGATACTTCAAAAATCAAAATTATGTAATTTACAGTAAAATAACTTAATTGTTAAGTGTTCCTATTTTTTTTAAGATAAGAAGGGCAGAGAAAATGCTTGGAACAAATATTGAGTACTAAACGGCGTTGAGTGTTTTCTAAGAAGCAAGGCTAATAAATAAAGATGAAGAGTATCACTAGACGAAAATAAAGACGACCTCCATTATTCACAGAAATAGAATTTCATTGATATTGTTCGATCTTCCTGTCTATCTTCACACAATAAATCACACAACGTTAACTTATATATATATTTAGAAAGTCTACCTTATTGCTTCTTTCTTGTTTATATTAAGAATTAGAAAATCATTAGAAAATAAGCAAGTTAAACAAAAGAACATATTATACTATAATTGCAATTACAAACATAACAAAGGACAACTAATCGAACAATTATATTCATATGAGGTTGGCAAACTATAATTGTATAATAATAAAGTTGAGAGAAGCAAACTATAATTGCATGGTTGTGTCATGTTCAATATGTCTACAGGGAGTCAAACTTTGCAGCAGATTTCTTAGCTGGTTTGGCCCATTCCATTCCATTCCATTAGGGACTAAATTTCTAGACTCTACTCCTGTTGGTTTGTGGTTATTACATGATGTAAGTGGGGTGTCATACCCAATATACTGTGTGTAGTTTCTTTAGTGCTTAGCACTCCCCCTTTGTAACAAAAAAAAAAAAAAAAAAAAAAATAGACTCTACTCCTGTTTGGGTTTTGGGTGGTTATTACATGAAATGTAAGTGGGTGTCAATACTCCAACTATGATCTGTGTAGTAGTTTCTTTAGTTGCTTAGCACTCCCCTTGTAACAAAAAAAAAAAAAAAAAAAAAAAGTTTTAAGTGAAAATGTATTTATGGGCCGTACATATTGGACTCTAGGTCTAGAAAAAAAAAAAAAAAAAAAAAAAGTTTTAGTGAAAATGTATTTATGGGCCGTCATATTGGACTCTAGTCTAGAAACTAGAATTAGAAGTCCTGGCTCTTCTGGCCCAAAAGTTTTTTAATGAAAAAGCTTTGCAAAAAAAAAAAAAAAAATCTTTCGTATTACTTGGTAGAGTACAATGTTTTAGTATTAATTAAGAAAGATGGAAACGTAATATAATTAGAAAATTAAAAATATTGCAATTTTGACTTAGCAAAGCGAATGATTATAACTGCGAAATGGTAAAGTGTGATTATCCTTTTGAATTATTTAAATTATCCAATTACTGCAAGTATTTTGTGTGGCTAATCATAAGTTAATGGAATAATTAAAAATTTTCAAATATGACTATGTTATTGGATGACAACAACCTTTCACTAATTATTTGCTATTAGCGTATCAGTATTGATTGGACATGAGCAAGTCAAGAAGTAAGAGAGTAGGTACAAGTCTCTGTACGGCTGGCTGGATTTGTGCAAGTGTAGTGTAATGTTCGTTGAGATGGCTTAAGTAATTTTAGATTTTACCTGTTCCACTTTCTAAAGATTGCAACTTGCAAGAAACTGCTTAATCTTTTAGTTTATTTGTGCCCCATTTGACCATTATAGTCTACAATTTTGATTGAATTTATAGAATCTGTATGAGAATATTTCACACCGTCAAGCACCATCACTAGAAAAAACGTACAATTGTCTTGCATTTGTATTTCACAGAAATGATTGCATTAGAAATATGACACAATAAGAACTTGTTTCGTACAAAAGAATTCACTATGGATCTTCATTTAGATCCTTATTGTACACAAACATTTGTTTTATTACAAATAAAAACAATGCGAAATCACTCAAAAAACAACATAAATATTATTTAGTTGTTTATGTTCTGTTTGAAATTGATTTAATAATGTACTTAGTAATGATGACTTGGAGGTGGTGGGGATGTGTAGTAGTATGGAGGAGGAGGTGAGGGTGATGGTGCTGGTGGTGACTTATAATAGTATGGAGGAGGTGGAGACTTTTTAGGTGGAGGAGGTGATGTATAGTGGTATGGAGGTGGTGGGGAGGGGGATGGAGGTGGTGGTGACTTATAGTAGTATGGAGGAGGTGGAGACTTTTTTGGTGGAGGAGGTGAGGTATAGTGGTATGGAGGTGGTGGAGAGGGAGATGGAGGAGGAGGGGACTTGTAGTAGTATGGAGGAGGTGGAGATTTCTTTGGAGGAGGAGGTGATGCATAATGGTATGGAGGTGGTGGAGAGGGAGATGGAGGAGGAGGAGACTTGTAGTAGTATGGAGGAGGTGGAGATTTCTTTGGTGGAGGAGGTGATGTATAATGGTATGGAGGAGGTGGAGATTTCTTTGGTGGAGGAGGTGATGTATAATGGTATGGAGGAGATGGAGAGGATGGTGGACGAAGGCGAGATTTGGCAGGAGGAGGAGACTTGTAAGTAGTATGCGAGGAGTTTGGTAGGAGGAGTGTGCATGGTAATAACTGCCGTGTTCTATTGGAGGCAGAGTGGAGATCTTGTTTGGTGAGAGGACGGATTGAGGTATAGTGGTATGGAAGGAGGTGGAGATTTCTTTGGAGGAGGAGGTGAGTGATAATAAGGTGCGGTCATGAGAGGGTGGTGGATTGACTTCTTTGATGGCAGGAGGTTGTAAGGGCGTCATATTGAGTGGTATGGAGGAGGTATGGAGGATTGCTCATTTGGAGGAGGGAAGCGTGAGGTATAGTAGGTAGGAGGAAGGTGAGGCTTCTAGGAGGAGGAGGTGAGGATTGTAATAGCGAGTGGGTATGCGGAGAGGTGGATGACTTCTTGGTGGAGAGGTTTTGAAGGAGTAATAAAGTGGCGTATGGGAAGAGGTGGAGATGTCCTTGGAAGGAAGGAGGTGTGTAGTAATGGTATGGAGGAGGTGGAGACTTCGCTTTGGTGGTGAGGGGAGGTGAAGGTATTATCGTGGTAGTGAGAGGAGGTGGATATCATTCTTTGGCGTGGAGGAGGTCTGAGCGGGTATAGAGGTGGGGTAATGCGAGGAGGTGGAGATTCTTTTATGTGAAGGAGGAGGTGATGTATATGTTAGTGATGGAGGAGGTGAGTGGATTCCTTTGGAGGAGGAGGTGATGTCATACATGAGTATGAGAGGGAAGGTGGAGATTGCGTTCTGATTGTGAGGAGGAGGTGATTGATAGAGTGGTAATGTACGAAGGTGGTGGAGTAGGGAGACTGGAGGAGGGTGGGGGACTTGGTGAAATCAATATGGTGGATTGACTCTACTATGCCTACTTTGGGTGGGAAGGCGGAGGAAGCATACATATAATGGCGGAGGAGGTGATGTATAATGGTATGGAGGAGGTGGAGATTTCTTTGGAGGAGGAGGTGATGTATAGTGGTATGGAGGTGGTGGAGAGGGAGATGGAGGAGGTGGGGACTTGTAATAATATGGTGGATGCTCTATATGCTTGGGTGGAGGCGGAGAAGCATACATATAAGGCTTATCAGCCACCACACTGGTGGCTACTAGGCAGAAGACTATAGCATGAATCATTTTAGAAAAATGCCCGGGCTGCTCTTCCCGGGTTCCCATCTTTGATTAGAGAAGTATTGTTTTGTGTATTTGCATGGTGAGGCAAAAACCCTATATATACTGGTTTCTCCAATCGTAAGTATACTTGTTTAATCATTATTACAGCCTGGAGTAGACCAGTAAAACATAAAAAAATCCAGTCTTTTTCTCAACTTTCCATTGGAGGTTTCCCACTTTCTCAATTATATGTAGTAGATAATGAAAATGTTAAGCTTAATTTTGAGTTCGGTGAGATGGTCCATCCATGGCTGACTGTGTTAGCAATTTAATATTCAATGTGAACCGCGTTTGAAGCAGACATGTCTTGAATTTTTATTTTTGGATCGGAGAAGATAACAGAGATGATATAGGAGATATGGGGGTATGAGTTTTGAAGTCAAAATCCGAAAAGAATATAATAAAGGCTTTGCAATTGCCATATCCTAAGCTTCTTCCAAATCGCTTGCTAGCAGAAGCAACTAATTTTTTGTTTTTAGATATAATTTTCTATTGAAGTCTCTAAATGACTAAATCTTTGTGTTGATCATGTAAACAACGCTGTCGGTGAAATAAAAATCAGTACCTACTAACTACTTCACAGTTTAATAAATTAAAATCACATTATTTTCAATTATCTTATATATCCTTTAGGAATAATTATGAAATTAGTGTCTTTATTTAATCAATTTTTTAACTTTAATTTTCCAATTTTATTTTTTATCAATCCAATGTTTGAATTAATAAAATTTTCCAATCAGAAACATGTGAACGATGCTTCTACCAAAAAAATTAAAAAATTAAAATGAACTATTTCATCTTATTTTTCCACATAATTATTTCTCTAAGTTATCACATTTCTTGTTTTATGGCATTAGCTCTCTTTTTTGTGGAATTTTATTTTAAATAAAAAATCCAATATAGTAATTGAAAATAATGTATGCATCTAAATACTTAATTGATAAATATTAATTGAAACACAAATAAAAAATATTTGCAAAATCAATTATATAATTATCCAATCAATTAATTATGGCTTCAACTATATTTGATAGTGATGGGCAGAGTGATGTTTGCAGCATGACTTGTCTGTCGTTCGGTGAAACGAGAATAATAATAAAACAGCAACTTGTTTGAGGAAGGAAGACTATTTCTATTTATTTATGAATAAATATAATAAACGAACAGCCGTACAAAAAAGAAAAAAAAAATTAAGCCTCCGTTCTCACCAAAATTAGATATTTGATTTTTGACAATTGGTTATCTCTTCATGGCCAAGCTTGAAAAATATCAAACCAACCAGTGCTTTTCTTCACAAATTAAAACCCGCGGCTCGGCCAGAAACAGGTCTAACCACATGTTACTATCGTGTGAAATTTTCAAAATCATCTATGCCAAGAAGAGTCATTATTGTGAGCTTTTTAGAGAAATGCAATGGTTTGCTTAGCTCCTATTCATGAGAATGAAGAAAATCCTGAAATACAAACTCTCAGGTTACTCTACTCTTGGTTCTCTTTTTCTGATATTAAGGAAGAAAACAAGGCCACTGAGTTCCAAGAGAGTTGAGTTGAAAAACCTTACTGCCCCAGGTGGCCACGTCTTTGACTTGTGCTCTTTTTAGCAGATAATTGATTATTTGACCATTAGGCATCCAAAAGCCTAGAGAATCTCAATTATGTAGCCCGCAGTTATAGGGAAGAGTCCCACCTACCTAACACAATAATCAAATCAAAAACTTAATCTAAAGCATCTCTGAGTCAACCCTGTAAAATTGGGTTCTACGATATGCCTATGACTCGTGCATACACCCAGTTTATCTGCTCCTAAACTTCACCTGTCTATCTCACCAAGTACATGCACATCAACAAATTAAGCAGATGGCCAGAAATTTTGACACTACTAGATTTTCAGAATAAGGAACCTCTCACGACTAGCAGAGATGATTCATCATACTTCTAGAATTCATCCAAACCTGCCCTTTTCCAAGTCCAAGCCCCTTGTAACATTCTGCTGTTAAGCTCCGTGAAATTTACAAAGTGGATGTGGAAGAGAACAGTGAAATGTAAAAGTACCACACACGCTGATACATCTCTGGCCCCGGACATATCAATTTTGTGTAAAGTTTCTAATTTCATTTATTACAAAACCAAGTCATGATTCCTTTCGACACAAGAACAAGGAAAACTGAAACAAACAACTCTGTATGCAGGGAAAAAAAAAAAACCCAAAATCAAAGAACAAGAAAAATTTGACAGTTTATGTCCACCGCTGATTCCTAACGTTTTGTTGCATCACCAAACACATCCACATAACATATGGGGCATGCCTGATAAGATGAACAAAAAGTCAGTTTTTACTCTTTTTTTTTTTTTTTATAAGCGGATCCTCAGGTTCAAAATAAGCTTATATGGCTTACCTTATTGATGCTAAGCCATCTAGTCCCACAACCAACATGATAAGCATGTTTACATGGCAAAGTGATGCGCCGGTCACCTCGCTTATATTCCATTTGGCAAATCACACACCTAATTCCAACAAGAGAAAAAGGTTAAACAATATGGCAGTGCTGAAAAGGCTTGATCATGATCTACATGAAGAGACGGCATATGCTGATCTCCAAATGGATTTGATATTTGGTCCAATCCTCTAATTTTGTCAATTTTGTCCTGATTTAACAAATTGGTTGCAATTTTAGCCAGGAGGTCAAAATTGTGGAAAGAAGTCATTACTGATTAATAAAAAAAATTTATTTTAACAACTCATAATCTTTTTTCTTTTCTTGCATCCTTTTCCCCTTCCTCAAAAATTTTAGGTAGAAGGTACAGGCCTCGGTCATGTGCTTTCGTTCTAAATGAGGAAAGGTTCCATTTTTCTTTGTTTGAAGAAAGAGTGTTGCAAGGGGGTGGATGGAAGGGTAGGGAAAGGAACAAAGAAATAAAAACAAGATCATTATATTTTGAAAATTCCAATCAGCACTAAAATAATTATTTTCAATTTTGACTGGCTGACCAAAATTGCTACCAATTTTCATATTAGGACAAAATTGACAAAATTAAAATGACTAATAAAAGTTGCAAATGTGCACAATAGTTTGAATTTGTTTTATCATTTGGCCTCGAAAAATTGAAGCAGGAAGCATCCTTTTTCAGTAATCCATAACAATTTTTAGGAGAATTTGCAGTCAAGGGCAGATATGAAAGTTGCAAACAAGACATAAACAAGCCATACATAATCAGAAAACCATGGAAGGGAAAATGAACATCAGACATAAGCCCAAAATAGTACCTCTCACATCTTGATTTCTTTCTTGTGAAGAAGCTGCACTTGTACTTTGAAACTGGAAGCAAAGAAATAAGTTCCTGGGAAAGACCCCGACTTTGTGTTCCAACTGTCTCGCCTAATTCTAGTAATTCCTGAATGGATATAATATGGTTAAAAAGTAGAACAAACCAAAAAAGATTACCAATATCAACCAAAAACAAACAACAGACATGTATAAGAGTAGAGAGTTTCAACTGTCAACATTTCCTTTTTAAGTTTGGACCTTCATGTATCCTGATGTTTTCTAACAAGTAAAAAGGCCAACCAATAAAGCTACATATTTTAGTTAGAGAACAACATCATTGCAGCTCAGAAAACATTACTCATGAAAATGGGGCAAAGGGATACAAGTGTATGGGGTTGGGGGGGCATGGAACCTCCATCTGACCTCAATTATGTGAATTAACCTTTTCTCTGCTAAAACATTTTAATCACCAAAAAAAAAAAAAAAAAAAAAACACAGACATGTATAGAGAGTAGAGAAGTGTTCAACTGTCAACGATTTCCTTTTTAAAGTTTGTGGAGATCCGTCTCATGTATCCTGATGTTTTCTACAAGTTAAAAAAGGGCAAACCAATAAAGCTATCATATTTTAGTTCAGAGAACGAACCATCATTGCGACTCAGAAAAAACTTAACTCACATTGAAAATGGGGCAAAGGGCATTAGCAGAGTGTGACTGGGGGTTGGCGGGGGCATCGGAAACCTTCCATCTGAACTCAATATATGTGATTAACGCTTTATCTCTGCTCAAAACATTTTAATCACCAATAAAAAAAAAAAAAAAATACAACATACAGCATATAGATCCAGCAATATTAAAATGCATGAAACAATAGAAAAATAATAAAAAAAAAAAAAAAAAAAAAAAAAAGAGAAAAGGAAATTTAATGTTCTAACCTCATAAAAAAAAAAAAAAAAAAAAAAAAAAAAAAAAAAAAAAAAAGAGAAAAGGAAATTTATGTTCTAACCTCATAACTCATACCATCAGGATCAACATTGTCTTGCCAAATGACCTGCAGAGTTCAAAGATAATAAATTGTATTCATTTGTCTAAAAAATAATAAATATATACTTTATGGAAAAAAGGTGGTGTCTAAGAATATGCTACATCAATGAAGGTTGTTTGTATAGAAAGCACTTCTATTTGAACGTTGATGCTTCCTATTCAAATGTAAAATCTTTTAAAATTTAAAAAGTATGGAAGGTCCCCAGAAAATGTCTAGTGTGGATTTATTTTTGCTGTGTATGTGCAGATAATGAGAGAGAGAGGAAGGCTATTAACATAATCACAGGATTCAGGGATAAATTGCCATATGCCAAGACCATTAACAAGCTAGCGCACCTGAAAATCCTGAGGATTCTGATGTCTCCGCAGACCTGAAAAGTTAAGAAAGACGTTATTTGTCAAGAATCACCAATGAATGAGATACAAGAAAAATAAGGAAATAAAAAATAGTAGATACAGCTCTATGAGTATGATACGATTCAATTTAATCTAACTTTAACCCCAAGTCCAGCTAACCAAAATTAGCAAAAATCAAGAGATCAACGAAGTCTGCTGCACTTGAATTCATATACGATTACGTCACTAGATTAAATCCATTAGTGACAGATCCATTATCATAGGCAGAAACAGTACATGCCAGGTTGGCAATGGCATATTCTTCAAGTTCTATTTCATGGCTTCAGCCATTCAATTTCCAGAAAACCAAATAATGAAAGACACAACATTATTAGAGAATCAACAAGCATAGATAATCACGGTTCATTATGAACTTAATTATAGAACTACCAGGTAAAGATTTATTATTTCATCCACCTGTTTTGAATCCTTGGTCCAACTCACATGGAACAATAATAATCACAAAAAAAAACAATAATGTAGATGGTGACAGCCTGAGATCTTTCCATATCAATAGAGGTTCATTGCCTGGTCCATCACCGTTTGCCTTCCAACAATATGATTAAGCCCCGCTACCACTTAGAACCTGATTATTTAGCTTATTAATCTATGAATAGTTTTAGCATTTCCTCTAATTTTGAGGGGTCATTCAACTTCCAAAAGGTTCAGATTTTGGCACCGTCCCATTTGGCCATCATACATGTCAATCTGGAAGAAGAATCAACTCGGGAGATTTTCTCCCTTTCCCCCACCTCTCTCCCTCTGTTCCTCCTATCCCACCTTACCGTTCCCCATAAGCATTCTATATCCTATCATTTTCAATAGAAGAATCATCAGATTTTTCATCTGAAGAGATAAAACCAAACAAACTCAGAACTTACATTCCAGAGGATTGTTTTGAGTAGTCATGTTTTCATTTCCTTCTCATTCTGCATTTACTGCGATTATTTAGCTTATTAATCTATTAATAGTTTTAGCATTTCCTCCCTCTAATTTTGAGGGGCCATTCAACTTCCAAAAGGTTCAGATTTTGGCACCCTCCCATTTGGCCATCATACATGTCAATCTGGGAGAAGAATCAACTCAGAAGATTTTCTCCCTTTCCCCCACCTCTCTCCCTCTCTTCCCATTTCCCATAAGCTTTCTGTATACTATCATTTTCAATAGAAGAATCATCACATTTTTCATCTCAAGAGATAAAACCAAACAAACTCGGAACTTACATTCCACAGGATTGTTTTGAGTAGTCATGTTTTCATTTCCTTCCCATTCTGCATTTACTGCTGCAGTTGGTCTATCTGCAATTGTTGAAGAATTTTCCGGGGGCCTTCTATAGTCATCAAATTGTGGTTCATGATCATGCACTTCATACGCATGATTATGACCATAATCTGAACCACCGCCAAGCTGGGTCATGCCAAACTTGTAGAAATTTGCATTCAACGAAGGGTACGCACTTTCCTGCACATAAAAAAAGGAATCTTCATTTGCACAAGCAAAAAATTCCAAAAATAATTGTTATAGATAAATAAGTATAAACAAGTAGTTTCCTGCGCTTCTTCACAGCAAATATAGAACCAGGAAAGCTACCTCTACCAATTTCAGAAACAAACGATTGGCAATATAGGGTACCTGAACATGGGAATCAACATCAAAAATGAAATTCACATGTTCATATGTGAGGCCTTCAAAATATTCTATAAAGCTTCCAGCTGAATTATAAGGATAGCTAGCATTCCCGTATTGGACCTCCATTTGTGGATTCCAACTCATATCAGTCCACTGATCTGTTAAACCATAAGCACAAGCATAAATCATCGGAAGTGAATTGCTCTAACATTATCAAGCACATTAAATTGTATACATAGAAATAAAATAGCAGACGCCAACCTACACTACTAAATTTGAACTGGCAGATTCACTCAGCAGACGAATTGCATCATTAGACCGTCTTCTATCTAATTTCCACTTTTCCACTATTCCTGCAAAAGAAACAGGAATGAGCAAATTAGCTACCAAGTAACCACAAATTTATGAGTAAAATTAAATCAAGTAATATAATCAGCATGGATCCCACGCAACACCACAGAATTACTAAAAATATTTTCAAAACCGTAAAACTCAATTGCACATCGGAATGATCAACGTAGTCTCGGATTTCAAAATAAGCACATGTTCTCGAAAACACAAAAATTCACAGAGCATAGAAAAAAAACAGAACAAAAAAAAAAAAAAAGCAATTACATTATCTTTGTCACAAAATCCTAAATTCCTATGAGATACAATCTCGCAACAGAACAAGTACCGACGTATAGTTTCTAATTCCAAAATCTTGAATCTTTAAATTCCTATCGACTTCAAAAAAAAAAAAAAAATTATATCTACATTTCTTGCAGAAGCAGAGAAATTAGAAGAGCAAGTGTCCCATTATACGATTTTGATATGATGAAATGTGATCAAACAGAGATAATTTCAACTCTAATGCAGATATGCTGATAACATCGGTTTTTAGATTTAAACAAAGATAAATGTGAAATTAGAAGAAAAAATGCGGTACCGCGTGAATAAGAAGCGAAATTTAATCGCGAAAATGTGAGAGAAAGCTGAAATGAGTGGATCAAGAGAGAGAAAAATGAAATATATATGAAGAAAAAGGAGGAGGAGAATCAGATGTTAAATTAATTGAAGAATTAATTTTAAAAAAAAAAAAAAAGGAAGGAAAGAAAGAGATGAGATTCTCGAGCTAAAAGAAACGACATTACACTTTCTTTACACATACATGCACTCTTTTTCTTTCTCTGACCTGTTAGAAATGGCTTCTCATCTTCGTTTTGTCACTCTCTCTCTCTCAGCTTCTTCTTCTGTCTCCCCACGTCGACAACACTGTGTGTATGTGGCGCCTTTATGCAGTGGGTTCAGCTTCAGGGTTGGAGAAGAAATGATTCGATGTGACGCGAACACAACTGTACACTGTCCTTCTTTAACTCTTTAACAGTTGGGATTTTTGACACGTGCCTCTTAATGTAGGTTTTGTTTCTTTTCATATATTTAAATTTCTTTTTTTTTTTCTTGAAGAGCATATATTTTAATTCTTTTAATACTAATTACAAAATATTCATCTTTAAAATTTCTAATTGACTTGATAAGTTGAAACATTAATTTTTTCTAATAACCCCATAAGTTATAAAATAGATTTTTAATGACTTAAAATTTATGTTAAAATCATATCATGCTTGTACCCGATTTAAAATTTTTTAAAAAAGATTTCACAATCTATATAAAATTTTAATATATAATTCTACTTGTTTTCAATTTTATTATAAAAATAAGATTTTTTTTTTTTTTTTTTTTTATTAGCAAAATATTCCATACTTTAAAATTTCTAAATTGACTATGATAAGTTTGAACATTGAATTTTTTCTAATAACCCCATAAGTTTTTATAAAATAGATTTTTTAATGAAGCTAAAATTTATGATTAAAATCATATCAATGCTTGTACCTACGATTAAAAATTTTTTTAAAAAGATATTCACATCTAATATAAATTTTAGATATATAATATGCTACTTGTTTTTCAAATTTTTAATTAATAGAAAATAAGATGTTTTTTTTTTTTAATTTTGTTTTTTGTTTTTTTTTTTTTTTTTTTTTGCATCTGAATTGGCTAAAAACATTTTTTTTTTTTTACTCAATTGCAATATAATATAACCTACTCCAACAAACCTATGGACTAATTTTGTATCCAAATCGAAGAATATTAAGTTTCTTAACATTATAACTAAATACAAAAAATCAACCTGTTAATCGAAAAATATTAAATTTTTTACTAAAATAATAGATAGACGTTGTCATTAAATATAAAAAAAAATTAACATGAATTTTACAGATTTACCATAAGTAGCATATGTCTCCGAATTATCCATCAAATACGACATTCTTTCTTCGCAAACCACAATTGATAGCAAATTTAAAGCTCTATTTATTTTCCGGAAATAAACAAATAGCAAACTTTAATTTTTTTTTTTTTTTTTTTTTTTTTTTGATTTTTTTTTTTTTTTGGCCCTGAATTGAATTCTTGCCATGTCAAAAATTGGCTTAAGCGCTTCAAAGTAATTTTTTTTTTTTTTTTTTTTTTTTGCATGAATTGAATTCTTGCCATGTCAAAAATTGGCTAAGCTTCAAGTAATTTCAGGAACAAAGGTTTTCTTGCCTAAATCCATCCATATTATAATCTATTGTCAAAAAAAATCTCTGGTCAAAATTGAACCATGGGCCCCATGGTGTATTCCTAATCCTACCACTGTGGTTGGGGTCGCAGTCAGTGGTTGGCTTGTGCATAGAAAATGGAGCCATGTGATAATTATGGTTAAAGGGAGATGACCAAAAGCCATCTGATCCTCTGAGGGGGAAGAAGTTGTTGTCAGTTAAGTTTGGTTGGTTAGGAATCAAAAGAAAAAAAATGGGTCACTATTGTTTTTGCCTTAGCTGGACTCATACCCATGCTAAAATCAAAAGAAAAAAGAAATAATCAATGGGTCACTATTGTTTGGTATTTCTTGTTGGGGCATCAAATATTCTCCCATGAATGAAGCTAAGTGAAACAAAAAGAAAGAGATAATACCAGCATAAGAAATGAGCAGCCAAATCTTTTTTGCATTTATGATTAAGATTAGTGTAATAGTATATATTAAAGATACTTAATTAAGCATTTATAATTTCAACATGCAAAATCTGGGATGCTGAATTTTTATAACAAAAGAGTGCCGTGGAAAGAATCAAAACCATCGAGAATATTTGGACTTTCCTTTGAATGGGGTCTACTTGTGTTGGATGTTGTGGGCCCCTAAAGGAATTCTCATGTGCTTGTTGGTTAAGGTTCTCAAAGAAATTATTCCAAAAGTACTAACTATGTCCACCACCTTATTAAAAAAACAATAACATGTTTGTTCATACAAGGTATGACCATAATCTTAATTATCCATACACATGAAAAGAGCACACTGCAAACATAATATGTGTATCAAAAATGTTAAAACAGGTGGATACTTTCAGAAGAAGAAAATGAAAATGATTGCACTAGCTCAGGCACTATAATTTCCCAACACATTTTATAAAAGAGTTACCATTTGTTGTTGAAAGGGTAATCTAATTGCTAAATTATGTCCTCCCCAACTTCATCTAGCCTATATTTGATATTCAAGAAATCCCTGAGATTAGATGATATAAAGTAAATGTGGGCGTGACCAGAACTGGAGGGTTAGAAGTTCATATATTAAATTAAGCTGCTAAAGAGAAAAGATGGGAAAAAAAGGGGGAAATGAACTATTTTGTCCCTCTTGGTTATGGTACTATGAGGTTGTTTATAGTAAGACTAAGAAGATGCAAACTGCAAAGCAAGACAAAAAAAAAAAAAAAAAAAGAAGACTGGCAAACTGCAAAGCAAGACAAAAAAAAAAAACAAAAAAGAAGTTTTTTGTTGCATACCAGTAATTCTGATGTCCCAACAATCTTTCATGGTACTTATTTTGAGGCTAGCAATGGCCAAAGGCGAATCAGTGGCCCCTGACTTAGAGAAGCCGAAGAAAGGCTGTCACAGGCATGTGGATCAAAAGAAAGGGAACAAAGAAACAGAAAATGATAATGACATCAACCTCAGCGTGCAAAAGCAAATGCCCTATCATTTATTCCTCATACGCTTAAAAAAAAAAAAAAAAAAAAGAAGTTTTTGTGCATACCAGTAATTCTGATGTCCAACAATTTTCATGGGTATTTTTGAGCTAGCAATGGCCAAAGGCAATCAGTGGCCTGACTAGAGAGCCGAAAAAGGCTGTCAGGCATGTGGGATAAAAAGAAAGAGGACAAAGAAACAGAAATGAAATGAACATAACCTAGCGTGCAAGCAATGACCTATCATTTATTCCCTCATACGCTTTTTGTCTCTGCTCACCGTATCAAAAGGGCAATTCTGTTTCCATTTAACATTTGATTATTGATGAGACTGATCTAAACCCAACATATAATTCCTACTACTAATATAAAGTGCCTTACTTTCATCTAAACTTATTTATTTTTTCTCTTGCAACGCCAATGAAAATGATACCTCCAATAAACCCAGGTCAGAAATTACAGCTGCATATTTAGAACATAGGTCAACACAATATCCCATATCCCTCAGGTCCCCACCCCCTCACCATTGTTCTTAGAATGATGGCGAAGACCTTTAAGAGATAGTAGTTTTTTAACAATGGCATTCATTGCTATGGTGGTTACATTTAATTATTACTTCTGAAAAAAATTGAGACAAGTTTTCATATCCAAACATATTGCTCCCCATGTAGGAATTCTATGCTATTGACATTATGACACAAGTCCACGCCTTATTGGGGGCTTTTTGGTACAACTCTTGTGATCTTTTATTTGTTATTAACTAAGTCGTTAACCTTAGTCAATGATAACCTTTGAAATTAACATATATGAAAACAAGGATAAGGAAGCTAAAACAGAATATATGATCAAGTTTTATTGCATGACATGCCAAGGAATTGTAGTTTCTGCATAAAATTAATATGCCATAAAAAAACATGAGATGGCAATAATTAAAGGTATGGTTTACAGCTGTACCTGTCTTCCCTTCCATACAGCACGTCGATCACTCATCCAAGGTCAAAGCACCAGAGCCAGCACCACAACCAAATGCAAGTGTACAAAAGATCAGTTCCGGCACACCCATTATCCCAGTGTTTTTTAATCTGTCCAGGCATCAAATAACCTTGAAAGGAAAAATTAAGGTTCATGAGAAAACCTAGTGAAGTAGAAAGCGACAGAAAACTTATGATGCTTATCAGACAGTAGACTTAATAAACCTGAGTGAAGTAACAGATTGATATTAATCTGCCTTGTTCCTTTTTTCATAATGGGAAACCTCTTTGTATGTAGATGCTTCTGCTAGAATAACCTCCAATTCTGTTGTAGGTTGTAGGAATTGATTTTGGTTTCACACCAAAACCAACATCAGCTTAGTCCAAGACAGACATTTTTGGAAATGGAGCAAAATATTTAACCTTGGGATCAATGGCAGGGCTTTCCTGAAGCGGATCAAACAAATATAACCTGCTTTATGCCATCAATGTGCCATCTGTTCTACATCAATAATTTCCACAAGTATGCATCTATACAGAGAAATGCCTTTAGAATTTCGAGTTAAAAGCCTAAAAGAAAATTATCTCCACAGCTTGGACCCTCAGATATGCATTCAGTGAATTCTGATTGTCTAGTTAACTGTATCAGACATTCATAAATTTGTATGGACTGAGGATGCAATTTATCCATAACAATAAACTCATAAACCATACCATTCACCTCAATTGAACTGGAACCAGGAATCTTCTCCAGTCTTCTTTCTCTCATCATCTTCCTCACCTTCCCAGCCTCCTCCAACATATTGGCTTCCCTGTATAGTGTCGCAAGCAAAACATATATTCCACTATCATGGGGGTCCAACTCAAGAAGCTTCAAAGCTGCTCTTTCACCCATTAGAAGATTTCCATGGATTCGGCAAGCAAAGAACAATGCACCCCACACCGTGGCATCTGCCTCCATAGGCATGATTTTGATTAGCAATTCTGCCTCCTCCAATAAACCAGCCCTACCCAGAAGGTCCACCATGCAAGAATAGTGTTTAAGCTGAGGAGACAAATTAAATTTGGATTTCATTTGTGCAAAATACTTCCGACCCTCTTCAACTAACCCTCCATGACAACAAGCTGATAGAACCCCAAGAAATGTTATTTCATCTGGCATCAACCCAAAATCAATCATCTTGGAGAAATAGTAAATGGCATCGTGTGCATTGCCATGGAGGGCTAAACCGCCAATAATGGCTGTCCATGTGAGAGAGTTTCTTCCAGACATCTCATGGAAAACCTGAAGAGCCTTTCTAATATTCCCACATTTTGCATACATGTCAATTAGAGCTGTGCCTAAAGCAACATCTACAGGAAGATCGTGCTTTTTGATATAATGGTGAATCCATATTCCAATTTCAAGTTCTCCAAGTTGGGAGCATGCAGAGAGGCAATGAACCATGGTCACCTTATCAGGCTTAATATTAGTAGCTTGCATTTCCTGAAACAAATCTAAGGCCTCCTTGCTGTGCTTGGCTTTAACATAACTTCCAATCATGGCATTCCATGACACGACATTTTTCTCCAGCATAGCATGAAAAAACTTCTTAGCTGTATCTAAATGCTCATGTTTTACATATCCAAGAAGCATCGTAGTCCATGAGACAATTGTCTTCTTTGTCATGTTTTCAAATATTGCTTTTGCAGCCTCAAGATCCCTACATTTTATATACATATCCATAAGCGCATTGGCAAGTGGAATTGTCAAATTCAATCCATTTCCTTCTATAAGCCGATGAAATTCTCTCCCAAGTTTTAAATTCTCAATCTGTGCACACGAGGATATGACCCCAATCATTGTCACTTGATCCCACTTTACTTGCTCCTCCAACATGTCTTGATAAATCTCTATTGCCTCTCTTCCTCTCCCACGCCTAGCATACCCATTAATCAAGGAATTCCAAGAAACCAAGTTTCTCACACAACCTTCATCAAACACCTTACGTGCCAAATCCAATTCTCCTATAGAAACCAACATGTGCATCAGTGCATTGTGCACAAAAATATCCTTTCCAAAACCCAATACCAGTACATGCCCAAGAATTTGATGACCTATACAACTCAACAATAAACTAGCACTAACTTTAAACAACAAAGGATAAGTATAATTATCAGGCCTTGGACTTCCAGTCCTCAGCATTCTTTTATACAAAACTATGGCTTCTTCAGGGTTTTCACTCTCTAAATACCCTCTAATTGCCAGATTCCAAGTAAACGAATTTACATTTAGCGTATTATTCAAAATTTTGGCACAATAGTCAAGATTTCTTGATTCCGATTGTGCACAAAAGGCAATTAATCGACCTGAGGCAAAACCGTCATTGATCAAGCCTGTGCGTACCATTTGGGCCTGAATTTGCTTCAATTGAAAGAGAGATTTGCAGTTTTCTAGTACAGAAAGAAGTGACTTTGAGAGGCCAAAGTTGTGCGTTGTACTCGACTTTGCGTTGTTCTCTCTGCGAGGAGAGGGAGAACAAATACGAATACTAGAACGAAGAGAAGGGCTCGATAGGGGTTTTGGTATCAAATGTTGAGATCTGATTTTGGTAATGTTAGGATTTCTCATTAGTTTTTGCGTCCAGAGCTTTCTACCAGTGAGGAAATACGCAAATTTTGAAGGCGGGAATTAGTGCAGGGCTGTGGCCGATGTTAAACGGCGACGTACTTAAACTTTTTGTTTAATCCTAAAAAATTAGTTCCCGCCTTCTTCGTGCGTCTCCATGCGAGAAGCGCTGAAGGCAAGCTATATGATTTCACTGAAAGAACGTAATATGGAAAATGGCGTAATTTTCTGGTGAACAGGTTAGTACCTGTCTGCCTAGAAAAAGAACTTACTGTTTAATTTGAAAAAGACGACCAAAAACAGGGGAAGGCAAAGAAGCTAAAGAATAACAAAAAAAAAATATATAGACACCGTTAAATAATTTGCATATATGTATATTCAAAATCAATGAAGTACGTATTACAGGATAAAAAAACCCTGAAAGAAACAGATACTATATTATTTTAATGCGTAAAGAATCCCCCTGAATAAATTCTTGAATTATAACTGCAAAATTTCATCACCATTTGTGGTGGCTATGTAAGGTGGAAAGAAAGCAGAGAGAAGCTAATTCAGGCTCCGCCAGAACCGTACTTCTTTCCGAAAACAATCATCTGAAGCTTGTCATATCCAGCAAGAACACCAGCTCCAGCAATCGCGCGGAGGATATTTGCACCAGCACCCTTGAAGAGAGATTTGGCTCCCTCATTCTTAAGGATCTGAGAGAATGCATCGTATGAGCTCTTGTATTTGACAGCTTCACCTGATGTCATCATCATTCTTCTGCGGACAGTGTCAATAGGATATGAAGCAAGACCAGCACCATTTGTGATAACCCAACCAAGGGCAAAGCTAGCAAAGAAGCTATCCTGAGATCATCACAAGAGAAAAATAGAAATCATAAGAGAAACCTTGTTTTTTTTTCACCGAAAAAATTTTAACTGTTAAGACTTGAAAGAAGTACTAACTTGTAGCTTCCCTGTCAGGACTACAGGCTTCAAAGAATCATACATTCCAAAGTACAGACCACGATATACAATGATGCCAACACATGAAATGTTAAATCCACGGTAAAGCCCAGCAATACCATCTGATTGCAGTGTCTTCCTGTAGACGTCAACCAGGCCATTGAATTGCCTTTCTCCTCCTGATTTTGCAGCCTTGGCATCATTTGCAAGGCGAGTTCTAGCATAATCCAATGAATAGACAAAGAGCAGGGAAGAAGCACCAGCAGCACCTCCCGATGCCAAGTTACCCGCAAACCACTTCCAGTAGCCATCACGGTCCTTCCTAAAGTTAAAGAGCCTCTTAAAGTAATCTTTGAAGGCAAAGTTCAAGGCCTGAAATGGAAATAAGGGACCAACTTCATGAGCAAAAGGGGATTGAAAAAAGAAAAGAATGCAGTAGGTAATAATTCAGTGAAGTATTTATGACAAAAGAAACGACAAACCTGAGTAGGAAAATAACGGATGACATTCGCTGTGTTTCCTCTCCACAATGACATGAAACCCTCATCTTTCATTGTTCGGCTGAAACAATCCCCAATTCCCTTGTAGGGCTCAGAGAGTCGACCAGCCTTGATCATCTCATCTTGGTTTTGGATCAAGAGCTTGACACGCTCAATGGGAGCTGCAGCAGTTTTGGACACAGCTGCAGAAACTCCTCCCATAAGAAAATCTAAAGCGAAGCCAGCAATGCCTTTCTCTGATGGGGAATTCACAAACACTGGCGAGGTTGTCGATCCGACTAATGATAGATAAGGGGTGGCTTGGAATCCTACATTGCAGTAATTTCCATATGCAAACTGCCTGTGATATATAGTAGGCCTTTGAAAAGCCATGGATCGGCATTGAACATCATGGGACAAGATAGAACTGAGATGAACCTGGCCAGCAACCTTTTGCGTGATAGATGGGTACTGTTGCCGATCAGCCATTTCTACTCAGAATGACAAGCCTGCGAAAGACTAAAACAGAGTGACATTCCAAGGAAACACGTTAAGAATTGATGACAAAATTATCAAGTTGTCGCATATTAAATGAAATGATAGAGAGAATACCAAAACAGAGAGAGACTCATACTGACCTTATTGTATTTGGTTCCTTCAAAATAGGAGCAACAGATCTAAACAAGACTATAAAAGAGAGGGAGAGAGATTTGAGAGAAGCAGCGTAAAGGGTTACATATAAACAAGCAATGAGAATTGTTCCGAATCGAATACAAACAACAATATAATACACACAAGCCCCGAAAAGTTAGAAACGCCAAATAACAGTTAAAGCAAAACGTAGTCACCACAAATAGCCCAACAGACGCGGTGGATGCAATGACATGAACTAGTGAGAAAGATGTTACCTTTTCTTGGCCTACGTGAGCGGAGTAGAGAGAAACAAGGAGTGAAGGTGTTTAACAACCAAATGTTATTATGGGTGTTTGCAATTGTTGGGTTGGGGCACAAAATTATTAATTTGGTATGAACAGTTACCCAAAGATACTTGATAAGAATAAGAGCAGATATGTTTTTGATAAGGAGGGAACTGAATAAACTAACCATTTGAATTGAATAGATAAGGATTTTTCAAATTATATATTAGACATTTTAAATTTCATTTTGAATGCATGCAAACTCATTTCAAATCTATATATCCATATAGAGAAAAAAAAAAATCTGTCAGATATAAAAACTAGAAAGTCATTGCACACGTTAGATACTCAAAATCAATGAATTATTGCAGGAAAACAAACTTTTAAAGAAACCACATAACAGCACTGCCTAATGGTACAAACCAGTACTCCAGGTTTGAATCTCCTATCCCAATACTCCAGGTTCGAATCTCCTACCCTAATACTCCAAAAATACAAACCAAATAACCGTGGACCTCCTATAAGCTACATTGCTATTTTACAAGTAAAAGAAGCAAATTTTCATCATCATTTGTGGCTGCATTACATTTACATATATTAGACTCCTCCAGAACCATATTTCTTTCCAAATGCAATAACCTGAAGCTTATCATATCCAGCAAGAACACCAGCACCAGCAATTGCGCGCAGGATGTTTGCACCTCCACCTTTGAACAGAGATTTAGCCCCTTCATTCTTAATTATCTGAGAGAAGGCATCGAATGAGCTCTTATACTTAACAGCTTCACCTGATGTCATCATCATTCTTCTACGAACAGTGTCAATTGGATATGAGGCCAGTCCAGCACCATTTGTAACAGCCCAACCTAGAGCAAAACTTGCCCAGAAACTATCCTGAAAACCAGACACACATACAAAGAATGTAAAAATTGTACAAGAAATTCCTTAATCTTACCGAAAAATCAATTAATCTACTAACCTCTAGCTTTCCCGTCAGTACTACTGGCTTCAAAGAATCATACAATCCAAAATATAGACCACGATATACAACTATGCCTACACAGGAAATGTTAAATCCACGGTAAAGTCCAACAATACCGTCTGATTTTAGAGTCTTTCTGTAGACATCAATCAAACCATTGAATTGGCGCTGTCCTCCTGCTTTTACAGATTTTGCATCATTTGTAAGACGAGTTCTAGCATAATCCAAAGAATAGTTAAACAAAAGGGAAGAAGCACCAGCAGCGCCACCAGAAGCTAAGTTACCAGCAAACCACTTCCAGTAACCGTCGCGGTCCTTCTTAAAGTTGAAAAGTCTTTTAAAGTAATCTTTGAATGCAAAATTAAAGGCTTGAGTAGGAAAATATCGAATGACATTGGTTACGTTGCCTCTCCAGAGAGATAGAAAGCCCTCATCTTTAATTGTTCTGCTAAAACAATCTCCAATGCCTTTGTAGGGTTCGGAGAGCCGACCAGCTTTGATCATCTCATTTTGATTTTGAATTAGGAGTTTTACACGTTCAAGAGGAGCTGCTGCAGTTTTAGACACAGCTCCAGAAACTCCACCCATAACAAAATCTACTGCAAAGCCAGATAAGCCTTTTTCTGATGGGGCTTGGACAAGAACTGGTGACGCCGTCAGCGATAGATCCTGTGTTACTGGATATTGAAATCCTGCTTTATAGTGGTAATTTCCATATAGGAAATGGGCAGGCTTTTCAAATCTGAGATGGACCTTGTTGGTTAAGTTTTGCATGACAGATGGGTACTGCCGCTGCTGTTTTCCAGCCATTTCTGCAATATTTATTCAAAATCATGAGAACTGTCTTAGAAAAAAATTGAAATTAGAAAAGAAAAAAAGGCTCATCAGGTTAATGAAATATGATGTAATGTGAACTTACGCTCCATTTGGTTCACAAAATAGAATAAAAAGATCACTCACAAGGGATTGGCGAAGGTTCTGAATAGCCAAAAGCTGGTGTGTGAGAGACAGAGAGAGAGTAGCCCCTGAAAACTAATGAGAAGATGGCTTATGATGTATGGATTAGAAGATAAAAACAAAATAATGTTTAGATTTTGAAGTCGTTTGCGTGTAGTTAATTGCAGAGGTGGATGGTCTTATATAATTTGATTGGAACTGTAAAGCAAATGGTTGACATGTGTTGCTTTGCAGTTGAAATTTCCTTTGTTTGACGGGTTGTGCTTCTAGTACTAGTTTCCGTGTTTTGACAAGTTCGTTTTCAGCTTTTGCCTTTCCGAGAAGTTCTGCAATTACATTTTTTTTTTTTTTTAAACTTTGGATTGGTTACATATTATGTTATATACAACAATGTCAGTTGGAGAGTTTGAAGATAAGATCCCTTCCTGGTTGAACATTTGTGCTTTCGGGATTGATGGACGTATTCTTCCTTCTGTAACAAGGTTGTTTCCGTCATTCGAACCTCCATAAGCTACCCTCGTAAGAAATCAATATTAGTAATAAAAGAAATAAACCCTTTCTTTTTTTCTTTTTTTTTTTTGCCGTTTTGCATCAAGAAGCGCTTACTTTTATTTCACAGCAGTCACTGGAATGTTGACCAATGCTAAATAAGAGACACAATATCGACATGTGAAAAACTGTTGACAAACTTTCGTTTTCTGGAGGAAAATGTGATATGTCTGTACAAATTTGACTGACCATTGACATTCAACAAAAAGAAAAATATAATTCAAAAATTCCTCAACATTCAATCCCGCATCTTCTCATCTGCTTTCATATTGAATGAATTAACTTAAATTTTAAACATATCTTGAATTTTCTCCTCTTCTTTATCTATAGAATCTTCAATTTTGTACTATATATGTAAGACTTTTCCTAACTCTTAACTCTCCAGCAAATGTGGAAGCAAAAAAAAATGCCATGGTGAAGCCATCCATGTTGCTTCGGCAGCCAAATAAGAATTCAATACCAAGTTACGAACTAAAAATCGCCAACCGATACAAGCAATGCATGGAACAAAACGCTATTAGGAAACAAACTACACGTGTTCCGTTGTCATAAATGAGTGTGTTTGAAAGCACATCTCCTCAGTACATTGAAATCATATACTGAATATAGTAGCAAACAAAGAAGTTCTCCCACATTACAAACAATTTTAATATGGGCAAGAGAGGTAGCCAAATGATACACAAAAAATGGACCTATCCAAGGTTCTCCACCGTTTGTGGGTGCTTCCATTCTCTGTAAGCTTCTGGCTTAAAGAAATGTGCTCGAGACGGGGTGAGTGGACATGATAGTTTTAGCACTACAATGCGAGACAGGGGGTGAGTGGACATGATAGTTTTAGTACTACAATGCTGCAGCAATGAACTTTTCAATTTCATGGAAAAAAGCTCAACTAAACAAAGATATCATATATTACTAAGGTTAATCTAAATTGACACGCGAGGTACACAAGGTTAGTTAATGTATATACAAAAGGCTAAAGAATTTCTTTTGTGCAACATCTTACAGAATATCTGGAGTGGATTGCTATTAATGCCTGCCCAAATCAATTTGATCTCTTCCTTGCAGTCTGTCAATACCAAGGGAAGTGGGTTCTCGAGATGTTTCTGAGCTCCTAAAGTCCATGCCTAGTTGCTTCTGCCTCAGTTGTAATATACTTTGCTCATTTTCTAGTCTCAACCTCTCATTTTCCAGCCTTGACGTCTCAAACTCTCTATCTTTCTTGCTGCAGTATCTCAACCATTTGAACCGTTGCTTCTCAAGCTCAAAAGCTTGAGATTGGATGCTGACTCTTTGCTCTAGTAGCTGCAACTTCTGCTTTTTAATCCACTCCTTTTTCTCCCACAATGACACTGCAGGATCTTGAAAAATCGCAGCCATTTCAACCTCAAAGCCAATCAACCCACCTGATTGAGACCAAAGACGGGCATCCTCTTCATTTACTTTATTCCTCTCTGAATACTTATCCATCCTCACCACATCCTCATTAGCATTATTATCATCTCCATTATCTGATTCATCATCATCATCATCACTATCATCACGTCCCTCAGCTTCCTCCTCCTCTGAGCCATTATTGTCTTTTGAGCACCTTTCAAGAGGTGACAAACAACCTTGTAGATCAAGATCTTGGCAATTGGGTATCCTTTGCCCATTATGATATGCACACATTTCCTTGTAAAATAAATGTTTTGAACTCAATATCTTTCTAACATCATCCTTTGCCTTATCTGAAAGAGGCATTGAGTCCATAAGTGCAGGGTTCTCCACCACTCTACAACTAGTTCCCCTTCCAAGAATCTCATTCAATCTCTTGTACCTTTTATTCAAATCATTAAATTTATCCTCACACTGTTGTGGCGAAACGTGACAGCCCTTACTGATCATCATCTTTGAAACTGTTTTCCACTTGCCTTTCTTTTGCAAAATCCCGGATTTCCTCTTAAGCCCCTCAACGCCCTCAAATGGACCATCATCACCCACACAAGCAACTATTGCTATAAGAAGCCTAACTATATTATCTGTCCATTTCATTCGTTGCCATGTTGATCCGTTCTTACCCTTAGCTGCACTTGAACTCTCCCCGTTCCCATCTTCCATAAAACTCGGTTCATCATCTTCACTCCCATTCCCATTATTTGTGGCACTAAAAGGACTAACTGCTTTCCCTTTACCAAAATTTGTTGAATATCCTTTCGGTGTTGAACCTTTAACTTCCATTAATCCAATGGAGTGATGATCGTGAGCAAGTCCACCTATTAAGTTCATGTGATGTTGATGGGCCAATGAGGGATTTCCCAACTGAGTTTGCTGCTGTCTATGAATTGGTGACTCTAAGTCTAACAATCCACCAGTTGGACCTGACAAAAACCGACCTCCCAGACCTGAACTCTCCATGTGTCACCTCTAAATTCCAAAACCCTAAAGCTGCTCAGCTATTACTGAGAAAAGCAGGAACAGGAAATAATAAAAAAAAAGTCTCCAATTTCACATATTCTAATGTTCAAGAAAGCAAAAAATCCAGTTGACTAAAACTAATGTAAGAATCTGGCTCACCCAAACCGATATCTCCATGATTAGAGACTAAAAAAACAAAAGAGAATAGAACCCCAAAGTTCCACTTTCTTCCATTTTCTTAGTAAATACACAAAAGTATATCTATAGAATTCGAAATCTCACAAAATTCTATAGAACCAATAAAGATTTTAAACTTAATCTCCCAAGCTTCTCCAAAACCTCGATTGAGATTGAATGTACAAAAGTATATATATATATATATAAAAAAGATAATAGAAGTCAAAATCAAGATTCCCGGCAAGACGCAATAATTAATTCCAGTGTTTCACAGATTTTTGGGGATGAAGACTGAAACTTTCCTAATAAATTAGAAACAAGGATTAACCAATGCAAAGACCCGCGTCCACAAATAGTAAAAATATAAAGAGAAGCTACTTCAAGCTTACCTTCTCTTAATGATCCACAATGGAGATTCAACTGTGAGACTGTTTTCGCTGAAGAAAATTTCACTGAGAACGAACGATAAAGTCAGAGCAAAAAGGGGAGAGCTTTTCATAATCGGCGAGAACAGATCCCAATATGCGCTATGTGCTCAGCGGTTTATTGTCGTTGAAATTGCGTTTATCACAGGCACATAACATTCTTAATTCCTTTTGTAAATTTGTCTTTTACAACTTTAATGAAGAAATCACCCCTTATGGCTAATCCGCCCACTACATAAACTTTACGATTTAACTTTAATCAGATAAATACATAAATTCACGCATCTAAGTTTCTTAACTCTCAATTTTGAAAAAACTTACTATCCTTTTAACATTAAAAATTTCTATATCATTATAAATTTTTAGTATTGCACAATAATTTTTAAAATTTTTTATTTTTATAATAGAATATTAATTAATTTAATATATAATTGGCACAATCATCTGAGAGCGTGTTTCATATAAATCAAACGCAACCGTTTGTTTAGCCTTAGGATACAATAAAGAAAAGAACGCCTTGCCGTCTTGCCATTGGGCCTACGGCCCCATCTGTCATATAAAAGAAAGGACTGGACTCGGGCCCCCTTGTCCTTCGTGTCAGTCAAATAAAGAAAACTGGTCCTAACAAGAAATTATATTACTTTAAAAAAAGAGAGATCAGAATTCAGACAGAAAGAAAAACAGAATCCACCTGTATTCTGTAGGAATCAAGAGGATCTTACATTATTACATTGACTGGAGATGCAGATATTCACCATGATAAATTTACCCTCGAGAACTACTAACACGCAAAGGTTTCTTATAAGACTGCAATAAGAGTGAAGAACAAACAACACTGAGCGATGAAGCAGCCATGCAAGCACCGGCAAGCCAAGGGGGCAACCGAATTCCAGTAAATGGGTAAAGAATTCCAGCAGCAATAGGCATACCAAGAATGTTATAACCAAGTGCCCACACATAGTTTAGCCGAATACGGAAAATGGTCTTTCTAGATAGATCTATGGCTGTAACTACATCTTCTAAGTTGCTTTTGATTAGAACTATATCAGCTGCTTCTATGGCTACATCAGTGCCAGCACCAATTGCCATGCCAACATCAGCTGCAACTAAGGCTGGGGAGTCGTTTATTCCATCTCCCACCATTGCCACAATCATCCCTTTTCCCTGCATCCAGCACTTATATGAGTGATTAGCTCGCGCATGATGGGTCATTTTCTAATCATTTTAAATAACGATGCAAAACCAATGTACAGTAAGCATACCTGTAAGTCTTTGATCCTATCGGCCTTTCCTAGTGGATCTGTCTCAGCAAAAACCTCTTTAATTCCAACCTCCTTTGCAATGGCAGCTGCTGTAGCCCAATTATCACCAGTCACCATTACCGATGAGATGCCCATGGAGCGAAGAAAGGAGATGACATGCTCAGCCTCTGGCTTTACTGGATCAGTCACAGCAAAAGCTCCTGCAATTTTTCCATCAATAGAAACTAGCACACACGTTCTAGCCAGCTGCTCATTTTCTGCAATGTAGTTTTCAACTTCAGGACCAACCATGACATTACAAGCTTGCATGAGCCTTCTATTCCCAACCAAAACCATTCTGTCACCCACTTTTCCGGTCACCCCAGCTCCAGTGTGCACCTCAAAATCCTTGACCTCTGTAATATGTTCCGATTTAGCCCCAATATTTTGGCGTAGCCTCTTAGCATGCTCCACCACAGCTTTTGCTATTGGGTGCTCGCTATTCACCTGAAGAAGAAAAACCAATCAAAATATTTCCCATCGTCCTTGTGGCTGCAGGAACTCATTTACTCTCAAATGAACTGGAGAACTATTCAGAAGACTCCAAATAAACACTGTTTTATCAAAAAGAAAATTTTTATTTCAATTCTATTGTTTTCATATCAGAACATCGTTTACAACGTGATTACTGACCTCAGCAGAAGTAGCCATGTCACAGAATTCCTCCATTGAGAAACTGGAAAAGACCACAGCACTAACTACTACTGGTTTTCCAATTGTTAAAGTCCCTGTCTTATCAAAGACAACCGCATTCACCTGCATTACATTAGGATAGTCACGTAAAAACAATCTACAGAGCAATTTCACATGTATGAATCCATCTCCCAATAAAGATTCAATTAATCTCAAGTCAAAGATGCAATAAAAGATAAAATAATCAGTGCTTCCTAAAATGAAAAATGTCATCTCCATCGCAATATAAACAACACCCTTTGTTGGGGGTTCATCGGTGACCTACATTACAAGTAGTCGTCTTCCCCTTCTATACTCTAGTATGATACAAACATGAGACTTCTACTAGAAATCTCAAACCTTAACATCTAGGCCATCCTGTTAGGTAATGCTTTTGTTTTTCCAGTAAGCTTTATCCATTGTGGTTGAATATGAAATACAATTTAATAAAGTCTATTTTTCTCTTTAATTATAAGTGGTAGAGAGATTGATTTCCATAGAAGCAAAGCTAGTGGTCATTCGAATTTGGTATGCAAATTAACAGCATAACAAAGAAAAAAACCACATCTTCGAATGTCCATATTCTGTTAAAAAATCATACCTTCAAAAGTCCATATTGTGTTAACAGTGATTTTTTTTTTTTTTTTTTATAGAGGACTTTACCTTATGTGCTTTTTCAAGTGAACTTCCACCTTTGATGAGCACACCTTGAGAAGCACCCTTGCCTGTGGCAACCATGACAGCTGTCGGTGTTGCTAGCCCTAGAGCACATGGGCATGCAACCACCAGTACTGATATACCAAATTGCAGTGCAAGCTCAAATCTGTCCATACCTTTTGGTACCCAATGTCTAGGGTAAAGACCAGCTTCTCCAGGAATGAACCATCCCAACCATGTTATAAAGGCTGCAATAACAACCTGAGATAGATTGAGCAATCATCAATGAGTGGTGAAAGGTATAACCACTTAAGAAAATAAGAATTTTGAGCCTTTCAAGCTACAACCAAGAAGAAGAGGGTGAGTAAACTGATTAGAAGAACACATAAAGCAGAACCTTCAGATGATGAATGAGAAGCAAATCTAACATTTATCCAGAATTTTAAAGAGGGGACCCCAGGGGGAGAAAAAAGAAGATGATAACCACATTCTACATTGTGTTACACAAAAGTAGAAATGATGTTGCAAGTTAATAAAGCAATGAGAGTGCAGAAGTTTAAATCATAGGGAACACGAATATTCCCTTGCTTTATAATCAGCAACCGAAATTCATTCTCCTGAAAGAGGACACTTTCATCTGAATTTACATTCTAAATAGTCTACCCTTTGTCTTCTATAACTGAGTTGCTTATAATTAGCTAAAATAAGCCTTTTTGGCAGTTGTTCTTGAAGATACCCCCGAAAGATGAAATAAATAACCTATAAATCAAGTTCTCTGAGACTGTTAATGCATCAAAATGGCTTTATTTGACCAGTCTGTCCAAAGGCAAAAAAACAAAATATTGTATTATCGGCCAAGTCTGCAGCTAAGTTGAAAAGAGAGGACTCTTTGTTATGTTCTGATGAAGTATACCTCTTCAAAGTACTTGATTTTCTATCAACAGAATAAAAAGCATACTTTTTGATGGGCAAATAAAAATTAGTCATCATATACAAAAACTAATGAAAAACAATGAAAGGAAATGATAAACTCACTGCAGGAACAAAAAACTTGGAAATTTGGTCAGCTAGTTTCTGAACAGGGGCCCTCGCAAGCTGTGCAGCTTCTACAAGTTGAACAATTTGAGAAAGTGCAGTCTCTGACCCAACATGAGTAGCCTTAACAAGTAAGCATCCATTCTCATTCATTGTACCGCCAATTACCTGTTCATGGTGTAAAAGTGGTGCATTAAAAAAAAAAAAGGCTTTATATTAAGCATTATTATTTCTAAAATACATGTAACAGTATGTTAACTCCAAATGATACCTTGTCACCAGGCTTTTTAGGAATGGGCATTGCCTCTCCTGTGATCATACTTTCATTCACATGGCTTTGGCCATCTATGACAATCCCGTCAACAGGAACTTTTGCCCCTGGAACAATTTTTAATATATCATTCCTTTGTATCAGTTCTGTACTGATTTCACTCTCTGACACAACATTTCCATCACTGTCTAGTGTCAGCAAATATGCTGTATCAGGAGCAAGCTCTGTTAGCTTTGCTAAAGCATCTGATGTCTTGCCTTTAGCTAGAACCTCCAAATACTTCCCCAAAAGGATGAAGGATATCAACATGGCACTTGTCTCAAAGAAATCTTGCCCTTCAAATTTATCTGAAGTCATTGCTTTTATCACTATATATACAGAGTAAAAATAAGCAGCATTAGTGCCTAATGCAACTAAAACATCCATATTCGCAGATTTCCGACGCAATGCATGATATGAGCCCACATAAAACCTGAAAAACACATAAAAAAAGAAAAGATTAATGGTGTCTCGTATTGTCAATGCCATACAGCTATAATTCTCAATAACAAAGATAATCAGTTTGCATTAGAGAGGCATACAAGTAAAATACCAAGAAAGTAAGTTGTGCTTGTTTAGTACCTTCGACCAACAATGAATTGTACAGGTGTGCAGAGAATCCACCTAAGAAGCATTCCAATGGTAAGCATGTTTTGAATCCTGTACTCTAACCAGAAACCGTAAGGATGAAGCATTGGAAGTACCATGGAAAATAGAAAAACTGGAACTGAGAAGAGGCAGCTCAAGAAAAAATGATTCCTATACATCTGAATTTCTTGCATCCACTCAGTTTCTCTTCTCTTTGGGGGTGCATATAAACTAGCATGGTAAATGCCTGGGGAAGCTTCTTCAATGCACTGTATGAGAGATCTTGGACCCATAAGGTCTGGATCATAGCTAACAGTTACTTTATGTTCCGCAAGATCCATTTCGACATGATTCACACCCTGTAATGACTCAAGGGAGAACCGAATAACTGCAGCATCTTCTGTGGATTTAATTCCTTCAAGTTTTAGATGCGCTTTATTCAGATCATTCCCAGAGCTGATAATCTCAGCCCCAAACCCAGCATCTTCTACAGCTTCTACAATGTGATCTGTATCAGTAAGGTTTGGATCAAAGTGAATTTTTGCTTCTTCAAGAGCTAGACCTACCACTGCCTTTTTAACTCCATTAGCCATTAAGAGGGCGCGTTCAACAGACTCAGAGCAGCTAGTGCATGCCATTCCTTTAATCCTGAGCCTGCATACTGATATTTCTTGTTCTGGGAACTCATCAACCGGAAAACCAGCATCTTCTATGGTTTCCTTAATTTTTTGAGCCTAAACAAGTTTACATCATAAATACTTCTAGATTCCAGAATATAAAGAAGTCCAAAAAATCAACAGTAAAAGAGATTCAGAATTAATTTTCAAAACTCGCAACAGGCAAGTTAAACAGCATAAAATATAAATCATAATTGTGCTCCTATAGCTCTAAGACTGCAAACTCAAAAGTTCTTCTAGACAACTTACAGTAACGAACTCTGGTATGTAAGAGATAGCAGCATGGCCATCAAGGGGTGATACCATAGCCTTCTCAACTCCACTAAGCTCTCCCAGCACAGATTCTATGGATGCTGCACAAGAGGCGCACTTGATATCCCCTATTTTGAACCTAATGGTTTTAACCTTCTTATCTCTGTTATCTTTCTGTTTAGGGACAGCAATTGCAACATCATCTGGAGGCTGCAGCAGAGGTGCCTTAAGATCATCCTTCCCATTCACATCCATTTCACCGTTCTGAATGATTAAGCTCATGACCGCTAAAAAGACAAAGCAGCAGGATAAAAAAGCCAATCGTGTTAGCCAAGTAGATAACAAAATGAAACAGAAAGAACGGGCAGAATGGTGGGGAAACAAAAGCAAAAAAGTATATAAAAAGCCCCTCTGTTATACTTCTTCTAGGAGTTATTAAAATTGGAAAAAAAAAATTTCACGATGTAAAAGGCCGAAAAAGTCGCGACAGCTATATTTCCAATGTTCTATTGCTAAAAATAAAATCAGAGACAAAAACGAAATAGACAGTTAAATTAGCATAGGAATAAACGAATCAACTCAGGATAATGTATGAGAACCGCCAGACAAGTTACAATAATTAGTATTAATTTAGATTGGCTTATTCAACAAAATTGAACACAAACAACAATGAATCTCACTGTTGATGATACTTATTTCTATATAATGAATCTCGACATGAAATTACAGTGGTGGCGTTGACTCAAATTCATTCAAGCCCACTCACAAAAGGTACATATATAATACTCTTACATCTCATAGCTACAGTCTTATATATGAATATATAGAATTATGAAAAGCAAGCTGTGATATATGTAGAGAAGATACCTATCAAAAGAAAATCGGCTTCGATTCAACCGTCACGTGAAGAAGATGAGGATTATTAGGGTTTTCCCTTTGGATGAATTAGTAAAAGGTAATCCAAAATTAGGGATTCAAAAACCTGTGATGAAACTCCAAATCAGAGCTCGTGATAAAACGAGAAGAGACGTGTCAGATGTCGGCCACCGCAAAAGAGGAAGAGAGAGAGAGATGCGATAGGAGAGTTGCGCCAGAAAGTTGTAAGAAATGGGATTTGTCGCGTATATGGTTCTTTTGCATTTTGAATTTTTGAAATCTTAACGTCTTATATTGTTCCCACTTCCCACCCTCTTAATAAGGCCCTTTGACCCCCCATTAAGTTGGCGCTTACATTTAACCTCAAAACAGATCAGAATTTTCCTTTTCCCTATTGGGCCTTGGCCCCTTGTTTAGGGGTTAACACGTAGGATTTTTGTTAACATCTAGTTAGCAGCTGGTACCTGGTAGGAATGGAAATCAAAATGGAGTTTTTTCCTATGACCTATTACTTACTCTGTACTTGTATTATATTAGAATTAGAAGTATATTAAGTTTATAAATAAAAATAATTATTGATAAATTTATTTTTTTAATCTTTTTTACGGGTATGTTAATTATGATTATTTAGAAATAATAAATAATTATTATAAATATTTAATTTATATTTTTAATTATATAATACAGTAAACTAAAAAACATGAAATGTATCTTAAAAGATAAAAAAAAGTCCATATGATACATAATAATGTTTTAAAATAATTATATTTTGAATATATATTTTACTGTAATTATTATTGAGAGTTTATGAAATAACCAACACGTATAAATAAACAGTTATCTATAGTTATCACTTGTTAATAAGACAATTAGTAAATTCATTATGATTAAAGGTGTGTAAATGGGTGGTTCAGTTTTAAATTGAACCAAGTCACAAAAACTAAAATTTGTTTTTTTGTTGAAAATCTACACTGAAATAAGTTCGGAAACCGAATTGAATCGTTTAGTTCGATTTTAAACATAAAATAATTGTTTTGCAATAATCAAATTCAAATGCGGAAAACGAAATTATTAAAAATTGATAAACAATTGAACCAAAAAACAAAAAATAATTCGGTTTGGTTTGATTTTCATATTTTTTCCAAAATTACAATTATGTTTAGGACATAAAACAAAAGAATAGATGTATATGCATATTTGGTAACTTGCTCCAAACATGCTCAACGGGGAGAGGGGACCCCTGGTATGGATACTAGTACTCATTTTACGTGTATGGGACTTGTTCTTTAGCGAGCAGCATGCGTGGTTGTACCAATTGTCTTGATAATCCAGCTGAGCTCCCACGCCACTTTCACTTCCACTATAAACATTAACCTATAAGTGCTTAAACACATGAAATGTTAGCTTTTGGAATCTCAAAGACCATGATGCCAAATTTCAAGTCCAAAGACAGACAGAGCATAAAGGTTTTATGATTTCTACTCTCTGCTTTTATAGGTAAACACAGTATCTTTCATTGTCTTTCATTTATCCGCTTCCTCCTTTTTTTCTTATCCACTTCCTCAGGCATCTTTATCGTAGACTTTTGGCCAATTGCAATTGAAAACCGGGGAAGTCGAGTCCTCCATATTTTCAGTATTTCGACGAGGTTTTAATTCCATCCGGCCCGTGCCAATTTGGACTTTATGTTCATACTCTATGCTTAATAGCTACGCCTGGCCCAACTCAAATATCAGGACCGTCTCTGGCGGTCAGGCCTAGATAGCCCGTTCGTATAACCGGTCGACTCAAAGCACCTAGTATGTTTCGGACTCTGCGAAAACGAAATAACACCGTCTACATATGTATGTCGTTTTTCGCTAATTTTCGTCGTCTCTGTTGATTGTTTTCCTGGAAAATTCAACCTCTGGCGAGTTGCGAATTTAAGCTTACTTACCTGCTTAGGGTTTATCCTTTTTAGAAGTTTATCCTTCTTCCTCCTTCTAAACCCAGATGATCTTTATTTAGAGTGCGTATTCTTCTTCAAATTCCATCTGCATAATTCAGTGCCTCAATACTCTACAGTCCATATTCACAATGCCCCAAAACGACGACGTTTTTTTCACTTCATCTCCTCACACAATTCCTGCTTTCCCTCCCCCACAGCAGCAGCAGCAGCAGCAGCGGCAGCAACAGCAAATGCAACTACCTCCTCTGCCTTTCTTTTCTCACACCTTAACTTCTCAATTAGCTAAAACCAAAATCTCATTTACTAATTTCATCGACTCGCTTATTGCTCGCTCTAGAATCCACATACCTCGAAGGTCGTCTACCATATGTGCCAATTCACCTCTTCTATGTTCAGCTTCATTTTCACTTACTCAGTCGAGAGATTCACCACCGTCCGATTCGCATCCAAAGTCGCCGATCCTTTGCTCGGCGTCTTTGTCAGTGAGTCAACCTGGCGAGCCGGGGTCTGAAACCTTGATGACTCAGCAGAAAGGTGGTGGTGCTCATTCAGCTAGTCGACACGATGAAGAGAGGGTTTTGATAAGTGAAGTATTGGTGAGGAACAAAGACGGGGAGGAGCTCGAGAGGAAGGACCTGGAAGCGGAGGCTTTGGCTGCCCTGAAAGCTTGCCGTGCCAACTCGGCTCTAACGGTACGAGAGGTTCAAGAGGATGTGCATAGGATTATTGATAGTGGATATTTTTGCTCGTGTATGCCCGTTGCAGTTGATACTCGTGATGGTATAAGATTGGTGTTTCAGGTATGCATATTTCATACGAATTGGTTCAATAATGCAAATGGTATTGTTAATGTCGAGTTGGATATGAGCAGAGTAGTCGATGAATACAAGTTGACCAACGGTTGATATGATCGTATATGCTACAAAAGCTACGATTGCATACAAAGTTTTTATTTCAAGGGTTGTTTAGTTTACTTTTCCTGAACATGCTGAAGTTTTTTTCCAAATGAGATTTTGTTAACTCCGAGTCAATAGTAAACAATTCCACATTTTTCACTTGCAAAGCAAATTTATGTGTGGAAACATGTTTTGACTTGAATCAATTATTAATGTTGATATCTTGTGGCATAAGGTAGAACCAAACCAGGAGTTCCATGGACTTGTGTGCGAAGGAGCCAGTGTTCTTCCTACGAAGTTTCTAGAGGATTCTTTCCGACATGGATATGGTAGGTTGTTCTCTGTCTTCCTGTTTTTCCTTTTTCTTTTTCCAGTATTAGTAGTGTATCAGGCATAAATGGAGGGTCCGCCATTTTCCCCTCATTCCATTCTCTTTCAATATTATGGGTGCAAATCTTTCCCTCCATCAATTTTTCTGTTTGTTCTCTTTGTTATTTATGTGTTCGGTTAAGGGGCTAATGCGATATGCAGCCTCTCTCTGAACATATATTTTACTCATGATACACAAAGATTATCTTTTTTGACTATTCATGTTGCATGTGAAATCTTTTAATAGGAAACCTTCACTGGTTTTAATTTTTGATGTCAAGCTGTGCAGGAAAAGTTGTAAATATCAGGCATTTGGATGATGTGATAACTTCCATCAATGGCTGGTATATGGAACGTGGTCTTTTTGGCTTGGTTAGTTCATATTTCATGACATGTGGAATTTTAGACTGTTTAGCTTTTCTTGGAGTTAAAACTCTTCAGTTTGTCTGATTATTGTTGCTCCTATATTATTAGGCATTCTTTTTATTGTTATTATAGGTTTCAGGAGTTGAGATCCTTTCTGGGGGTATTATCAGGTTACAAGTTGCTGAAGCTGAGGTGAATGACATTTCCATACGTTTCCTTGACCGAAAAACGTAAGAGCCTACCTTCAATTTGTTTTACAAGTGCATTTGCCTGCTGCTGTGTGCACATGCACACATCAACAAAGTCTTCAAAGCTATAACATAGTTGTGCTTTATTGCTCTCTTCAGTGGTGAACCAACTAAAGGGAAGACGAAACCTGAAACAATACTTAGGCAACTTACAACCAAGAAGGGACAGGTAATTCTGGTTCAAGCCTTGTTGTACCTTGATTTACTTGCAATAAGTCCTCACAAGTGGCTTTTATTTATTCGCGATCTTGCACATAAATGATTCTTTTTTTTTTCTTTTTGCTCATGCATTTGATCTGGCAGTTGCTCACTTAATCGTATTTACATTTGAAATTACCCCTTTAGGTCTACAGCATGCTTCAAGGAAAGAGAGATGTGGATACTGTGTTAACTATGGGAATAATGGAAGATGTTAGCATCATTCCCCAACCTGCTGGAGGTGAAACAAACTTTGTTGTTTATGAATTGTCTCATTATAACTATGATTTGCAACATCATATTTTGAGACATACTAAAGTACATGTCAACTGCTTCTGCAATAAAGTCCTGAAAAATACTGGTGGTCTGCAAAATGTGAAATATCCAATTTGGTTTTTATATTAATTGATATTACCTGATGAATCAAGCTTCACATGGACTAATCTCCACATTTTTCAAATACAAGTATTGAATTTGAACGGGGTCTTACTTTTTACTAGATATTATGTGTTCCTTCTGGGTTACTACATACTGTCAGCTAATTGTTAGCATAATTGGACAGAAGTGCTTGTGTGCTTCATATAGGCTTTTGTTATTTTTGAACCCTTACATTTGAAAACTAACATTTCCCTCTCTTTTGGTGTAGATACGGGTAAAGTTGATTTGGTAATGAATGTTGTTGAACGCCCAAGTGGAGGTTTCTCTGCTGGTGGTGGAATATCTAGTGGGTGAGTGATGCTGACCCAGATGGCAATGGTGCTAATGCCACTTCATGCAGTCTACATGTGTATTAAACTTATATATGTTGTATATCCGACATATTCATATACTGATTATTTGTAATTTTTAGGATTACAAGTGGCCCTCTATCAGGACTTATTGGAAGGTAATGTTACAAATTGCGTAACCTGATATCTTCTATTATCCTGTTTCTTTCTATCCTTCATGGCTTGTTAAGTTTGGCATTTATTTGTTGCTTATCTTAGTGAACCTCTTGGCCCTGTAAAAGGAAAATGCTCTGTGTAGGACAAAAATTGAATAACAGAAAGTCATATTTCTTTCTGGAAAGTATAAACTAGGAAAGGAGGATTTGAGGATGATATTTGGGAATGTTGACAATGCCAAAATCAGTGAATTTTAGTACATGCAGCAGTATAATTGCATTTCTTTCTTACTTCTTTGCGATGACATTTTTGTCAGACAAAATTCATGTGACAATGTATCAGCATGCTGCTTTACCTCAGAGTTTCTTCTATTTGTGTTTGCAGCTTCACCTATTCTCATAGGAACGTTTTGGGAAGAAATCAGAAACTTAATATTTCGTTGGAAAGAGGCCAAATAGACTCGATATTCCGCATAAACTACACAGACCCATGGATTCAGGGTGATGACAAGCGTACATCTAGAACTATTATGGTTCAGGTATTTCTATTTTTTGGTTTTCTTGTGTCTGATTATAATTACTCTTGGTGATAGAAATGTTTTTCTCTTGTGAACTGATTCTGGTTTTACCAGAATTCAAGAACCCCAGGGAATCTTGTTCATGGTAACCAGCCTGGCAATAGTAGTCTTACCATTGGGCGTGTAACCGCTGGTATAGAATTCAGTCGACCACTTAGGCCAAAGTGGAGTGGAACAGCTGGACTTATTTTTCAGGTACTTCACTAGCATTGTTGAGACTTGGCTGTCTTATTCTTGAGGAAAAACTTTATTTAGCTTTTATTGCTCCCATCAATAATAATGAAGTTATTATTTGCTTCTGTTTAATCCCAATATCACAGCATGCTGGTGCACGCGATGAAAAAGGAAATCCAATCATTAAGGACCACTACAGCAGCCCGCTTACTGCAAGGTATGCATTTTTTATAACAGATATTATTAAACTTCTAAAAGTTCGGTCCCTGTTCTGTTTGTTTTTAATTATGTTGTTTGTTTGTCAAATGCACTTGGCTTATGATTTGGTGTTCTTTGCTCACCTCTTTGTGTTGCAGTGGCAAGACTCATGATGATATGCTGCTTGCTAAATTTGAGAGCGTGTATACTGGTTCTGGTGACCATGGGTCTTCAATGGTTAGTCGTCTTTAACCAAGTGAATGTGGAAGAGAGAGAGAAATATACAGTTTTAGCCATTAACATATTCATGGACCATCATTTTTGTCCTTGCAGTTTGTATTGAATGTGGAACAAGGACTGCCCCTGTGGCCTGAGTGGCTGTTTTTCAACAGAGTAAATGCACGTGCTAGGAAGGGCATAGAAATTGGTCCTGCTCTCTTTCTTATAAGGTATGATATCTATCTGTATTATTTTTCGTGTTGGAGGACCAACATAACATAATTTGAATGGCATACTCAGGAACGTGGTCTAACATGGGAAGTAAAGTTCAGATCTGGCACAAAAATTCATATATGATATCCTTGATACCAAAATCTGGTGCAGCAGTAGATTTGACATAAGTCAAGTTGCATTTATTCAAGTTCAGTTCCATATCAGTGGGGCATTAAGCTAGTATGGATAGAAGACAACTTCATAAACTGACAGGAGTTCTATGACGGGGTATTCTTGTAAGAAAACAACTTGATAGTGGAAACTGAGCTATAAGATAATCGATATTATCCTAGCATTATATTCTAGGAGTGCTCACTAAGAAACACTAGGCATTATACCTGGTGATGTATCATAAAATCAAATCAGGGCATGACATTCACTGTACATACAGAGGAATAAAGCAGAATATTTTCATCCCAAAGTAAGATGCTATAGCCATATACAGGTTCTTTTGTAGGTCACTTCGTAAGGAAGTACTTAATCTTTGAGCTAAGATGTTCCTTTTGAGGAGGTGCATATGAAAAGGTCGTGTCTCAAGGTAGAATTTCCAAGCTATTGACTCTCTTAGGGACCAAGTAGCCTTTCGTTAAAGCAACTGCTGGCTTGTTAAGCTCCTCAATCACCAGCTTGCAACATTTTTATTTGGCTTGAAAAAAAAAAAAAATCATAATTATTCCCATGTTCTTTAAAATCAATAAATAGTTTCCTCAAGCTACCCTATTGAATTTGCTGTGCTAACCAGAATGTCAAGACCCTCAGCGGCTGTGCTCTTGTATCATTGTCAAAAAAGTTGCTTTTCTTTCCCCACTGCCTTTTTAGATTCAGCTTTATTTATTATGAAATTTAAGTGACTTCATTCTGATTCAGAATGCTGACACGCTGATGTTCTCATTTCTAGTTTGTCTGGTGGCCATGTGGTGGGCAAGTTTTCTCCCCATGAAGCATTTGCCATTGGTGGAACAAACAGCGTGAGAGGATATGAAGAAGGTGCTGTAGGCTCTGGTCGATCTTATATAGTTGGTTCTGGTGAAATTTCTTTCCCAGTGGTAGGTGACACATTTTTTTTTTTCTTTTTTTTTTTCTTTTAAGAAAGAAATTCCTTGTGCAAACATGGTATGTTGACATAAGCTTGATCATCCTTGTGATGCTCACTTGTAATTGCTCATGGAATCTAGACTTAAAGTAAAAAGGCTTATTCATTGACCCTTTGCTTGTTCTTGTTTCGCAGTTTGGACCAGTGGAAGGAGTTCTCTTTTCTGACTATGGAACTGATATGGGATCTGGTCCCACTGTTCCTGGTAGGTCTATATGATCTTTTCACTGATATGCTGTCTAGGAAATTGGTTGCACAATGCGTACCACATAACATGTTATGTGGTTGGAAATGTACTTTGTTCAGAAGCTAAATGTTCAGTTTTTATAGAATTGGGCAGAGCTTCGTTATTCTGAAATGTTCAGTATTAGAGCATGTGATATTTCTTTTACACATAATCTCTCTTTTGAGAGTCTCATAATCTCTCTTTTGAGAGTCACATAATCTCTCTTTTGAGAGTATATCTGCTGACCAATTTAGTTAAGTTTCAGTTGCTGACTTGGTTTAATTTGGGTCTTCAAGCTTGGTATTGGACAACATATATTGTTGGCTGTCATTGCTTGAAAAATGCTCTACTTCAAATGATTTACATATTCTGCAAAATAGTGCAATGGGACACTAGTTTTTATGGACTTAATGTTTTCATTATTCTTTATTAGGCGATCCTGCTGGGGCAAGGCTGAAGCCTGGGAGTGGATATGGATATGGCTTTGGCATTAGAGTAGACTCCCCTTTAGGCCCTCTGCGTCTTGAGTATGCATTCAATGACAGGCATGCAAAGAGGTTCCACTTTGGAGTTGGTCACAGAAATTAAGGTCCAATTACATCCCATTACCTTTCTAAGGGCTATTGTGTCCCCATTGTATTCATTTACTTGATTTTGTTATAGAGGTAGTCTGTTGCCATTGAATTTCTTTTGTTTATAGTAGTAATTGTATCATCACCAGCCTAAGGCCCGGCAGTTTTTTTGAATATACTGATGTGTCTCAGCATCCTTGCTTGACTGGATCATTTCTGGATTATTGGCATTTTTACGGCTTTGAATATATCCCGTGAACTGGTAAATTTACTGTTGAGTATTTAAACATCAGGCATTCTGTATCATACTTGCAATAATATTTTTCTTTTAAATAAGGAAAGTTTGAATCATCACTTTCCATGGAAAGCGTATGATAATACATGGAAATATGTGGCCTTATCTTCTATGTCCTGACCAAAAAGACTTGCCTATTATTAGCTCTCACTTATCTGAAACATTTTTCATATTATTATGGTCGTCTGTAGCAAGTGGACATTATCCTTAGGGCCCCAAATTTATCATTTTGGTAGCATAGTAGAGTAACGTCAAGAAATAAATGAAGTTTGTTTTATAGAGCAAAATAATTGGTGGGGGCAATTCCAAAGTTCAAAAGCATGAATAACGATGTAAAGAGAAAATGTCATATCTTCAAAAAGGACTTCTCCAGGATAAAAAATTCAAAATAGAATTTTTTTTTTTTTTCTTTTTCTTTCTTTCTAGGAAATTTTGGATTCAAACTAAGAAATGGGATGAATGTCATTTTTCTAAATTACTCTTAAATTGCAAGGAAATATATGAAGATTAATCTGTCATGAAACCAAATGCTGTGCCTGTGGCTGTGGTTGAGAAGTAAGAAATTGGAGCTTCTTTTGTTGTATGTACGGATGAACGTGTAAAGAGAGAGACAACGAAAGAGAGGTCATGTCACCAACTGAACAGCGAACTACTAATAATCAATCATTGCACTTACAACTCCATTTCTCCTCTGCTATTTCCTATCCTATGAGTCCTATCAGTCCTATGAGAAAGTCCTATCCATCTGAAATTCATTTTTCTTTTTTTTTTTTTTCCAATTTTCTCTTACTGCATTCAACACGTGTCTCCTTTTCATCTTTTTACCCCAACTAGCTTCCCACGTGTTTCAGTCTACTTTTCTTTTTCATTTTCTCCTCTCTCTAATTAGCATATTATTATTACACTAAAGAGAAGGGTAATTAATTTTTTTGATTCTCATAGCTAAGCAACAAAATCGCATGAAATGAGAAAGACATAAGTAAGCATAAAATAGAAGAGGTTTATAGAAAAGAGGAGCAGATGCCTGAAAATCGTAGAACAAGGCAGGGACAAGTAGCTTCGAGGAACTGACACGATCGATGCGCTCGTGTTGTCTTGGACGTTTCGACGGTACATACATACTACAATCTTGTCTAAAACTCCAAACTGCTACCACAGAAAAGGTTCTGGTCCTCGTCTGTATATATATATATATATATATTACAGGGGAAATAATAAAATATTAAATTGAAAAAATTATTGATTGATTTGAGTTCTGAATTCATCGTGTCTGAATTCTGATATAATAATTAGTTGCAAGGACTTATTTTAAATCATATAGTAAAAATTTAAATATATAGAATTAATTTTTAAAATATGATTCTCTCGATATTTTAATAATTGATATAAAGACAACAACCACTAATATAATTTTTAAAGTGGATAAAAAAAATATAAAAAAAAGAAAATGAAAATGAATTGGGATACCGATACGTAGGGTATGGAATAAGGATGGATGGTATGAGAATTTGATGCACTGTTAACGTCTCATGCTAATGTTGTGGTTGCATTGAAACTAAGCGTGATTTGTGAATTTCCAAAGGATTCGTTACACACCTCGCTCCAATCCCCAATACCACCACTCGAAATGGCTAAAAGGATATCTTTTTTTTATTATTATTATTTATTTGAAATTTTGAAATAATATTGGAAATCAATTTTGTAGTTCAGAATTTTAGTCTTAATTAATCATTTTACCACTAAATGAGCAATTTTTTTTTATTTTTCCTTTTCTTTTGACCGTATTTTCCATAATGAAAAAGGGAAGAGAGATAAGATAAGGACATGATGTACCTTTCTCTATCAAGTATGAACAATTGACTTGTGTTTGTTAATGGATTCTTGGCTTCCCAAGATACGTGAGGTCTTTTCTGCCCGTGTTTAACTTGGACATTCTAAGGGAATATACTTAATCAAAAAAAAAATATATATATATATAAACATATACTTAATATAACTCTGAAGGTACAATATAATTTTTTTAAAATATTAAAAAAATGAAAATTTGAAATTATTAAAAAATGCAGTTGTTATGAAAATTTTATCTGAATATTATTTTGGACGGTGATTAATTTCTTCTGCATAAGTAAAGTAAATTGAAACATCAACAAGATATACATAAGAAAAGATTGTGGGTAGATTTTTTTTTTTTTTTTTTTTTAATAATTAAAAAAATGAAATTTGAAATTATTTAAAAAATGCAGTTTTGTTATGAAAAATTTTATTCTGGAAATATTATTTTGGACGGGTGATTAATTTTCCTTCTGCATAAGTAAAGTAATTGAAACATTCAACAAGATATACATAAGAAAAGAATTGTGGGAGATTATTTTTTTTTTTTTTTTTTTTTTTTGAATATGGAAGATGTTGTATTTTTTTTTTTTTTTTTTTTGAAGGAAGATGTTGTATAGTTAAAGATTTTTTTTTTAATATTTTGATTTCAATTAATGAATTTCAAATTGGAATTATGAAAAGTACAATATAGTTTGGTAACTTTGCTAATACGGACAATATTTTTTCTTAATTTTAGTAGTTATCATAATTTTATTTCTTGGGAATGCACCGACCGGATGCCAACTTTGCTAGCAGAGCAACGTCTTAATTATGTACTACGTACTACTATTGTTCTTTTTGCTACTACTGTCTCATAACTTTGACGTCCCTCTTTCTCTTTCCTTCCAAAAAACATTAATTGATTTTTTTTAATATAAATATCTGGAAAGAAAAAATCACACAGATAATTTTTTTTTTTTTTGTCAAATTTTCATATTTTAAAGTTAAAGTGGAACCTTTAATTATTTCATGGAAGATAACATGTGCTTTCATTTAGTGAGAAATAATGATATATCTAGTCCTTTAATTAACCAAATCTAACAATTGACTTTGTGAAATTTCAATCAGAGCATAAATTAAATTAATGAAACTAAAATATTAAATCACTCATCAGAATATATTCTCTTTATTTACAAATATAAATGGTTTTACAGCGATTTTTTTGTCTATAAATATAAGTTATTTTGAGAATATTAATAGATAATTAATGATTTTTTTTCAATTTAGTTAATTAATTAGTAAACTTTTTATTATGATCTAGCAAAATTACTTTCTTTTTTTTTTTTTTTTGCAAAAACTTTAAACTGATGTACGGATGGAGTATATGATACCCCATATATGTTAATGTATGTATGCAATGAAGGGATAGGAATGAGATAAGGGAAGGGATAGGAATGGCGGTCAGGTGTTGCAGTAATATATACATATAACATGATTAAATCTCATCCGCTAGCTTATTACTCTTTCTGTTGATTCAGTAGCAATAAGTTGAAAGAAAGAAACAGCTGTGTATGCAAAATTAATAGCTTTAGAAAGAGACACGGTACTTTAAATTAATATTGTATAGTTTTGTTCTTCTTTTGTATTGGCCCACGTCTAGAGTTCCAAGTATCAGAATCTTTATTACTGAAAAGAAACCATCAAACCCATAAACAAAAATCGTTTTCTATATGTATTATATTTTTCTACAGTAGAATAACAGTGTTATAGGTTAATATGGTAGTTGGAAACCTGCCGTATGAGTTTGCAGCAAAATGATGTTAAACACCATGTGGGGTTCCTGAGTGTCCGGATTGATGCAGCACAAGCATAGGGAAAGAGAGTGCATGTAATGTAATCGGATAGATAGCAAAACAATTGTGTGGCTTGATTCGACTTTTTTTTTTTTTTTTTTTTGCTTGCAAATTCGACTTTTTTTTTTTTTTTTTTAATGTTTTTCATTTTTTTGGAAGTTAGAAAAATTTTTACTAAAATCTTTTTTTTTTTTTTTTTAATGTTTTTCATTTTTTTGGAAGTTAGAAAATTTTTCTAAATAATTATCTTTTCTGTTGTTTATTCATATTTAAAAATTTCTTATTCAATATAAAATCGTGATAATTATTCAATATAAAAGCTTAAGAGAAAATTTTAATTGGAGTCTTCTATTTATGAGAAAAATTTGTGTAGCTATGAACATGTTAATGCATAGATCTTGAACTTAAAAATTATAAAAAATTCTTAAAATTCAGCTTATAAGAGGATTTATATAATAGTCAATCATATTACTTGAAACATGATCTTATTTCAGACTACGTCAAATCTTAAGAAAGTTGATTAATTAACTAATTAAGCAGTTCTAAGGATGGTTTGGGACAGTCTCTCAGGCGGTTCCAAGCGAAGCCGACCAGGGCGCGCCCACCAAAGCAAGTGCTGGGTTGGGTCGAGACTATTTGTTTCCCAAGGAATGTAAGATTAGTTGTTCTGCTACTCGTCGTAGTTAGTAATATCATTCTATCTAATTAGGGATTAAGAGAGACAAGCCTCCAATTCCCTAAATTAAAGATTTTGTCTTTGCCTTATTTTCCTTCATCACCATGTGCTTCTAATATTATACTATTCATTTAAATATTAGATATAAAGTTAATTAGAAAAACATTTTATTAAACAATCAATTGGTGATCTTGTTGGTTTTCTCGATCTCAAATTTGAGTTATCTCGACTATATTTATTTTTATTAATTTGGTGAGTTAAAGTGAGGGTTACCCTTATTGTGTAATCCGTTGTGTTATTTCAGTACATTGGACCTCTAATGAATTAAAAAAAGAACATTTTATTAAACAATTTAGTAAAATTATACTTATTATAAGATTAAATTATAATTTATTTGTTGAGAAATTTTTTTCTCCTTAAAATTAATTAATTAACTAACTAATAGTACAATCTTTTTCACACACTATTCAATAAGTAGCTTGTTCTTTCAAGTCCCAAGATTATCTTCTCCTCCACTTTCTTACCCTACCCTTTCATCTCATGTATCTTCACTCTCTCTCTTTATCTCTTTCTTTAGCATATTTTTCTCTCTTGTTTAGTCACACCTCACAAGTAATATCTTGTCTCTCCTTTTTAACTCAATTGGGATCACTTTACCAACCTTGATCTTATTCATTTTCCTTCATACCCTTCTCTCTTACACTTCTTTATTTGGCTATCTTGTGAGGACTCCACCATACAACCTTTTGGTCTTCTTTATTTTAGCTGTCTCTCTCCGTCTCTCACAAGATCATCTACTATTTCTATATCTACCCAACTATTCCCTTCCTTTCCTAATTCCAAACAATCATGGCTGATCCCTATTCCAATTACTTCAATGGATGGTATAATCTTAACCATCTACACCACTTGTCTGCTTCAACTTCTTCTTCTTCTCCTTCTTCCATTAATCCATCCATTTATGCTTCCTATGGCTGCAATATGTACACTTCAGGTTCTATCTTTAATAACAACATCTGTAATAACAGCTCGTTACTTCATTACCAATCTTCACCTCCTTCTCCTCCTATAAAAGAAGCTCTTCCACTTCTAAGTTTAAGCCCAACAAGACATGATGATCGGCAAGAATCCTCTTGTACTGTCATGGAAGTAGACAAGAACAACAAATTATTAGAAAAAGAAGAAAGCTTTTTCGGTGATGATGAATCTGTAGGTGTTGCTTTACATTTAGGGCTTCCTAGTCCTAGCTCTGCAGATTTGATCTCGTCAAGTTTATCAATGTCCTCTACAGAGATCTCGTCAGATAAAGAAGAAGTTACTGTTGCTAACTCCGGCTATTTATCAACAAGTCTTAATAAGGGTCAGTATTGGATCCCTACTCCTGCTCAGATTCTGATTGGTCCAACACAGTTTTCATGTCCTCTTTGCTTCAAGACCTTCAACAGATACAATAACATGCAGGTAATTTTGTGTATTGAATGAATGAATATATGAAAGCTTTAACATTTCCTTTCCTCTCCTATCCCTTTCTGTGTTTATCCTTTTGATTTTGCAGAAAAAAAGTGAAACCCTCCATTCCTATCCTTTACATGTACGCTTCTTTTCTGGTTGGATTTTTGAACTTTTACAACTTCTAATAAGCTGGAACCTTGAGTATTGAGAAGATGATAGTAATGAATATGGCTAGGGTTTTTCCTTTTCCTTTCTTTTATTTTTCATTTTAAAAATATTTCGCTGTACTTTTGACATATCTTTTCTTTTCTTTCTTTGTTTGACTATTTTCAATTTTTCTTTCTAATTCTTCCTCTTCTAATTTTTCACTCTACTCTTTTTCGTTTTGCATGATTTATGGGTTTTGGGATTTAAAAAATAAGAATAAATATATTCATAATTAAATCTTACATGGTCCAACTAAGAATAAGATCAGTGGCTCTCTTTATGTGATTGAACTACTCAGGCACTATGCTTTTTTGAACCTTGAAGTTTGTGTTGTACACATTGGCAAGTGTGCAAACCTAAAGAAAATCTCAGTTCTTTCACCGCTCTCATGTTCTTCATCAAAAGCCCTACACCAAATTTTCTCGATCTGAACACTAACACTGATCCACTGCAGAGTTACTAAAAACCCCCCACGATGTATTCAAATTGCTTTGTTCCTCTTCGAACAACTTATGATGTGTATATAACAGAACGTTCTTTCTTTGACCCACAAAATTTAGCCCTAATTCGCAAGTAACAAATTTAACCCCAAGCAGAAAAAAGCAAATCAATTAATGGCAGAGTTAATTAAAACCGTTCTTGATCCCTTCATTTCATTATCTATTGGTTCTTGATTTGAAAATTTTTCCGATATATATTAGATATAGGGTTTGAACTTTCTGTACAAAAGTTGCATGCACTATACATGCAAAAGCCTTTACTTAATTCTGAGCATGATATAGTAACTGAAAATACAGTTTTTTTTAATGATAATCAAGTGGTTGTATATATATTTCTTATACATCCAATCGATAATTACTTTTTCTTTCTTTAATTATTTTTTGTTAATTATATAACTAGATCCTTTTATTACATATAATGATATGTGTTAAACCTTGAATGGGTGTAGATGCATATGTGGGGGCATGGATCTCAGTATAGGAAAGGACCAGAGTCACTGAGAGGAACACAGCCAACCGCTATGCTTAGGCTTCCGTGCTATTGCTGTGCACCGGGGTGCAGGAACAACATTGATCATCCAAGATCAAAACCTCTTAAAGACTTTAGAACTCTTCAAACTCATTACAAAAGAAAGCATGGAATCAAACCTTTTATGTGTAGAAAATGCGGCAAAGCTTTTGCTGTTAGAGGTGATTGGAGAACCCATGAGAAGAATTGTGGGAAGCTATGGTATTGCACTTGCGGCTCTGATTTTAAGCACAAAAGGTCTCTTAAAGATCATATCAAGTCTTTTGGTCACGGCCATGCTGCTTACGGTATTGACTCTTTTGAAGAAGAAGAAGAAGAAGAAGAACCTGCCTCTGAAATTGAGCAAGACAATGAATCCACTCAGTGATTTTTTTTTTCTTCTTTTTCTTTTTTGAAAATGAAATGTCGTGAAAACTACCACCACCACCGTCGTCGTCATCATGTTTTGAGTTGATTAATTTTGTTTCTTCAAAAATCATGGACTCTTAAAAGCAAGAACCCATTAAGCATTAGAGTACTTAATTTGAAATCCATCATCCTCTTTTCTTGTTATTTATCTTCCTTTTTCATTTTCTGCTTCCAAATCTTTACCATGTTCGAATTTATGGAAGACCATGCAAGCTTTCTTTTATCTTTTTCATTTTTTATTTCATGACAATGTGGTAAAATTAGGATTCCAAACTCTAGTTAATAAAAAATTGATCAAGTCTTTGTAATTATCAAGACTACACAAGAAATATTTGCAATGAATAACAGACATCTAACTTCTCAACAAGTTAAATAAATTATAAGACATAACTAAATGTTTGTAATAATGTCGAATAAACTGCATATAATGAAAGTGGTTAGCAAAATAAAGAGGAAATTAAGAGCTATAAGACTCATAAAACATATGAATTCAAAAACCTATATTTTCAGCTGAGCTAGCCCAAGAAAGTACAACTAGTTAATTAATTAATGAGCCAAAGAACAAAGTTAAAAATATATATATATACATAGGACGGATGTAGGAGAAGGAAAAGAAGAAAATTTCTACTTGTGGGAGGGATAGTAAATGCATGAATATTTAATAACCATGCGAGTGTTGTCAAATGTCAACCTTTTGTCTTCAATAATTCCTTTTGCAAGGGTGAGTTTAACAAAATAAGCAATGAAGGGTCTATAGATGATAGCATCCTCTGATAGATAAAGAAGAGAATAAGTATATTAGTGCAGTGAGAGGAGCTTATCAAACACAGATCAGATATATACTATAATAATAAAAAAAAGGAAAAGAAAATCTGGATCAGCTTTTGTGTATGTAAATATGTGATGCCATTTCCATCTGGTTAGTGGTAGAAAGAAGATTTTCACTGATAGACAGATCATATACTATGTTTAGATTCACAAAAAAAATTCAAATCAAATGATTAGGCAGGCTATAAAGAAAGAGAGAAAGCAAAAGAGATATGAATATGAGTGAGATAAATCATAAATGTTTTAGCAACACAGTACACATTTTTTTGTGAGGTAATAATACAAAGGGCTAGAAAAGAATGGAAGAGAATGGATCTTGTTGGCAGCTTTGGCAACAATTAGAGAGAGAGAGAGAGAGAAGCAGTCAAAGAGGGTATTGATATGTCACTTCAAGTCACTATACAGTCAGAGTATATGTACTGTTAAGTTGGTTCAGTGCCTGTCCCATATGAGCCCAAACAAGAGAAACTTGGTTCCCACCTTTTCTTTTTTCCTTTCTTTCTTTCCAATTTTTCTTTTCTTTCACTTTATTGGTGAAGTAAGTCTCTGTTTCTGCCTGTGACTGTGAGTAGTTATTGGTTTTTTCACTATCGTAAAAAGATGGAAAGATTTAACAGAGAAGAAGATCAGTGGAGATGAAATGAAATGAGATAACTGCATTTCTGATTCTTTTCTTGTTTTCTTTTTTACTCAATGATCTGTCACAGCAAATTCATCATTTTTCTTCATTTATATACATATATATGTGTTTAATGAATTATGAACCACCAAATTTTCGACTAACAATGGAGTCAGTACGTACTCTTGATGTATCCTTTTATTGTTTCATGTAAACAAGACCAGCGACTACTCTTCTTTTCCATCTTTCACTTTTCACCTTTCTCCTTCTCTTATCCTTTTCTTTTTTCTTTTATGTCGTATGCCTAATTAAAGCACAGTAGCTTCTAAAATTATTTTTAAAATTATAAAATTTTTAACTTTGAACCCTAATTAAAATTAAATTAAATTATCAAGTTTTGGTCAACAAGAAACAAGAATTTTATATTTATTAATTAGGTTAAACCACTTGATTTATAATACAAAAAACATTATAATGTCGGTGGCCTTGGTTGCCTTATTTTATTTATTTATTTTTCTCCATGCACTTGAATAATTGATGAAAGGATTCCCCGGAAAATTTTAGTTGTAAAATCTGGATTTTAGGTAAACGTTACAGATAAGGTAAGAGTTGAAAATTTAGGGTTATTTTACGAGACCGAAACCTAAAAATACGTGAATAAATTAAAATAAAAGAACATCTTTCACACCAAACATATTGAAAATAAATTTTTATTTTAATAATGATATTTCTAAATATTCATTAAGTAAAAAAAAAAAGAAGAAATAAATGGATCGATTTTTCATGTACGAGTCATCTGTATATTAGGCGTAAATAAGTATTATCTTTTTATATACATGTATATAGATAAATGAATATAAAAGAGGTGAATTATTCACCAACCTAAAGAATGAAATTAATGTAATAATAAATAATTACATGTGATTCCCATAAAATTACAAATTTCGATTAATGAAGGCCACGTGAACAATTCTATATTCGATAGCAACAAAAGAGATGTTGAAAGAAAAAACTTTTCAAGATTCATGCCTCCAAATAGATATATATTTTTTTATTTTTCAAAATGAAATTACTAGAAAAAATATTTTATCTTAGCAAAATGTATTATATATTGCATGCACAATAATCTGTGCTCAAATATGGGAAGCAGCTAAAATTATGAAGAACAGAACTTATATAATTATATATTAATTAATTATCAATAATTTAATTTGTTTTAGTATGATACTATATTTAATTATTCTTAAAAGCTATGAAACTATGAAAAATGGACAGTCACAATACCAAGACTCATGTAAAATGTATTTGGACTTGTTCAATCCAAATGGTCGACAGAAAGTAGACCAAAGTATATAGTCTAATTCCTAAATGGATATACATTAATTATTATCATTATTTAATTGTTATTGTTGTTGGAATGTACGTAAAATATTTTTAGGTAAAAAAATTGTTTGTTTTGAGACTATTTTATTTTCTTTTTTCACATATATTCGGATTAATAATCTAATAATCAATTATCTATTTTATATTAACTACAAACTTAAATACTGCTGGTCACTAATGATTGAGGATTTTTATCAATTTAATAAGAATTACTCGATTGTTCCAAAATATATATATAAATTGTTTAATATTTTTATACGAGAATTAAAGAAACAATTAATTTTTCTAAATTAATTGAAATTTAATTAAAATTTACACTAATGCGTCGTATAAGAGTAGAATACGTTAGAATTTTCATTTAATTATATATATATAAATATAATTTTGGTTATCTGAGGTAACGTTGGTTTGGTTGAGATGTGATAAAATTGCAATGAAGGAGGGGACATGAGCATGCCAGAAATCTTCTTGAAAGCATATAAAGCCCTATTCACATTCCAGCATGAAGGAGACAAAATTTGTCTCTATCTACTCTTCTCTCTCATTCTGCAATTTCTCACAAATAGTCCATATTCTTGTCTTTAAATAAATCTCAAAACTACAGTAAACCAAAACCAGCTTGAATTTGAGGAACATGAATACTGGTCTTTTTCTGATATATTCAAGATTTTGGGAAAGGAAATTTAACAAGAAAGTCATTTCTAAAGAAATAATAATAATAATAATAATAATAATAAAAGATAAAAGAAAATGATTTCTTTAAAAAAAAAAGAGAAAGAAAGGGTAATTAAAATTCTTCCTTTTGGACTTCTCTCTGTCTGAATGTCATTGTATATGCCATATTCTTGCCTTTGGATGTTTATGGAGATTGCCTAATTGAGTCTTATTATTGTAGTGGAGTGGAATATGTATGGACAAAAGCTTGAGATAGAAGAAAGAAATCATATATAATGGATTGTCTATTTGGTTGCATGTGTGTGAGAGAGAGAGAGAGGCTTTATTCATTTATTATTATTATTATTTTTTTAATTATGGAAAGCAACATAGCTAAGAAAAGGAAATTCTTTAAAAAGGCAATTTAAACTTAGTTGCTTATTTGAATATTTGATAATTTTTATCTTTCGTTTTCCAGAGCAATGTATCGCTTTCAGAAGGTTAAAGAGTACTAATTAATTTTAACTAATCGAGATAAAAAATCATTTAATAAAGTTAAAAATATTTTACTATAATTTATGTGATTTGATTTCTTTTTTGTTTATTATACAAAAAATTTTAAACGAAAGATAAAAGTAGATAAATGAAGTACTATATATTGTCTCATAATATTTATTACATTTAAAATTTTATATCATTTAAGAAAATTATTAAATTTGTTACAATAAATTATTGAGTAAATTGACTATATTACCCTTAATTTAATATATCCAAACACTAAATAATTACTGGCAGTATATAAAAATAAATATGAAAAAAAAATTATTACTCTTTAAAACCACAAATGTGATAAATATTTTGAAATAATTTATTTTATCAGACATGACAAGTATTATGGAATGGAGGTAGTAATAAATGAAATTTGACGAGAATTGGGATTAGTTTTTCTGTTAGGTCTGTAGAGGGTACAGTAAATGAAATTTGAAAACTAATGAGTGATTAAAGATGAGTAATTAAGTTGCTCATGTTCCCAATAAAGCTTTGCATGAAACTTTGTCTTTCCTTTCTTTCTCCTTTAGTTGATGCTTTATTAAGTGAAGGTCTCTTTTTCTCCCTCTTCTACCATTTGCCCCTTTCTCTCATTCAACTTTGACATATCCAATCAAAAGCTCACTTTTGCTAAATGAATGCAAAATAGGACTGGACAGTGAACGCCTTTAATCCCATGAATCTCTTCATGAGATCTTTGTTTCCCATATTACTCGTTTCAAATTTTGCATTTCCCAGATCCTGTAATGATGGTTTCAACTGTAAATATCAAAGGAAAAGCAAAAGAGAGTTAAAAAAAAAAAAAATAGAAGAAGAAAAGACAATCCCCAAATTTAACTCATCTTCCCTTTCCCCAGAAAAACAGACACAATCAAAGTGACAATTCAACAAATTTCAAATCTCAGGTAAAGGTTAAATTCCCAAAAATGTGTTAGTGCTCAATACAGGGTTTAAAAGGTTATTACACTACATGCCATAGCATGCAGGGCACAGAAGTTATTGTCCAACACTCCTAACTCTGCCCTTTCTCATTTCCTTGCTTTCTTTTTAACGTTGTAATGATTAATCTCTGTAAAAAGCTAAATTTTAGATTCGTTAGAATGTTTAAATTTTATAAAAAGTCCGCTCAACCTCTAAAAGCTAAATTACTTAGCTAGCATATATAAAATTTTGACTTTGACTTGGTCAAAATGCTAGACTTGGATTCTTCAATTTTATCGGAACAGAGCTTTACGTTGCCTAACAAACACACAATTTCAAACCTCATGGTCAGAAGCTAAGAAACGTAAATGACATTTAATTTTATTAAAGATAAAAAGATCCATTTTTTTTTTCTCTGCGCTTGACTACGGACTACCACCTTCCCCAAATCCCTTACATTTTCCCGTTTTAAAGAACGAAAAGAAGTAAATTGGTTGGCATCGATTAATGATAAAAAGCACCCAAATTTTGAGGACATCCCTGCCTTCTTAGCCTTCCAGTGAGATGAAATCGCATCAGGTCCCAATTCGAATGCTGTTGCTTTAGAATGTATAACATTGTGGTTGATGGTTATAAACTCATCTCCTCAGGTAAGCTGATTTCGAGAAAATATAGACTGCAGAACCAGTAAAGGTAATATAGATAAGATGATGGTAGTCAAGGCATTGGACAAAGAACAGAAAATTTGAACAAAGTAGATTTTTGTTTCATATAAGATTTACTATCTCAATATTCCCATAGAATGACTAGTTTAGGTGATCGTTTAATAAAATGGCTTGTGAAAATAAGTTACCTAAATTGACCGATTCTTTTCAAAATTTCAAATTAATGTTCAAGAAAAAAAAAAAGATTTTGTGAATTTAAGCAAAATAGAATGAAAATCTGATCTATTCTCGTTTTCTAAAAAGAAGTTTTTAAAAAAGGGAAAAGCAAAACAAAACAAAAGAACAAGCAGGACCCAATAAGAAGCCTTTTTTTCTCCTTTCTCTTTGGGGTTGGGAAATTGAATAGCAGCCAATTGTCTTATAACAGATATAGGCAGGGAACTGCATTAAACAGAAGCTTTATGGTTGATTCTTGAAACAGCAGTACATGTGATGAGTTTTATTACCTTGCTGACATAAAAGCCATCCCAAGGAATACAGCCTTAACGGCTTGCTTCTGCCCAGCATAATCAAAAGCCAATGGCAGCATTTCATGCAAGGTTAGGAAAGCCATAACTCCACCGACTGCAAATTTAAATCAATCAGTGCAGAGAAATTAATTAAGTAATTTTCACTAAACAATTGAGATGCGCAGGTAGTGCGAACCTGATCCTAATAGACCCTCAAGAATTTCAGGACTCAAGCTGCTTGGAAATAGATATGCTGTGATTATGGGAAAAGACATTCTCAATACATATAATACAAAAAGCATATCTACAGCTTGGCATTAAATGCAACAAATAGTTGTCGACGTACCTACAAGTACCACACCAAGTGGTTCAGCAAGACCAGAAAGTGTTGCCAATTTGAATGCCTGCCACTTGCTGAGTATTTATCAAACCAATCCGTTAGCTATCTTCTTAATATAAAAAATCCTAATCTATTGAAATGGATGCACAAAATGGCTAGGTTAGCAGATAACTAGCAGGGGAAGAACATTGCAGCAACATAACATGGGCCATTAATAGATCTCGCCACCCTCATCACTTATCAATGTGATAGTGTTGAAGCCAAAAACAACTGCAAATATACACCAGAGTATACCACATTAACAACACAATGAACATGCAATAACTACACGAAATTACTAATGGAGTTCTGCCTTTCCTTGGGATGAATAGTGGGAGAAAAAGGAATACTACCCATAATTTATAACACCAATATGGCCACTATAACCAGTACTGTCAGTATCCACAATACCACATAGATCCTATAAAAATTTTTAGCATTTGGCCACAAACGTCATTTCCACAAAGAAAAGAGCTGTTGTACTGACCTAAATCTCAACCTCCACACATTCCAGCACCATATCTGCCAACAATAATCATCTTCAGCGTTCCAAAAACCTATATTTGCTAAGTCTGGATGTCAACATAACATGTTATTGGCCTGATTTGATCTCCACAATTTCACATTCTAATTTCCACTAAAATACCAATTAGCATGCTATCACATGATGCTTTTTATAGGAGACTCATCAGTACTTTATAAGGATAAACTTCAACAGTCTCTCCAGATATTCTTACCTTTGAGTAGCAAAATAAACAGGCAGTGCAACAGCAACACCCTGCACAAATTAACAAAATTATCCATTTATTTGTTATCCATAAGAAGATCACTTGTTTGTTCAAAGAAGGGATTTGAAAAATTGTACCTCAGGGATGTTGTGCAAAGCAATGGCCAAGGCCAAATTAAGACCAACACGTAGGCCCTGTAAAAGGAAGCAAATTTCATAACAGCATAAATGAGTTGTGCACGAATAAGTATAAATGTTTTTGGCTCTGAAGAGCAGAACTTTAAAAGAGTCAGCATTGATGCTAGTTAATTGCATATAATTAGAAATTTGTACACATGAACTGTAATAAATTTCCACTAAAACCATGTGAAATCAATTCAATGACTCTTGGAACTATGAACTATTTTGGTGAAGTTTGGTTAATAGTTACAATGTAGAAAGAATAATTATGGCACATGAAAATCAAATCTTGGTAGAGCCAGGTTGGAAAACCATAATGGCGGTCAGAAAAGTAATACATATGGTCCTTCAAGAATATGAAATGACAAGCTTCCAATCTAGAAATTGAAACAAACTACTTCTTGGCATTGAAAAATTACAATGAAATATAAATAGCAGACAGGAAGATCTTCACTTCATAACCAACATAAATGCCTAGTAAAGTACTTAATAACTGGAAGATGCTAAATGAACACCCTAAAACAATCAAAAGTAAAAGGATGCTAGACTTTAATCCTCAAGACTATATTTCAGTCAAAGTGAACACTGTCATAACTTAAAACATATACAGAATTCAAAAAGCAATCTGGATAAGGCCAAGGCTACCTTAACAGAACCAAGGAAAACTGCCATTCCCTCTGGAAAATTGTGCAAGCTTATGCCTGAAATCACAAGCAAGAAAATTCCACCTAGTCAGACCACTTTATGAATGCATTTCTAGTAATATATATAATCAAATGAATTTCTAGTTTACACATCACAATAGAAATTATATTACATTATGCTACATCCCATAAGATAATAAAATCAGAGACAAGGAAATCATACCTATAGCTGTAATAATCCCACTGAAAAAAACTTGGCGACGATGCTTTTTCATGATGTCCTTTCCTCCATCCCCATTTGTCTGCTCCAAAGCACAACATCAAATCATCAATCATCTCCGTAGATAATGAATCAGCCAACATCAGCTTGAGTAACAGAATGCTTAAGGAAAATGAGAGAAGATAATATAAACCTTTTTACTTTTAACATCTGAACCCGGAATAACTGTTGGTTCAGGGATAAACTTTGCAACAATAGCGAAGAATAAAACTCCTCCGAAAAACTGTTCCATTGAGAAATTAAAATAAAAAATAAAAACTGAGATAAATAAATGACGTCTAAAAAGAAATTATTATTACAACAAGACCAACTAGAATTAGGATTCAAACAATTGAATGACGTTACTGACCCATAGGTTGCCTTTTAAGAAGCCAATTGCGTTGATAGCATTATGAGCCAGATCTAGGAATGATATGCTCAACATTAGGCCTGCAGCAAAACCCTGCACAAAAAAGGTATAGACATATATGCAGCAATCAATTATCAAGCTTATATCATCAATGGTTACTCAATTCTTTAGTCAGTCTCATGGCATTCTTTAATGATTAAACATACACTGATGAAGAAATTCCAAACAAGCAAATTTGTTACGATATGATAAGCAATAAAACGTGAGCAATAATGCAAAACAAGAACCTAATCAGCACCTATCCATTCAAGATTAGTACTGCAATCATAAGTGGCTTTCTTTCTTTTTATGAAGAAATAGAGAAAGGAAAAAGAAACCAGCTTTTTAGATCAGATGTAGAGGGTTCGACCACCCAAAATCACCTGTAATAGTCCAAGCATCTTCAAATTGGGCGCCTGATTTAAAACGACAAAAAGTGCACCTGTTTCATAACACAAATATTACAATTAAATTACAGAACAAGAACTAACCTTGAACGAGGCTCATCTAATTGGAGAATTACAAAGCAAGCAGAAATAAGTACCCAAAAAAGTTCAGAGTCCTGGTCTGGATAAAGAGCTATCATTTAATGTCAAAGCTTTGCAGATTCATCCCATATTGACATATGCATGCTTGTATTATGTTTTGGAGCATTATGTTTAAAACACAAAATGTAAATGGACTTCTTAAAAGAAAAGAGCAATAATAGAATCTCAACTAGCCAATAGAGTGTCAAAAAGGCTGTTAATTCAGAAAGCTTACATTACCTCATTTTTTATCCTCTACGAGGCTAGCAAACAAAATTTTTGAACTAAACCAACAATTAAATCAAAAAACAAGAATTTTGAAACATACCAATAGAAGTGCTTAATCCACCCACAAGAGAGAGAGCAAGTGCTACAACCACTTGAGAATCCATCGACTTAGCTCTCGGTTTCTTTCAAGGCAGATAAAAACGCGAAAATGGCGTAGTTTGATGGTAAGACGACAAATTGATTAAATTTGAAGGTTGTAGTAAACAAAAAAAAGGTGTATCTGTAGCAGTGAGCGAGAAGAGAAGAGAATACAGTTAGTGGCCGATGGAAGAAAGGGATGGTTTGATAGGGACGTCCAAGGAATCCAATCTAGGTCTGCTTCTGGTTCTGGCTATGGCACATATGGCAGGTGATGGATGATCGCTTTCCTTCCTCTCCGGTATTATACCTAACTTTCTGCTGTAATTTAATCTCCGAATGACTTAACGGAGATGGTGTCTGTTTCGCTCCATAAAGCATTTGAAGGGTTACTACTTTCCAAGTGGACGTGGATCATGCCGTGACCCGAACCTGCAATTGTAAGAAGACTAGATAAACGGCATGTCGTTCGAAGGTCACTAATATCCGATCGTTTCGTAAAATTACATGGGTCTTGTCCGGCCAACAGATCAGTTTTCTTAAATGAAAGCAAGCGGTCGTTCGATGGAAACTTTTTTCCGTTTGTCACGACGTTAATTTGTTTATAAATGGCAAAAAGATCGTTAATATTTCCATGTAAACAATCGACTGGGGACAACTCGCTTGTACCTTGGTTACAATTTTTAAGAATAAAACGATAGGGCGTTTTGTACGTTGATAATTATAATTTATGCCTCGGTCTTCCTGCGATTTTCAATTGGCCGCCATAATATCCGCCTCCTTCACAAAAACCCCACAAAGAAAAACCCTTTAATAACTACTTTTTGCACTTTCTCTGAAATTTTCTCCAACTTTCCCGAGAAAAAAAACATGGCCTTTCGCTCCTCCCTACTACGCCTCAGATCCCATCTCCTCCGCTCCACTACCACGATTAATGCCAGCAGGCTGTTCCACTTGAATTCTCCAATTCTTTCAACAATAAAATCAGAACGCTTGATTCTCTCCCCTGTTTCAGATCTCCGCACAATCTCTACCGAATTTCCTTCACTTTTCGGTCCTCGATTCTTCTCCACCGTTCGCCGTCAGCCCACCCGGTCAAAGACCGTCGACATAGGGGCCCGAGCCCGTCAACTCCAAACTCGCCGCCTATGGACATACGCTTTAACGTTCAGTTGCATCGCGGGTTTTATCGTTATCGTTCTAAACAACTTTCAAGACCAATTAGTCTTTTATGTGACGCCAACAGATGCAATGGAAAAATACAAAGAAAATCCACAAAAGAACAAATTCAGATTAGGTGGTTTAGTTCTCGAAGGAAGTGTAGTTCAACCTGCTTCTTCACCAGAAATGGAGTTTGTGATTACAGATTTGATCACTGATATTTTAGTAAGGTATCAGGGATCGCTACCGGACTTGTTTAGAGAAGGACATTCCGTGGTCGTGGAAGGGTTTGTGAAACCATTCACAGAGGAATTAAAGAAGGAGGTCGGCGCAAAGAGCGTTTCAGGGAAAGCGAGGAGCATAGACTGTTACTTTTCGGCTACAGAGGTTTTAGCTAAGCATGACGAGAAGTATATGCCTAAAGAGGTGGCAGCAGCAATTGAGAAGAATAAGAAATTAATTGAGGCTGGCGAAGAAATTAAAGAGGAAGCTGGGTGAACTAAACTAATTGGTAAGCTTCCAATTTTGATTAATGATAGTTGAAGGCAATGGATTAATGGATACCCATTTTTTTTATTGTAATGCTTTGTCTGAAGTCACACATTTATATGAAGGAGGAGAGAGAGGTCATAATTGGGTGCTTATAGAAATTGTTCTTATAATTTTTTAGGTCAAAGATACACAATTGATTTTATGGAGAGATAATTGGACCATTTGGCATCTACATTTCGTGTTTCTGATGTTGTAATCCCATATTCATTCATGAACTGACATTGCAGTTAATTTAGAAATGAATAATTCTTCCAATTAATAGCCATAAAGATTTTTAGTGGGTGTGACTCTGTTGTTGACTAATTTTTGCAGTATTTCCTGGTTGAAATTATTTAAATTTTGCTATAGTTGTTTGATGAAGATGATTTGGCATTTTTGTTGTTAATGGTAATTTTTGCTAATGATGTGTAGATGATTTGAAAAGTGAAATGTATTGATAAAGGATGATTAGGGATACATTTGATGGATTTTCAGATTAATTTTTGTTTTGTACTGGGGAAAAGGTTCTATATGAAGAACTTAAGGGTTAAGGCTCTTGGTTAATTGTGATTTTGTATTTCCTTTTTGCAGTTTCCACTCAGTTCTTCCTATATATTCATATATTGACTTGTATTCTTAGTCTTTCTTTTATCTTCTTGAGGCAGAACTGTGGTGTTAATAGATAGGCACATTCTTTTGGCCAATAAAAAGCAAGACTTCGTTTTAAAAAAGTAAACTAACAACATTTCAAGCTTAGCCAGTTTCAAAGGAGCAAGTAAAATTAAACTATCAACAGAGTTATGCTTCACCTGTGTCTACTTTGATATTGTTAATTGTCTACAGTTTTGAACTTCAGTGACATCAAGAAAAGGAAAGTTCAACTTCTTTCATATTTTTGCCCCTTTTCTTCCTTTCCATCTTTTTTAGCCTATGCTGTTTTCTATTATGAATCTATCCAAACAATGGTTTTCCTTGGAAGCGTGTCACTTTTGATAAGATTTGGAGTGGCATCTCCAAAATTGCTATCTAGAAACATCAGAGCAAGAAGCAGAAGAGTACCTAGTGTAAAACAGTGTCTCGTGACGAGTTCCTTATAACCTTCAACTCTTTTTGAGTATTTTGTAGGGAATCACCTCACTGTAGGTTCTGCTGTCCTTGTAATGCGTGGTGGTTATTAAGTGAATTTCATGTAGTGTAGATGGCTGGCTTTTCATAATATGCAGAATGTTGAGTATTAGTTATCCATTGAAGGGTTTTGCCACTGTGTGTGCTTCTGCTGGGTAAGATGATTTCAATTGATTGGCTCTGTATGGTTGAAAGTCCCAAAAAGGGAGGATGCATATTCACACTTATTTAATTTTTGAGAATAAAAAAAAATTATTATTCAAACTTATTTATTTGAATAAAGTATAGAGTTTATTCCAACATGTTTGACCTTGTGAATTATGTTTATAATTTTAAAATTTAAATAATCTTATAAAATTCTGCGATTAAATCTTGCAAGAACATGATTCCCTCAAAAATTTTTTTTTAAAAAAAAAAAGGAGGAAAAATCTCTCAAGGACATGAACATATAATAGAATAGCATAGTTCTTCTTCATTGTATACAAGACAATAATTATCATCACACCTCCCTAACCAAAGATTAGGGCTAACTCCGCTCTCCACTCTCGTCTCTCTCAAAAGAAAAAAACAGAGAAAAAAAGAAAAAATCTAATGCCAAAGAAGCGCAGTGATAGAAATTAACAGTTCAGAGCAAATGCAGCCAACAGAAGATGTCACTAGAAATCCAGCTCCAGCGTCTATTCCCGGTAATGGTGACGGTGACGGTGACAGCTTAGTGCTCTGCTCGGTGACTCCCGTTACAGATAAAAACACCGAGACCACAACCGCACAGAAGAACATAATGGTTTCGAAATTGCTAACTTGCGCCATTTCTTCTACGGACGATGAAAAGAGAGATTTTAGCTACAGAGGGGGAGTTTTAGATTTTTCGTGTGCCCAAGTAATGACGACGAGGATTTTATTTATAGGCGGGTGCGTCTTTTAAAAAGATAATTAATTACCTAAATAGTTAAATTGAATTGAATACTAATTTGTGATTAATTTTTCTAATTAATTTGCAACGTTTTGGTTTGGTGGGAGCCACTACTACTGGAGTGAAGACGGGACAGGACAACTTTCTATTTCATTTCTTTGTGCGCAGCGTAGTAATTATGGTCCCCAACGCAACGTCTCTCTAGCTATTGACTCAAGTGATAAGTTTTCGGTGTTACATACATACAATTCAGCTAATGCGACGGTCCATGATTGAATGATCAACTTAGCATGATGAATCCGCAATTTTCTGGAATAAATAGGAGGCTGATGATAATTGTTCAGTGGAATTAATTATGGTAATACGATTTTTTTTCAGTTAATATCTAGCCGTTGTGGACCTACTACTATCGCCATCTTATATCTCCTTATCAAGTACCAAGAGCAAGTCGTTTCTTGTTTGGTAAACGACCATTGTCGACGCTGAGCGCTTCGTTTTACCAAACAAACATGAAAATGACGACGGCAACCGAAGCCGCTTACCATCCAATGCGCTCTTGGTATCGTTTTGATGACTAATCTACTGAATGTCATGAAATATGACGGTTTTTTGGTTAACTTTCTGGTCAGAACAGTTCAAATATAACTCCTTAGTCCTTACTGTACATAGTCACAAAGAAAGAGAAATGAACTTGAGAATTTGATATCTAACAAGCTATTTTACTTTATCAGATTGAATTTGAATTTAGCCACTGCTATTCTTTTGGTTCATTAGGCTCTTTGTTAACCAGATTGCTGTTTCCCTTGACGACACAACTTCTTCTCCAAATGGCCTCAAAACTCCCGATAGTTCCTCAAATCTTTCCTGTCTAAGCAAACTTGCACAAATCTCAAGTAGAGATTCCAGAGCTTCTGCTCTTCGTAAGCTCTGTGGATCCCATTCAATTCTTGTTTCTTCCCCATTAACAAACGTTAATGTGCTCATTGATGATATGTCACTAGAAGCTCCATGTGTTTCTTGATTATTTTCTTTACTTGTTTGCTTCTTGTTCCTTTTCGACTCTGATGCCTTCTTGCGAGCAGAAAGAAATGTATTTCTAGTTTGTACTATTTTGGAATGCTCAAAAGCCAACTCTTGCTTTGGATCTTCATGGCGAGTGATAGTCCTTATTAAGCTTTCTATGGTGATTTCCGAATTTCCACTGTCAATTTGGTCTGCAGTGCTGTGTAAATCGTTTGCTGAGAGCTTTGGTGCAGGAGAATAAATTTTTGCTTGCGGAATACATGCATGCTCTTTTAATGGGATTGGCTTCTTATCTTTATCTTTCTTGTGAATATTTGACTTTTTAAACAGTAGAATTTCTTTGCAGCCACGTTCAGACTTTACTGGGAGAAAGACTGGAGAGAGATTGTGGCATTGAGCGAGATAAGGTTGTAGAATGGGGTGTCTTAGTAATTCTGCAGCCTAAAACATGGTGAAATGTAAATACAAGCACAAGTTCTTGTCTTGACTAAGAGAAAGACTGAGAAAATGGAACTGAACAAAATAGACTCACTGTAGGTCTGTGTTCTGGATTTTTCCTTAACATGGTTTTGATTAATTGTTTTCTGCAGGCAGAAAGAAAGACACCTGATCAGATACACTTTTGTTGTTATTATTTAATTTCTGTTTGGTTACGACTCTAATTGAACATATATTACTTACAATTGAGACGAATACATAGTTGGGAGAGGAGAAATAGAGGAACGGTTTATCTTATTAACGAGACCAGCCATATCCTGTTATTCAAGATTGATAAACTTATTAAATCCCTTTTTTTTTTCTTCTTCTTCTGAGAAATGTTATTCAAAGGTAGAACTTACAGGAGCTCTAAATGCAGGTTGATGTGCAGCTATCTCAAACATGCAGCAACCTGTCAAAATAATAACAAAATGTCATTCCATGAAAAAAATCCACAGTAGCTAGATACCCCACAATACCATGAAATAGCATCAGAAGGTTATTATGACCTAGAGACCAAATGTCTGATTTGTAGCCATAGGGTATGTCAGCAAGAAGTTCTGGGCACATGTAGTTTGGAGTGCCCACAATCTACAGCAATGTTAAAAGTTCAAATTCCATAAGAATATCTATACTGTAATGCATTAGTATAATTTTTGCAAGTCCGAAAGTCACCTGGAAAATATAAAACGTGAGAATAACAAATATTCGCGTACCGATTAAAATCAATCCACTGCAAAAGCATATCTCTTTAATACCAAGATTTCGATATATATATATATGTAAGGAAGATATTTGAGCCTGAAATTGGAAAACAGAGTTAAATCATATATATTGATAGAAGGATGATATAATATTTTTCAATCTCCTCGTGAAGAAGCATCGATTTGAGTGGGAGATAGTCCACAGCCAGCAAACAAAATCCACAGTAGCTAGATACCCCACAATACCATGAAATAGCATCAGAAGGTTATTATGACCTAGAGACCAAATGTCTGATTTGTAGCCATAGGGTATGTCAGCAAGAAGTTCTGGGCACATGTAGTTTGGAGTGCCCACAATCTACAGCAATTAGCATATCCTAAATAAGCAGTCAGATTTTGCCAAAAAAGTTAAAAGTTCAAATTCATAATGTAGTTTTTATCTTACTGTAGATGCAAGATCTTCTTTGTTCAGCAATTTTGCAAGTCCAAAGTCACCTGGAAATATAACGTGAGATAACAAAAATATTCCAGTACGATTAAAATCAATCCACTGCAAAAGATTTCCATGTTCTCACCAAGCCGGATTTCGTTTTCTTTTGTAAGGAAGATATTTGAGCACTGAAATTGGAAAACAGAGTTATTTCAGCTTCATATCATGGCTAAGTTCACTTGAATTGAAAAAAGCTGCAGGTTCTTACTTTCAAATCCCTGTGAAGAACACGATTTGAGTGGAGATAGTCCACAGCCAGCAACAGTTGGGTTAGCCATCGGCAGAGTTTCTAAAGGAGAAAAGAATAAAATTTAGCATTATTAGATGGGAAGAAAAAAGACTTGTATTAGAAATTTGCTACATTAAAGAGCTCCAGTTTCTTACTGGTACTCCGTGTCCCTTACCTCTTCAGGAAAATATGTTCCTCTAGCTTTCTTTATCACATGAGCCCTGTATCATCAATATAATAGGTATCATTGACAATATATTTCTGTAGTCTAGCATCTTAAAAGGTTAAATTCGTTGTATTTACTTACATATCTCCTCCCTCGCAGTAACTTGTCACAATGCATATATAGCACTCCTGCAAAACAAGCATATAAGCAAAAAGTTGTGACAGTAATTTTCACGGGCAATGGTTTCTCTTGATTATATTCGTTCCTAAGTTCAAGTAAACAAGATTACCTTTTCCACCCATGCTTCTTTATAGTTAACTATGTATGGGTTATTCAGCTTTGCTATTAAATTCATCTGCAACAGAAAAGTTCGAACTGTTATTTATAAAATTTAACTGCAAGATACTAATTATCTCAGATTACTCCGAATTAAAACAGTTTTGTCATTCTCAGGTTGAAATATTATTAAGGGAATGGTAGGGAAAATGGTCTAGGGACTAACCTCTTGATGTGCTGCGAGCTTAAACTTTTCTGTTTGTTTAGCTAAACGAATCTTCTTCAACACATACCTACAGAACACAGAACATAATCATTTATGCTTATAATTTAAATTGGAACCCTCAGAATATGAGTCTGAAGAAATTGAGCAGAGACTTCTTTTACCTCTTATTTTCAAACTTACGAAGAACAAGAAATGCAGCTCCAAAAGTTCCTCTTCCAATCTGTTCTATGACTTCATAATCATCCATCTTTGATACCATTTCTTTGTTCTTAGCCTCCATGTGAGCTCTTCAAAGCTCAAGAAAGTTTTTATGCTATATTTTTGCAGGTCACTGCAAGCTTTACACTACATATCAAGCAAGGCATGCATTAAATGGCTACGAACACCATTAATTGAATCCATACGAGCAATGTCACGGTAAAATTTATGTGATGCAGAGATCTTATACAGAACAGTACTCATGCAGAAATCATGAAGGCATGTAACAATAAATCTTGTTACATTTACTCCTATGACTACATAGAAAAAAAAGATCTGAAATAAGAAATATTCTTGGAATTGGCAAAGCTCGAGAAAAATGTGAAAGGTTGAAAATTTATAAATTGAAGGAGAGTGATAAAGCAAGAAAATGTAAGGAATATAAAAATTCAAATGGAGGATAGGAAATTTGAGAGAAAACTGCAAAAGCAAGCAAAGGAGAAAAGAAAAAAAGTTCCTGTGACAAGTGTGCCAACCACAGTTTTAAAATAGAAAAGGAAAGCTTTACTTGCATTTTGGGATTCCAAGAGTATGATCATATCATACCATTACAACCAAGTGGTTGGTATGTCACTATCTCCTTAACTGAAAATTTCTTCAATTTTTATTGACCTTTCAACAGCCATAATTTTTTCTGGCAAAAATAATATTTTCTTGGAGCAAAACATAATTTATAATTGATTCGAATCACAAGTAGGTTATACACGGGATATAGAAAAGTCTTTCCCGTAAGTTTGAGGGACAACGAGAAGAATTGAGCCTCATATTCTGTAATAACTCACTGCCACGTGAATCAAAATCTGAACAAAAAGAGAGTACCGTGAGAGCCCAAATTTTGGAGGGTATGCCTCAGTAATTTTGGAAACTCACAGTCTCATTTACCGCGATAAATAACTTTCACAGTTTCACTTTAACGCCTAATCAATCCACCGTCATATAACCACATAGGTGGATGACTATTGGCCCGTGAAGTTTGCATCCCCTGAAATTGGCCGATCTGTTATTTAACCACCATCTGAAGGGCAAAATAGGATACCGAATGTTACACGCGCATCCAGTAGAGAACCGACACGTCACTCTCTCATCAATAAAGATAGTTCGTTGGCAAGGGACACCTCGCCTTTTAAAAAATCAAAAGGGAAAATGGTAGAGAGAGAAAAAAAATAACAAAAGAGAAAGGCAACTCACCAAACGCCTCTCTCTCCGTTTGGCTTTGCTCTCTCTCTCTCTCTCTCTCTCTCTCTCTCTCTCCCCTCTCTCTTCGGCGATCTGGTACGTTTTCTGGGGTTAGGGTTTTTCATCTCTTATATCTAGATACTTTCGTTTTTTATCTTTTTTTTTTTTTTTGGGAAATTTCATCTGTATCTGTTGATTGTAATTATGTGTTTGGCCTATTTGATTTAACAGGTCATATCTGATGCAGTTTTGAGCTAAGAGATCGGTCCAACAGAATCATTTCTAAAAACGATTAAGGTTTGACTTTGTATACATATGTCTGTTTGCCTTTTTGTAATTGGATTTCATTTCTCAACCTTTTTGGGGCGGGGATTATTTGAGATGGAGTTATCTTGTTCTGGGTATGCACAATTTTTAAGTTCTCTGATTTAATTTGTGCCACCATAAGGAGAATGGTATCAAATCGTAACACGACAAGGTTCTGCTTATGGCTCTCAGAAGAAATATGTGTTGTGTGTTTGGATAGATTTGTGATGTTTCATGACTGATAATTACAGTTTGGTATGGATTTTGGGAAGAAAAGTTTTATTTATTTTTTCACTCGTTTAGACTGGGTGAGACTGAGAATATGCAGTCAAATTTTGAGATTTGGGGTAGTTGCTGCATGTCATGTATGTTTGTGACTACTAGTGTTGATTGATATTCTATTGCTAATTTGCTTTTCTTCAATGTTGTCGCGTATGCATTGACTAAAATAGCCAATATATAAGCGTAGCTCAGTTTGATGAGAGGAATATTTTGTAGTAGATGTCAACTTGCATGTATGAATTTGTTAATGTACTGCTGGTAATTTGATCTTCTGTCCAGTGCAAAATTTCTTTCGCATGCAATCTCATTTTGTTCTTCAGAGCATAATAATTTTAATTTAGTCGTGGAAACTGATTTATTATCAGCTGACGAAAATTAGAATAGAATCCCACAACTAGTTTATGATTGTCATTTGCATCTTCATATCTTTGGATTTGTTCTGTATAATATTTTATTACAAAATTAACTACTACTCTGGAGATTGAATGGAAATCTTGAAGTTTAGTGCTCAAATTATTGGTGAAGAGGTAAATACCATTTGTAGTACGAGGAATATTGATGGTACTTTGAAACTAGCCACAAAACTAATGCTATCACTACCACTGTACACCACGTTAAAAAACACGTCCTTTTCTCTCCAGCTTGCTGATGGTTCAATCATTTGCATGCTATTCACTTTCATTGACTTTAGGAACAAAGCTAAATAATGCTACATATTGAGACAAAAAGCTCTAGCATCATAAATCTGCTCAGTTTCTGAGGTTTGTTACCAGCCACAAGTCATGAATGCTGCATAAACTTCAGGATCCTAATTACGAACTTTGATCCTCAATAGTATATGAAATCCATTTTACTTGATTATCGAATGTTACTAATCATTTAGAAACATTAATTGAAGTGCTGTTTGGACAGGTTTGGAAACTAATCTCATGAATTCAGAAGAAAAATTTTCGTTTGCACTCATTGAGCGGAAGTAAAAGAGGGCAAAGCCTAATCTGTATATGGCATTTGAACAAATGGCTCTTACTGCCCTCACATCTGTACCCACCATCACCCAACTCCCTCATCATGCAAACAACAAACCAACATTGGCAATGCCACACCTATCACAACATCAGAATAGATCTCAGTTCATTAGTTGTAAACCCAATCTTTCTGTTAAACAACAATCCAATAAACCCATAGACCTCACTGTTGCATTTACCTCCTCCATTTCCCGTCATTGCCGCAATGGCAAGCTACCTGAAGCTGCCTCACAATTCATACAAATGCTTCTTTGTGGCGTTGAGCCCAATCACATCACATTCACTACTCTTTTATCTGGATGTGCAGATTTTCCATTAGAAGGAAAATCTTTCGGCCCTTCTATTCACTCTTATGCTCGAAAAGTGGGTTTAGATACATGTAATGTGATAGTGGGTACTGCACTTGTTGACATGTATGCAAAGTGTGGTCATATAGAGCTAGCAAGATTGTGCTTTAACGAGCTAAAGACTAAAAATTCAGTGTCTTGGAACACAATGATTGATGGTTACATGAGAAATACTAAAATAGAGGACGCGATTGAGTTGTTCAATGAAATGCCTGAAAGGGATAAAATTTCTTGGACTGTACTCATTGATGGTTTTGTCAAAAAGGGGCATTTTGAGCAAGGACTGCAATGTTTTAGAGAAATGCAGGTTTCAAATGTGGAGCCTGATTATGTAACCATTATTGCTGTTTTGTCTGCTTGTGCAAACCTGGGTGCGCTTGGGTTAGGCATGTGGATACATCGATACATTCTAAAGCAAGAGTTTAGAGACAATGTTAGGATAAGTAATTCATTGATTGATATGTACGCTCGATGTGGATACATTGGATTAGCACAGGAAGTCTTTCACAAAATGTTGAAGAGAACTGTGGTCTCATGGAACTCTATTATTGTGGGTTTTGCTGCTAATGGGTTAGCGGAGGAAGCTTTAGAGTACTTTGAGTTGATGCAGAAAGAAGGATTCAGACCAGATGGAGTCAGTTTCACTGGAGCACTTACTGCTTGTAGCCATGTTGGATTGGTGGACAAAGGGCTTAAGTATTTTGCTGACATGAATAGAGTGCACAAATTATCTCCTAGAATTGAGCATTATGGATGCATAGTAGATCTTTATAGTCGTGCTGGGAGGTTAGAAGATGCACTGAGTGTCATAGAAAAAATGACGGTGAAGCCAAATGAAATTGTCTTGGGATCATTGTTGGCTGCTTGTAGGACTAGTGGAAATGTAGGGTTAGCTGAGAAGCTGGTGGACTATCTTGCTGATTTAGATCCTAGCATTGACTCCAATTTTGTGCTACTAGCAAATATATATGCAGCAGTTGGAAGATGGGATGGTTCAAGCAAAGTTAGGAGGACAATGAAGGCCCTTGGTATACAAAAGAAGCCAGGGATTAGTTCAATTGAGATCGGATGTGCGATTCATGAATTTGTGGCTGGTGATAAATCTCACATTGAAAACGAGCATATTTATGAAATGCTAAAGACTTTATCACATGATCTAACATTATTTGGCTATGTTCCTGAAGCCACAATAAATGATTTGTACGGAAATGATTGAACCATTGGTAGTAACACCAATCTTATTAACTTAAATAATCAAGTTTTAGATTTTTAATTCAATCTCCCAATAACTAACGGAGTTGATGATGAAGTTCTATGTTGAATCATATCTAATGATTCATCACCTTTTCCTACTCTCTTCCTAGTATTAGCATCCACGTTTGATCTCACAAAACAACTTCAAGAAAACAATTTATTTCTAAGAACCAAATCTCAAGTCCTATTGTTCACCTCTCTATTGTGCACTGCTCTCTCTCTATTGTGCACCTCACAGTCACATTTTTTCTTTTGAATTTTATTTGACTTGTAACAGAGACAATTTGCGAACAAATATCAGAGTTTTTGACTGTATTTTATATGTTCCTGTACCATCTCTAAGCAGAGGCCTCGATTGAATTATGTTTAATATGCTTCTTTTATATGCTTCTCTATTTATTATGATAAGTTATGTACTGTGTTGTGAAAGTGTACTCAATAAGAAGTGTATCTAGTGTACTTTTCTAACAGTAATGCGCATGGGGCTTCAGCCATTTTGCTGACATGTTTATTTTGAAAATTAGTTGTATGAGAAATGGGCAAGGACATTTAGTGACTTTCGCTTCATTTCTTGCTTAAGCATATGAACTATGCATGAATCTTGTTGGCACTGATGTTAATGCATTTGGCTGGATGCATTTTATTCGCACTTGTATAGATGTATCCTTTTTTTACATGTACTTATCTCTTGATGTGCATATGAATGGTGGAGCGAACTCAACCTTCTGCTGATGACGTAGTTATTTCCTTTACATATGCACCTTATTTTTGTTGATTTTGGCATAGGAACATGGACCATGATGAGACAGGATGCCAAGCTCCTCCTGAACGCCCAATTTTGTGCATTAATAATTGCGGCTTCTTTGGAAGTGCAGCAACAATGAACATGTGCTCAAAATGCCACAAGGATATGCTGTTGAAACAGGAGCAGGGTAAGCTTGCTGCATCTGCAGGACATATTGTGAATGGATCCTCAAGCAGTAATGTGGAACAACCTACTGTTGTCAACACTGTTGAAATTCAAGTCAATACGGCAGAGTCAAAGACCATCACAGTGCAGCCATCCTGTGCTTCAGCTTTGGGGGAGTTTGTTGAGGCAAAGCCAAAGGAGGGTCCAAACAAGTGCAACACTTGCAAGAAACGGGTTGGTTTAACAGGGTTCAACTGTCGATGTGGCAACCTTTTCTGTGCATCTCATCGGTACTCAGACAAACACAACTGTCCATTTGATTACCGTAATGCTGCCCGTGAGGCTATAGCAAGAGCCAACCCTATTGTCAAGGCAGAGAAGCTTGATAAGATATAGATTTGAATTGGAAGTTTCTGAGTACTAAAATTTGATGATCATTTCGTCTTTGAGGCTTCTGAGTTGGCCGAGTATCTTATCAGGTCAGGTGTCCTTTTGTATTGTTGTGTACGGGGAAGCAAGACAGCATAGGACATCTCTGCAGTATGAAGAACTCTATATCTTGTGATTGGCGAGAGTTTATATGTTGGCTCCAGTGTTTTAAGTCTAAATCTGTGCTGGTTTGATGGACTTTGTTGTGGTTACGTTTGTAATGTGTCATCCTGTTTCATATGGCATTTCTCTGGTAGTACAGTACGTCAAAATGGCTTGTGCAATTTCTAGATGATAAATGGAAGTCATCCATGAACGCTCACGTGCGTAGCTTGTAAATTTTATTCATGGCTTTCAGGGCAGTAATATCGTGTCATTTGAATTTCTTTTGTGGTTCGCAGTCCTAGTTTTTAATTCCTGATTTTCATCTTCCTCCTAGGAAATTAGTCATCATCTGCCAGCAGCCCATCTATGTTAATAGATTCACCCTTCCACAGGGTGATGGTCGGAAGAAAAAAGTTGTTTAAGAAGGGTGTCTACATATCTCATTTTTCGAAGTTTTGGGTGGCTTTATATCTCATTTTAATGCACCGTACCGAAGCTATGGATAAAAATATAACCTATCATTTTTAATAGAAATATCTTCCCAAATGCAGACAACAGGCTCAAGATACTCGTTCAAATATCTTTGAGCAAGACAAGGGCCTTTTACTGACGAAGCAACAACCGGTACACAAAAGCTATAGTTTCAACCTCCAAGATTTTAAAAATCTACTTCAATGGCCAGTTTACTAAACGCAGTAAAGAAGAATTTAAGCAACATCTTATTCAAACACCTACTAAATGCATTTACAATCCATCAGATCTTCAACATTTAAATGAAAGGCAATGCACCAAAATTTACTGTTTCAAAATTTGCAATTACATCTGTAAAGTATTTCAAGGCGGATCGTCCATCCATTGCTAGATGTGGTTCCTTTATTAATTTCTATTCCTAAGAAACTCTGAAGCCTAACAGCCACCACTAGGGAAAAGTCTAAAACAGAAGTGAGAAAGAATTACAGGGTGATTCCTCTAGATTCAGCTTCAAGATACTTGCAGATCCTCTCCATAACCTCTCTACCCTTCGCACTATTCTGCAAGAACTTCTCAACACATCGTTGTTCTACCTTTTCTGCCATTGATGCTAGTGCCGATAATGGTTTGATCTGTATACTAGTCTCCTGCCGACAAATTGTCCATTCGCTTGGATTATCAGGGTGAGGATCATAGCGGATCTTCTCCTCAACTTCTATGAACTTCTGAAGACTAATGTTGCGGCTGGTGAGCTGCATGGAGTGTGTTTCGGCATCAACAACTGTTGATTCAATACAGTGGCAAATCTCCTGGCCTATAATTTTGCGGATGAACCATGGTCCCGGAGCATGCACAGTAACAGCACGAGTGGTGTAAAGCTTCCCAGATTCACGATCAAGCTTCCGGTTCAAAGTATCAACTTCAAGAATATGAGATAAAATACGCTTGTTCTCAGGGTCAGTAAACTTGCGCCAAGACGCAGAAGTTACTCTCTCCCATGGGTGCTTGTAAACATGCTCTTGTTTATATGTTCTCACCATGCTGTTTAACTTGGTGTTCTTCATTTAGATAAAGAACTTCGTAAGTAATCATTTACAAGCCCAGAATCAAATATAGAAGAACATTCCTTAACATAAGGATATGAAACCTTCTCAGCAGTCATTCCAGTCTAATAAATAAAACTATGAGTTCCCTAGAGGTAGAAGTAGACTTGATTCACAAAGGCGCATGCTCATATCATTCAACTAAATACATTTTCTTCATATTGGAAAACTATGAAACCCAAACAAAACGTGAAGTTATTTACAGAGCAACAACCAATTCATTAGATGCAAAAACTGATAAATATTATACAAACTGCCCATGCTACTGTTCTGCAGATTAATAGATCCATTAATAGTAACACTGAGAAGAATTATTGCCTTAAATTAGATTCAACCCGTAAATCAGAACAATAATTACAGCAAATAACAAAACCACAACTGCGAGGGAATTAACACCCATAAACTAATTGGGAAGCAATGGCAATAGGATCCTAAAATTGATCTTGCAGGTACGCGAAAACCCATCACTCAATTATGCTAAAAATAAACACACAACATGTGAAGCACTAAATCTAGTCAGAGCAATTAGGATCGCTATCCAAGGCTTGACATTTCTAAAAAAACTCAAATTTCTCTAAAGAAACCAGAAAACAGTAACCGATCCTTCAACTAAAATCACGACACAGAGACAGACGAGCGTAAAGATGGAAGTTTGGATTTTGATCAATATGATGACATCGAATTCACAAAAAAAAAAAAAAAAAAAAAAAAAAAAAAGACACAGAGACAGACGAGCGTAAAGATGGAAGTTTTTTTTTTTTTTTTTTTTTTTTTTTTTTTTTTTTTTTTTTTTTTTTTTTTTTTTTTTTGGATTTTGATCAATGATGATGACATGCGAATGCACAAAAAAAAAAAAAAATAATAAAAAAAAAAAAATCAACGGGATAACAAAAATCCAAATTGGATGAAGAAATGAGAAGAAATGAGAGGAGAAATTTAGCCAGAAAAGTACATACCTTGAAAAGAGAAACAATGAAGAGCCGCAGCTACTGGAAAACCCTAGAAGAGATCTCTCGGAGAGACCGAAAAAGAAGTTAGGAATGTGGAATTCTCATTTTGATGATCGTAAACTGGTCTGTGTGGTTCGGTGGAGTACGTACTCCGCAATTCTCTTGCGACACAATCGATAGGCGGTGTTTATTTGTCTTAGCCATCAAGCAGCTGTACGTATAAGACAATATTGCCCCTTGTAGAAAATTATGTGGGATCTTTATTTTGACTTTTTTTCCAATTTTATTCAGTCAGTGACTTTGCCATTCTCTTTTTTGAGAATACAATTAATTCGTTAATTATTGAATATACCTTTGTTTAAAATTTTTTTTATTAAATTAACATCGAAATTATGTGACTTAAATATTAATGTGGAATATATTAAAATTTATTTTAGGTTTTTATTTATTTATTGGGACAAACTTATATATCAAAATTAAAATATTTTAACTCACAAATTTGCTTTTTTTGGTCTATAGAAAGATATAATTATGGAGAAGAATTATAATTAATGACATTAGAAATAAGTAGGATTTCATAATATGGATATTTTTGCATACAAAATTTGGGTCCATAAACTGACATGCCAAAGGTCATCAGTCAGTTGAACTCCAGCAGTTAAAAACCCTAGCTTATATATATATTCCTAAACAAGAAATATAACAAAAATTAAAAAGTATAGGCCTTCTTCTTCAACTTACCAAAGAAGACCCTCTTCTTCTTTTATAGGATTTGAATTAAAAATCATCTTCTTCAGTTTTCTTTTCTTTTTTTTTTTTTTTTTTATATTATATCATTTTTTACAAAAATAACTACTTAGAATAACGGGATGAGGGAATATTCATATATTAGATGTCATGGAATTTTTACTGGTTTTTGGGTTTGGCACTCTTCAACAAAAGAAGAAGTTCTGTGGGGGTCCATGACTCCATTACTGACTATGCCAAGAGGTGTCATTTTCTCTAGTCAGGTTGAACTCCAGCAGTTACATGATATCCCAGTACAGATCTCCTTTTGAACCGTGATTTATTATATTCCTAAACAAGTGTAAAATTATAAATCTCAAATATAAACTCTCACTAAACAGTTGATGGAGGACCATTCTTTGACTCCTTTTAATTGGTGGCACTTACGCAAGGAGAAGGGACACCAATCTCTTGTACTTTACTCTTTTAGGGAGTTGGTGGGATTTAAAATCTGATCTTTCTTATACATTGTTCCTTCATTTTGGGCTCTCTCCGTTTTTTTTTTTTTTCTCTTTAACAGGCCATAAGGTTCGGTTAATCCAATCTGGTGGTGTCAAATCAAAACTCACTGTGAACTTTTGATCCCTGCACTGAATGGCAACCCCCAATTGCCATGAGGCCTAGACCAGTAAACGCTCTGCATTTTTTTTTTTTTTTTTTTTTTTTCCTAATCGTTCCACATTGTAAAAACTCCTGGATTTGATCCCTGCACTGAATCACCACACCAATTGCCATAGCCGCCAGAAGCCTGCATATCATAATCCACCTTAACAAGAGCAAGTTCTTCTGCTGATCCAACTGCATTTGACCCCGTGGAATTTGAAGCCATTCCAAGACTATTTCCCAAATACCCACCACTATAACTTCCACTAGAACTTCCATTGTTCTCCACAATTGAAGATGAAGAACCCATGTTAAAGAGCCCATGAAGCAAAGCTGGATTGTTTTGTATATAACTATTGTAGAACTGTGGGTTTTGATGACTTGACTGTTGCAAGTAATTACTACTAGCTGCAGATTGCTGGTGCAAATGAAGCTGAGTTTGGAGGTAATTTTGGTGATTAAATGAGGCTGTGTCTTGTGTATATTGAGAAATGTCTTGATTTTGTAGGGTTAGTAATGGTTGAGGTTGCTCAAAAGGTGATTGCATTAAAGAGTAAGCTTGCAGTCTGTTATTAGAGCTAGAGCTTCCATATTGAAAACTTGAACCAAGAGCTATCATTTCCTCTCTTTTTCTTGATGATTCAATTGCCTGTGCCTCCTTCAGTCGCTTCGCTGCTCCTCCGCCAATCGGTAAAGTGTTGCTTTCAAGAATGCTTTTAACATCATACCGGCTCATGTCAAAATTAGTCACTGCGTTTAGCCCCCTAAACTTAATCGCTGCTATGTCATAAGCTTCGGCAGCCTCCTCCTCAGTGCCTACATTAAATTATTTATGGAATAATCTATCAATTACTTAAGACATTTAATCAAATAATTTATTATAATTAATTTTAGGATAACCTAATAAGCTACGCCAACGCTATATATGTATAGTGTTTTTCTATATATATAACATATATATAAAAAGAGAGATATGATTGACTTACTAAAAGTTCCCAAATAAAGATCCTTGTTTCCTGCAACTCTACCGATCCTTGCTTGCCATCTTCCATGCTGGTGATGCCTGCTTAAGAATGTTGATAAGAGAGACAGAAAAAAGAAAGAAGGATGGTATATTATTTGTATATATAATTCATATAGTTTTACCTTGTAACTCCTCTATACATGGATGCACCCCTGGAGAAGCCACTACTCTTCCTGTCCGTGAAGAAATTAATCAATTTATTTAACAGCAAAATAGATCTTCAATATGGAAATAAAATTGAAAAATAGTTCAAGAAAGTAAAGAGTTGCCTTCTAATAGAGGCCACAAACTCCTGTCTGGTCATGTGCTTCATCTCCTCTAGTTCCTTCTCATAGTTACTGATCTACAAAAACAAAATCAAATTTGGTATTCACAGTCATCATATATAAGCATTGTTATGCAACTTATAATTCATTACAGTTTATAGAACAATAGAAACTTACGGGAAAATTGGTGGTAGTAGATGTACCCCAGTACTTTAATGCAGCAAGATCATATGCCCTTGCAGCCTTTTCTTCTTTGTCATAACCACCTAGTTAGACCAAATATAAGATAATTATGTATACAAAGATTTATGAAAATGAATACAAACTAAAAATTTTGAAAATTACAAAATTCACTTACCTAAATAGACTGCAAGCAGTAAGTAACCAAAGATGATCCATGAAAATAGAGAGAAAATGTTAGTACTTAATTAGTAGAATGTAATTCGTTATAATAAATCTGAAAAAATGATTATGAACCCTAAAAAAATCAAACCATATATTGTTTTATTTACCTTGTCGTCCTTTCCTAGATTGTCCTTCTCTCCTACAGCTATTATCCCACAAATGAGCTTCATACCTTCCTGTCCATCGATGTCTATACATTTGCAAAGCATATAAATTTAGGAAAATGAAAAGGAAACCAAAAACAAAAAAACTAATAATTAATTATTCACACAGCAAACGAACTCAACCTTGTGACACCGCGATATATTGAAGTTCTTTGCCCAAATGTATCTAAAGTCCTTCTTGGGGCGGTCGCTTCAACGGTGTTAGTGCTATTATCGCCGCTAGTTTCACATGTAGAAGCCTTGCCGCTAGCACTACCCATAGATAATGTTAATGACTGTAAATTGTTGGCATTTTCTTGAAACTCATAGTTGGTAGAGGCAGCTACCACAGCGTTATGCACTGGCAAAAGACTATTGCTTTGAAACATGTAATCAGAATCATTAGCCTGAAGTCCATTGAAGGCAACAAGATCTGATTGATTCTCGGATTTGCTCACACCAAGAAAGTCTGCAACTTTTGGAACTTCACTGCTGCCTTGGGTGTTGACAAGACTCCATTCTGTAAAAAAATATTTAACAATCCAAAGAAGAATGTAATTGTTAATAGAAAGAGTCAGAAATATCAGTAATATCAAAAAGAAAGAGAGACAGGGAAATATATATATACATACCTTGGTTTTGAAATGGGTTATCCATAGTTTCAGTGACTAACCCTAAAGAAAACTGTTGAGGGTGAGAAGTATGTAAGTGGGGAGGCAAAGAAGAATGAGTGGGAGAAAGAGGAAAAGACAGCCAGTTGTTTGAATTCATGGAGCCCATTGTTAATGTGTTATGTTTCTTTGAAGATTATCCTTCAGCAAATCAAATTAAAAACTCCTGCTCCTGCATGTAACAAAACCCACTTTCAAAATTAATTTCTTGAAATAGAGGACTTAAAAGGAAGAATCAAATTAAATAAGCAAGGAAAAAAGTATGTAAAGGATTTACAGGTATAGGGTTTGCCCCAGTTAGCCTCTCCCTCTCTCTTTCTTCTTCCTCTCTCTCTCTCTCTCTCTCTCTCTCTCTCAGGCAAATGAGTCCGATTTCAATTCTAATCCTTTCTTGCTGGCTCGCATCCGTATGTGGCCTTCATCCAACTCACTCGTCAGGGAAACAAGGAGATTTAATGGCAGACTTCATTAGCATCTCATTTATAGTATTTATGTTAGGGTTTTTTTTAGGCATCCCTTCGGAAATAAAAGGAAAGTCCTCAAAATCCCCATATATAACCAAATAAATCTTGAGGTAATTAGTTGTACTATGTATATGTATGTTGTAAACATCGCCAGCAATATCCAGGAATAGCTTCCTCTCAACCCCTAGTCTTTGTTCGAATCCATCCGCGTAGACCTGTGTCTATCACATCATGTGAAACAGATTACCCTTTGATCCCTCATAAATGTGATACTCTAAGTCCTTCACTTGTTGGGAGGAGCATTGTGGGTCGTGGCAATTTCAACTTGACGGTGTTAGTGCTATCGCCGCTAGGTCAATGTAGCCTTACGTCGTTGAGCTTCCAATCCACGGCTGCTCTAGCCACTTATACAGGGCGCAATACCATACATAATGTTTTTAACAATTTTATGCACGTGTGAAGTTATTTTGTTTTGGGGACCAATGTAGTTCCATTTTTACAATTTTTTAAGTACCCCATTTGATTTGTTGGGCAGGTTTTATGGAGGCCAGTCTAGCCAGCTTAGTCGGCTTGTTATTGCTACTAAGTCGGTTCCATTAAAGTCGACGGGTAAATCATGCTTATGAGGAAAGTCCCATTGTAGTACTCCCAAACCAGACAATTTCTATCTAGTCTGTGTGTGAGTGTTTGATACAGGTTGAAGGCAACAAGATCTGATTGAATTCTCGGATTTGAGGCTATACCAGATCTCTAATTCTCAAAAACGAAATTCACCGATCGTTTCAACTTTTTGTTGACATTTATCCTTTGAGCTCTCACTGTCTTGCCATATGTCGAAGCAGTTGTTTTGTTGAGCAGAAGGAACCCACTATTCTCGCTCTCGTATTCACAAAAGTTAAGGAGTGATATGTGTATTTGAGAGAATCCAATAGTGAAAGGAAATGTATGATTTTGATAGTAATAGAAAACGAGAAGTCAGGGAAGCGAGTGAGTCGGGAGTCCTTATTGGAGGCGAGCATTAATCCAAATTTCCAGATAACGAAACATGAAGGAGCACTAGCGGAAAATCATCCCAATTATATCCATTTATACATACTTTCCCTCGGTCCGGTTTTTGAAAATCGCGTATAGGGTGCTATACTCATCTTAGTTTTGCGGTGAGAGCTCCCCTCAACAGTACATTAAAACTTTTGATGAGGGCTTCTCGCATTCGGCTTCCCATTTGTTCTTAGAGAAGGGTTGTTATTGTAAGTTGTGAGAGAGGAGGGTCAAAGGAAAGCCAAGATTTGTTGTAGTGTGCCAGGATATTAGGAGTGTGAGTAAAGATATAGGAGAAGCTGTCCGATGGTGAGGTCATGTTTGAATTCATGGAGCCAGTGTGTTTTGAAATTGGGTTACTGTTTGTCTGGTGTTTGATAGAGTTGAATACCTACTCATGGCAAAATCAGGGATTAAAAGAGTCCTGTAGATCTGCTCATAGAATTTGTAACAAAACACCTTAGCTTGTTCAAGGATAAACATTAATGGTGTTCTTGAAATAGACGGGAAATCTTAAGGTAAGAGGAAGGAATCAAAATTAAATAATTGCAGAGGTTTAAAAAAGAGGTATGTTAAAGGATTTTCTTACAAGGGTAGGGCTATAGGGTGTGTTGTGCCCAGTATAGATGACCGGTACGTCAGAATGATCCCTCTCTTTCTTTTGTGTCTTCCCTATACATCTCTCTTGCGTTTGCTCTCTCTCTCTACTTGCTACCAATACAATGTCGTGTAACATATCTCTTTTCTCTCTCTTCTTTCTTCTCTGTCGTCTGCTCTTGTTTTTCGCCACCTGGGTAGTCAATGTGAAGTTTACGGGCGCAACATGAGATGGAGCATTGAAGAGAAGAGAAGAGAAGAGAGAGATCATAAAAGGTGAGTGTCCGAGAAGTTGAAGGGAGGCGAGGGATTTTTACAAAAAAGCAACGAAATTTTGATAAAAAGTCTACCTCGTTGTTTTAACTCAAGAATTATGGCTAAAATGGAAAGTTTGTGTCCTTTACCACATACTAGCAAGACGAGGGGAAGAGACATAGAAATTCATTTTACTCTCTCTCTCTCTCTCTCTCTCTCTCTCTCTCTCTCTCTCTCTCTCTCTCGCTCTCAGTTTTTGACCTAATAAGTGAAGTTTGAGGGGAACATGAGAAGAGAAGAGAAGAGAAGAGAAGAGAAGAGAAAGGGGGAGAAAGAGGGGAGGGTTTAAAAAAGAGAATTTTGTAAAGGGCTATGAACAAGTTAAAATGGAAAGCTGTGTCCTTTACACACAGAAGAGAGAAGAGACACACAAATCAACCAAAATTTTCCTTTATCATGACCCCTTTTGCAATGGTGATTTTAAACGGTCTGATCCTAATCACCATTTTCCAACATATGAAAACCAAGTCATTATCATACTATAATAATAACCATTTAATACAAGATTATCACTATTCTATAGGCCAAAAAGTACACGAGTTTCATATTAAATTAAAGAAATAGTAACAAAAATTGAAGTCCATTCTGTCTGTGTATTGAGACAAACCCACAATTCCAACTGGAAAAATCCATTTTAATATCCAATTCTATCTCTATAATTTAAAATTAAACCCCACTTGGCTTCTTGGAACTCTCGTTCTCGTTCCTTGCAATATATGACTCCCCAAAGCCCAGCATTCCCACACTCAGCAAATCATCTCTTAGTCTAAATATCCGCCATTCTACGTAAAGTTACCGACCTCTCTCTCTCTCTCTCTCTCTCTCTCTTCTTAAAGAAACTTTACAACATTAAAATTATATATATACACGATCAAACCCATGAACCACAGAAGATCTCCCATCTCTCTATCTTTCAAATGGGTTAACTCATCAAAAACCTAATTTGTAGATCCCCGAGTACCTGCATGTGTTAAAGATGCATGTGTACGGACATTATATATTTTAATGTAAAAATCCGACATATAAAACTTTTTTTTTTTTTTTGAAGTATCAGAGGACTAAGAATTGCCCTTGTTCAAAATAGGACCATATTCTGTTCAGTAAAATATTTGTTTAAAGAAATTTAGAAAACCCTTTCTTTCTTATTTTAATCAGAAGGATTTCATTTGGTTCCCCAAGTAGAAATCTGTTGACCATCCAATTGATATTCGTGCCTCGTCAAAATTTTTTTTATAAAAAAAAGCCTGAAGATTAAAATAACTTCTAATTAATTAATAGAACTGTCCTTTTGTTTATCATCTACCTCATGCCTTACATACAAGTAATAAAAAAACCACAGCCATTCCTTTATAAGCACTCCATCCTATTAATGCAGTCACCAAAATAATAACAGGGCGATGCGTTTATAAAATTTTTCAACCATGTCCATCTTTCTTTCTGGTCTTTTTTAGTTCTTATACCTATAAACATGCAAACAAAAATTAGAAAAATTAGTTTTGACATGTGTGTGTAAGTTTTTTAAAGTGAGAAAGAGAGAGAATGGCTAAAACCTGACAAGTGACAGGACTTTAAATTATGGAAGGTTCATGATATATTCGCTGTTATATCTTGTGTTTCCATGATCCTTTGAAAAGTGAAGCACTCAGAGGATTACTACTTTATAATACTATAAAGTAATGCTAAGAATCTAAACCCATAAGAATAAATAAAACAAAGTTGTTGCAATCAAATCAAAACAGAAAAACGAAAAGAAAACAAAATCACCTGCCATTGTTGATGATGACACAGTTCTCCCCAAATTCTTGAACAGTAAATTATTATATAAATATAAAAGATAAGACTAGGTTGACTGAAGTGCACGACAAAAAGGAGGCAGGACCCACGTCTCTCGCCTTCTCTCTTCAACTTTTTCTACCCTAAAAACCTCTAAAAACATTCAGTCTTACAACCCAAAACCCACTCAAATCAGGTATCTTCTATCATTTATTGAAAAACAAATACTCCATTCATTAAGAAAAAAACTGATCAAGAACTGGAAATAAAAGAAGAAGTTAAACAAATAGTTATAGGATTAAAGAAAGAAGCATTAATTAGTTAGTAGTTAAACAAACAAAGAATCTGGCTCACTTGTTCTTGAAAAGTGTGGAGGGAGAAAAGAAAGAGATGGGGATTAGCCACCGCCACCGGCCATTTGCGGTAAACACATTTAATCAGAGGGTTTCACGTCGTTTCAGATATTGCGGCCAAATGCGGAGGAATGTGACTGACACGTGTCGGTTAGCCTTTTGGCTTTTTATTTTTAGAAGAGGGGACTTTGAAAGTTGCAACCAGGCGGGCCAATTATCCGATTTGCATGCTTGCACAAAAAAACACAATTTAGAACCAACTTTGACCATATTCGATGACTATGAATATGATCCCAGTGCCGTTTTTCCTTTTATTACTGTATTGCCCTTCATTCCCACCCCAATTTTTGACTGATAAGCTCTCTTCAATAAATATTTTGATTCGTAGGTATTCTCTAGTTCGTAAATTTGATAGTAAAGTTGGTTTTTTTTTTTTTTTTTACTGGTTCTTCCAACAATGCTGATTCCTCATTTTTGTGGGATAAAATTTCTCTAAATCCAATTTTTGGGTCTAATATAAACTAAATCAAAGAAAAAAAAAATATTCCTACTCTCCTCCTTTTCTCTCAATGAATAGTTAGAAACATTCCCATTTAAAAAAAAATATTATTTTTTATCGGTTTAGTCTATAAATAGAGTTATAAACTAAATCTGTGGCAAGTCATTTTGGTTTTTATAAATGAAATTTGTATTGAATCGCAAATTGATTGATAATATACATAGATATTTATTAATCAAAGTAATTTAAATTTGGGAATCATAAAAGCACGAGTTAGGTAGAAAATATAAGTTGAATCTGACATGGTTGTTTCGTAA